ACACATTGTGAGAGCTGGTTTTATTGCTGCTCTGAATGTCACAGGCTCAAACGTACTTGATGTTAAGTTTGCTCAAAAGTGATCTGATTTGGCTTCCAGCTAAACTAAACTCATGGCTGCCACCTACGGGCGCAACAGATACTTCAGAAGTTTAGTTTTTTTCTGGCAACAGCACTTTTTCTTTTGTAGTCTCTGCTTGAACACAGAAGACTGCCCCTGATATCAGGTTTTGTAGGACAAAGACGTCTACTCTACAACTTATCCAGCAAATCTGACAGTGGTGAAGTCGCTGGTCTGGGGTTCAGCTTCTACATAAGCTTGCTAGAATTTATTTGCATCTTCCCTCCTCACCTCTTTGGTATAGAAAGAAGAAGTTGTAGGCTTTTTGTGAGCAGTTGTGGAAACACACACGCAGACAGAGGCCCTGAGAAATCCTCGTGGCGCCTCTTGTGTATGCAGTGAGCGCTCAACCAGTGCATTCCTGCAGCACACTGTACTGCGCGTCAATGACAGCGCAATGACAACAGAATCCAAAAATAACAATAATCCCGCTCTGCTCACCTCTAACGGGAGAAATCTCATCTCTGCGTGCAGTTATCAATTATGTTTGAAATGAGACGCCGCCATCAGGAGGTGTGTTCAGTGTCCCTGTGTGACCGCTCGCTCTGCCTCACACTCACACACACACACACAGCCTGACCTTCCTCTTACCTGGGCTGACTCAGCGTTTGCTGCGTAATGTTAAGTGATTATGCTGCCGGTGACGCCTGCCGGGTGTAAGAGGCATTTATCAAGGATCAGACTGAGATCCTCCAGAGTAGAGCCTGAAAAGCTTGAGGCCAGTCATTGAAACTAATAGATTCCTTTAATGGGCAGAGAGTTAATGATGAGCACCGAGTGTAGCTTTAGATGTTTTCCCACTAAAGAAAAAGTATCTGGTATTTTCAGATAAATATTAAAACTATCAGAAATTATGATATTTTTCAAACATGCATTTGTGTTTTAGACTAAAACTGCAAAATCTTGAGTAAACTGTCAACAATTTTGCTTCTTTATGTTTATTTAGTTTATAAAATATCATTTTTGTCCCATTTAAACTGTTTAACAGAAACAGGTGCAGCAACAACAGCCAAACTTTAAGTATTATTTCATCTTTACTGACCTGAAATCAGTCTTGAAATGAGGACTGGTAAGTGTAACAGAAGTACCTTTGTCTTTGCATCACATCAGCTATCAGAAATACAATCACCACCATTAAGATCTCAGATTCAATCAGGCTCCCTAACCTAGTTTTCCATAATACGCCTTCATTTGACCTTAAAAGACCTCGTATTCCTGCTCGGTGTTACATTCGGTTGATTTCAGGATAAAAAAGGATTATTTAAAGCTCAAAAAAACTCCCACATAAAGCCTGACTGTATGATATGAGAAGTGAGGTTGATATATGAAGGTCAGGTTTCATCGACTCAGGCTGCAGTTTATGCAATAGATCTGAATTAGGTTTCAAAGTTTCTATATTGGAGGAATGTATTGAATTTGTGTTACTGCTGCAAAGACTGAATAAAACAAATGTTGACTTTTGCATTTTTTCTTCCAAATGAGGATAATCGTTTAAAAATAAGGTGCCATGATAGTTGTAGTAATTGGTCAACCATTAGGTGTGGAGCTGAAGCAATGTTCAAGCATGACCCAACGTGGTACAAAAACATGGTTCTCTCTAGGTAACCATCAAGTGTTTTCATAAATGATTCATGTACTTATTTACTCTATTTAGGTTCTATATTTTGTAAATACAATGTAAATATGTTGGAGACTGACTATTTATCGAGTAGCAGAGAAGGGGTAGGTTTTAAAAGAGCACAATGCTTCATCCTACTCCTTTTTGGACATGTTGGGTTAACTTTATTATTAGTAGTATTTATTTTATTTTTTTACTTTGATTATTGTTGTTCTTGTTTTGAATGTTCTCATTAGTTTTGTTTGTTTACAGTTTAATTTCTTGTGTTGCACGCATGTTCGAAAAAATATATATAAATAAAAATATAAAAAACACGTCAGCTGGGACAGAAATATCTGAATAATTATCACAATTCAAGACAGAAAAAAGATTATAACCACTTAATGAATACAACATAGGTGGTAAACTTTTCTTTATTGCGTCCGTAGACTGAATAAAATTGATGGAGCTGAACTATTTAGAGCTCCCCCTAGTGACTGGCTGCAGTATAGATCATAAATCCCGCCTCCTTCTTATTAAACAGATACAGCATGAGTCAAACTATCAGCAGTGTTGGTTTAGTTCTGTGTGAGAAATGCAAATCTAGTTAGGCCCGAGTCTCCCCTGAAGCCACACTTTGAGTATATTAGCATGCTAATGTTAGCGTGGTGCGCCATGAAAACTTCCCAGAGCAGCTGGTATAATAAAAATACACTTTTATTAAACGGTGTGACTCACACATTAGCAGATTTGTTGTAGGTTTGTTTTGGAGGATTTTACTCAGTGAGTATTTACGGCCGTGGTATGACGGTGATTGAGGGTTTGACTCGAAATAAACTCTAGCGGCTGTGTTAATCATAAGGAACACCCAGAGAAACAGAGCGGCTCACTGATGTGAGTTTAATAGTTTTTGGGGCAACAGTGGAAATCTGCAACAGAAAAGGAATAAAGATAAACATAAAGGTTTGGTTTTGGGCTTTTCACGGTATCTGTTGACATTAGGGCAAATATATCATACTCCCAAGATTTATGTGTATTGTCTGTGTTTGCTGGTTGCTCAGGGAGATATACTTAGACAGAATTAACTCAAGTTTCTCTCTGCTGGAGATTTATAACAGGTTTCAGTAGACTTCAGAGTTTGAAGTGCGCTTTAATAGCAAGAAATGTACCTGTGACAAGCACTATTTTTAAAAAAAAACACATTTTGCACAAACTGCAAAAGTTTGTTAGTTTGTTTGTTGGTTTGTTTGTTTGTTAGCAACTTTACGGAGAATGTAACAGATGGATTGACCTGAAATTTTCACTAGAGGTGCGTCTCAGCCCCAAGAAGATCCCATTAAATTTTGGTGGTGATTCGGACAAAATTCTGGATACTGTGATCCAGAACACACAAAAATAAGGGTGTCATTGGAATTTTCAATGCTGAAAGATAACCAGTGGGCGGCACAGTGGTGTAGATAGGTGGTACAGTGGTGTAGTGGTTAGCACTGTCGCCTCACAGCCAGAAGGTCCTGGGTTTAAATCCCAGTCAGGGCATTTCTTGTTTTAGGAACATTATGAACAGTGAACATACCAGTTTAAACACAAATAAAAGTTAAAAGACACGTAACAGTAAAAGTTTTGGTGTGAATCACAATATAAGGGGGGACATGAGCTGCTTGGTGGAGGTATGTGCTCTCCGAGTGCTTCTCTAGTTTTCGACTGCTTCTCAGATCGTCAACCATGCCTTTAAAGCTACTTATATGAGCTTTAATGTGATGATATGTCAATGATGAGCTCGTGGCTTGACTCTGCTGCTCCCAAGTGGCCAAAAAAGTTTGGTTTTATTGTTGAAAAAGTAACAAAAATGTAGGTTTTTCCATCTTCTTAAAAAGTGCACGACACACAGCTAAGGTCAAGGCAGTAGTGGCTTGTTTGTTTTAGAAGTTTGACCAAAACCAGCTCAGAGTTAGAGTCTTAAACCCAGAGACACACTTTCTGCACACAGCTGTGGCTCTTTGGCCAACGTAAACACAGGCTAACCAGACTGCTGTGACCTCTGTCCGCTCTGGTGTCTTGGTTTGGTCGAGATGCACACTCTCATCATCATCATCACAACACATATGAGTCTTTTTTTCCGTTATAACCGCAGACTCTCTCCTGGTTAATAGCTGTTTAATGACGGTTCAAATTTGGAGGCAAAAACAGAAAAGAGCTCTGAATTTCTAGGTTGAGATTTACATTCCTCCTAATAACGTCGAGGGGGGTTCGGACATTTTTGTGAGGTAAAGTTGGTCTGACTGGAGCCAGACGCAGGGCCCAGACAGTTTTATTGCATAGTGGGATTACTCGCAGGCTGAAATGAAAGTGTATCGTCACGGCTACCAGACCCATGATCCTCCCGGCTGCTGCAGGGCCAAAGCATGACCTCTAAAGGTAACACAGCCCGGGGAGGTTTTATACAAGCACAAACAAGTGCTTCTGCCAAAATAAGAATGCCTCATGACATTTGAACGGATATCGCCACAGGAGACATCGGGATACTCAGCTAATTAGGGGAGAAAGAAAGACCTGAGTGTGCAGAATGATGCGAGGTTCAAATCAGGTAGGACTTAAAGCCGCAATAAAAGTTTTGTAACAAATAGTTCTAATTACAATTAAAGACAAGGCCAGAATAAAACACAACACTGGAGTTTTAAGGTGTTAAACATTTATATAACCGAGACGTCTCCTGAGATACTAAATCTACTTTACAAGAAACACAATCGCCAAAGCGGCAGAGTGGAGCCGTAAACACAAAGTCAAACACAATAATTCACACCTTTCACATAAAGTGATCTAAAATAAGGCCGGAGAAAGAAGACTTGTGAGAAGTTAACACACTAGTATTACTTAAGAAACTTGTTTTGTAATCCCTACATTTGCTGCATCTCTGCATTTTAACTGTTTCAGATCAATCAGATGTTTTAACGTGAACTCTGCAAGCAACAGTTTAGTGATTTAATTGTTTTACATTGGTGCCAGACATAAGTGCCATATCTATTAGCACAATATGTATTATTGATTTTTATCTAAATGTGAACATGTGTTTTTCTTTTGTCTCTGACTGTAGCTGGCTGAGCTCACAAAGACACGCCAGGAAATGTGAAACAGATAAACTATGCAAAGAACAAAGGGAAGTTGTTGTGTGCGAGTGGTGGACAAATATGTCTTACAATAACAGCAGGAAAAAATACCCCTGTTTCAAGTTTTGTTTTGGGAAACTGTTTCTTTTCACATAGTGTTTAAAGGTGCAGTTTGTAGACTGAAGCAGAACAGATATCGCAGAAATGCACAAGAAAGCAAAACCTCAACAAACAGAGGATCATACTCACCATTTATCACGGGGAGCTTCTTGTCCTTAAAGGCCACCATCGCTGTGAGGGTGAGCAAGAGGGCATTTCATTAAATTTGGGGTGAATTGTCTCCAGCATGTTGACAGTGGGACCAGGAATAGAGCCCCCAACCTTTTAATTTAAAGACAATGTCATGAAGACAGGGTTAAACAAAGAGGGAAAGGACCTAAAAATGCAGACAAAAAAGGATTTAATAAAAAGAAATAAAATGAAAAGCAACAAAAACTTACTTTAAAACGTCCAACCAAAAAATCTAACAAAAGACACTGGGGAAAAAATTACAAGGAGACAACTGGGGACAAAAGCAACCGCACACATAATGAACCAACCAGGACAGAGGAGAAGACAGGGACTTTATACACACACTGGGAAACGAGCAACAGGTGAGGCAGATGAGACACAGGTGAAACTCATGAGTGATTAACGAGGGAGGGAGAACTAGGGAAGTAAAACTAGACTAGAAACACAAGGAAAAAACTCCTACAAAATAAAACAGGAAACACTGTTTTAAAAACAGGGTCAAACACAAACTGAAAACTCACATGAGAGGACGACAGGGGAACAAGAAAAATAAGGAAAATACACAAAATGCTTTTAAATAAAGCCAGAAGAAAACTTAATAAACAGCCACTACAGAATCTGTCCACTATAGTTTTAAATAATCCTATTTATACACTCTTTACCTTTAAATGGTTTTGTTTGAAAAGCATTTAGGTGAAATGAATTTCCCTTCGGGGATTAATAAAGTTCTTCTTATCTTATCTTATCTGTGTATAGGTAAGTGTATCATCTGCATAGAAATAAATCTTTGCTGAATATTGAACTTTTACACATAAAAAAAACTAACCAGGTAACATCTTTGAGTCTTTTACTGGACCTGGACTTCAGTCGTATTAACAATCATCTGCACCTCTATGAAACTGTAAAACACTAACATTGTAAAGTCGCCTTTGACACCTGACACCTCTGTCTCTTAAAGGTCAAAGGTCAGCTTGTACAACCTTATAATGATTCACATCATCATGCCTAACTAATGGAGCAGCACCCCCACGCTACCTTTGGGCCTTTTCCAAGAATCAGACCCCTCCCCCGCCTCCATCTAAAACAGCAAGCATCAACATGTGATTGGTCAGCGGGGAGCAGCCTGGGATCATTACCGCCAATAAACCTGAGTGTGCATGAAGGTTCAATCCGACAGCAGAGATGAAAACGGTGGAACAAAAGTGTAATTTGTTGGAAATCCATCTCATCACACCACACCAGGCGGAGAGCAGGATGAAGCCTAAACTGCTTTTATCCAGCGATTTGAAACTTAATCAACCTTTATTTCCCCTCCTGCTGTCTGGGACAGTGAAAATGTTCTGTTTTGTCTCCAGTTTTCAGTCTTCTCTCCTTCCTAGGAAGCGGGGCGGGGGCTTCAGCCTCCAACTCCTGACCGTCGCAGCGTGAGCGCAGAGCTGGCCAGTGTTAAGTCTCAGTAATTAAGACTTCACGCTGCTCGACTTTAAAAGCTCCTAAATGGGCCTCCCGCAGCCCCCCGACCCTCCTTGTTCAAAGTAATTTATTCGATTTGACGTGAGTTGTGCTTCACCTCATCCTCCCCTCTCCCACAACACACGCCTGTGCAGTGTTAGAACAATGGAGTTCCTCTCTCTCTTTTGTCTCCATCTGCTTTTGTCGTCCACCGTTCTGTATATGATCGTGGCTGTGTTTAATTAAATCTTAAGCGCCTCTGTTTTAGATGAGAGAATGATGATTAAGAAGTCAAGTGCTCCATAAGCGAACCATTGTGTAAGAGAAAACAAGTCTGAGACGAGACCAGAAACCCGGAGGTGAATGTCAGACTCAGTCTCTCGTTTTCGGTCCGTGACTCTCTGTGTAACACTCTCTTAGTTCAGTTTGTTTTGGTTGTTGGATTACTTTTAATCACTTAAAGGGAGCGAGCTGACCCGAAACCACAGTTTCATTTAAATATATTGTCAGGTCAACATGTTTAAAAATGACTAAGCCTGTATATCAATAGGCTTAGCAACGGATTAACTCTCTATGGGGCCCTGGAGTGAAAATAAGCTGTGGTCCCACCATTTTCCCACTCTGCTCTGTACGTGTTTCAGTGTAATACTTCTCTGGTAATATGATAAAGCATATATAGATAAAGAAGTATTAAAAAAAGGGAAAAAATACTAAGGGGGTCTGAAGATTCTACAATAATACATATAGCACCTAAAGGGGCCTTCTGTTAACAGCACAGGTTTTTGTTTTATAATATGATTATATGATATCATATGATATTGTATCGGATCGAATATCAGATCATATAATGCATCATATTGTATGGTATCATCCTTTTATTGTATGTTATAATGTATGATATTGTATTGAATCATGTTGTATCATATCTTATTGTATTGCATCTATTTCATGACACTGTATCTTATATTATTTTATATTTTCATTCTGTGATGTATCATATCATATCGTATCTAATTGTATCACCTTATTGCATCGTTTTCTATTAGTACTGTATCATATTGTATTGTAACATATCTTATCCATAGACTGTATCTAGAATGGACGCCGTCTGCCTCCTCACTGGATGAAGCCACAGCGAGAACAGCACCCTCTGGTGACGGGCTGCAGTATAGGTCATAAATCCTGCCTCCTCCAGCAATCCAGCATATTGTAGCTTATTGTAGTGTATCGTACGTTAGCGTAGCATAGGACATTGTATTGTCATATGTCACGTTGTAGTATATCAAATCTTGAATTGACATAATAAGATATGATTGAATTGATGTTCAATTATATTGTTTTATATCATATGAAAACGTGGTATCACACCGTAATGTAGTGTATCTAACTTATGGTGTTATGTTAGGAGTTTCTTCAAAGTGGAAGTCATGAAAACAAAAAGAAACAAGACTCCCCAGACGTAAAGAAAAGTCTGTTTAAAAAGAAAACAGAGAAAAAGTGCTAATGAAAAAATAACAGCATCAGACATGATTAAAATCTCGAAAACAAATGTGAGAAAAATGATGATGTTAGTCATGTAATTAACAAGGTTGTAAGCATAATAATGTGGGACAGTCTCTTCTCTGTCTGCCCCTGCACTTAATCAGAGCAATAAATCAGACATGTAAAGGCCGTGCTGATGTTGTTGTAACAAAAGCACATGTCCTGACTGTAAGTCCAAGTCTCGGTGATACATCATCCGGCCAAACAGCTGAGTGTGACAGGCTCATCCGTCTCCATCAGGAGGGGTCTCCCTCTAAGATAAAAGACCAAAGAAGAAGGCAGCAAACACAAATCAGAGTTAAACAGATGATAAAACATAATAAAACCTGAGAGGACCGATTCATAATGAGCTGAGCCTGCAGTGGGCTTAACGTGAGGTGAGGTTTTACGGCCCCTCATCTGCTCCAAAGAGTTGGAACTAACAACAACAGCCTCCCGTGGTGGTCTGCAGGCTGCTGAGCTCTGACACTGAAGCAGACAGGCGGCAGTCACATGACGAACGCCGTCACGTGCGCACAGTTGGTGGTAGCAAAACGGAGACCGGACGGCCGGTCTGACTGGTCCGGCTGACGGACTTCATCCACACGACCGGGTCCAGCTGTTCACAGGCAGCATGCAGAGGGAGCTGAGGGCTGACTGTTTGGTCAGATTAGATCTGCTGCTCCTTGGGCCTTGAAGTGGTCACAGACTGACAGACCCAGCAGGTGAAAGACCCAGACTTTTAGCTCTAAAAATAACAACAACAGACGCGGAGAACAGCAGACACGCAGACACACATCCCTGAAAATGAAAGATGAAATTCTCATGTCAGCTTTAAGCTTCCAGTGAGCGCGAGGAATCACAATGTCAGTCCTCGAACCCTGTCGTCTAGACCGAACCATCAACAGCCATTGGATGGATTGACGTAATAAAGTGGTTTAGTTATTTGTGGTTCCTAGAGGATGAATCTTGTAGCAGTTGTGTCAGTGAAATAAGGGTTTTTGCATTGTTTCAGTGACTGTGTGTCCATGCTAAAAGTAGTAATCACCTCTCCTCCCCATGCTGGGTTAAAATGCCGTTTCAGAGCTGCTGCAGACTTTTGTAAACATCCTCCAGACCCCTCACACATTTCCCCCCACAGTATTTACGGAGTTGAAGGTCTAGTCCAGTCCTGCTATATTCAACTCTGTGTTGTTATTTCCTTTTATATACCCTATGGACATTTCCCAGGGAACATTGCATTGTTTTGCAGGGATTAAAATTCACTGAAGATTATATCTGCTCCAGCACTGCAGAACAATGCAGGAGAGGGGATGAGGGGTCCCCATGTCCAATCCCGGCAAGATAGGTGCCCACCCATTCTGATCAGAGCCGGTGGCGTGAGCCCAATTAGATGCTGATCCATAAGAAAACTCAGAGTGCGTATGTAAAGCCATGTAAGTGACTGCTCCTTGCACCCAAGCATGTTTTTGTCTTTAAAGGTGCCTGTTTCAGCTGTGGGCGGCAGAGGTGGTCAACCTGCCAAAACAGAGCTGATCCTATGAAGATCTCCTTACTACCAAATGTGATGTTTGTACCTTATTTATTAGTCCCCGGAGACAAACCACTCTATCATCCTTGTATAATTTCACATCGTGCAATAGGATATGCTTCCCTCAGTACTTTTCTTTAAAACCGTCTCTGGGAAAAAACTTTCTGACTCAGCAGAGAGAGAGAAAGAGAGAGAGAGCAGCAAGCTCTTCACAGTGGCAGAAAACAGCGCGCTGGGAACACGGTGCTGCAGGATGTGATCTGTGAAAGGCCCTCAGTGCGAGCGAGAGTAACAATGTGGTTCATCGATGAAAACCTTCATTGTCTTTGCGCTCTGTCTCAGAGGAATCGCCGCACAAAAGGGGGTCTGTCCCGCTGTCCTACCTTCCATCTCTGTCAGAGATACACGGGCGCTCTGCAAGCAAGTCAAAAGCACAGCTGAAGGTGATGCATGGCGGAGGGATTGAGGATATCTTGATGTGATTTTCTTTTCCTGTTTTTATTGTTAAACCTGATTCCTGCTTGTGATTTGATGAGAAACATAAAGGAGGTTTTGAAGAAGGCAGAGCGCTCCTGTATGTCTGCCGTGTTGGTGGTATAGCATCGTTTAAATGCTTCATTGTACATCACAATGAAACCCTTCATTAGTGGTTTGTAAATCACAAAAGGCAGAACGAAACAGACTGCAGACAGAGAGTGCAGGTCAAACGCTAACTCAGCTTTTTTTTCTTCAGCCATCTGTGAAAAAAAGAAAAGATGGTTAATCTGTTTGTTTTCGAAACACTGGGTTTTGGACTTTTTACATTTTAAATGAATGACTTTGTACATTACAGTCAGTCATTGGCTCAGAGTGACCTTTGTTTGGAGTATTGGGAAACAAAGAGAGGAAACCAAAGAGCGGTCAGGACTGACGCTGCTTTATTACACAAATTTAGAAGAATGTGATGCAGCTCAGCAGATTCAGTTTTCCTGTTGTCATCATGAATTTATTTTTATTTTAAGCAGCTTGAGAAAAAAAGTTTCACATCCGTTGGCCTTTTAAAAACTAACCTCAGAATTAGGTAGCATATTTACATATCCAACAGACAACAAACAGCAAAATCATTCATTTTGAATTCTATTTCCAAAAACACAATGAGTCTGAGCTGCAGGAGTCATTCAGAACCTTTACATGCATAGTGAAGTTGAGCTATGGTTAAAGCTCCAGTAGGTGATTTAACTGGGCAAGAACCAGATTAATGACAGCAAAACGCCACCTTTCAGCTTGTTATTATTGGGTCATCTCCCAGTTGATGTATTACATACCAAGATAGTCGGCAAAGTGCGTTAGCAAGAAGCTAACGTGATGTAAAATGATGAAAACTGTCACTTTCACACTTCTGTATTGTTTGTTTATAGGATTGAAAAGTTCAGGCGTTTTTTTCTTCATCTGTCATGGTTTTTATTCACTGCCTGTCTTCTAACTAACACGTCTTACCTAGGGTGACCATACATCCTCTTTTACCCTGACATGTTTTCTTTATTAGGGGCTGTCCGGGTTTGTCCATCGAAGTTGATAAAATCCTTCAAATGTCCACGATTTTGTACGTAAGTTTCAAGTATGTGTCACATGGACTAACTGAGTTAGAAGCACGTAAAAGACCGACCCAAAAAACTCTCAAAATTAACTTTGTGCGACTCCTTGACTCCGCCCCCACGTAGTCAAGTCCTCTTTTTGGGAAGTCAGAATATGGTCACCCTATATTACGTATCAAGACAGTCGTCAAAGTGCATTAGCAAGAAGCTAACGTGATATAAAACAACAAAAACAGTGTAACTTTTACACCTCTGAACCGTTTCTCTATAGGATCGAAAAGTTTGGGCTTTTTTACAACTTTTCTTCATCTGTCGTGGTTTTTGTAAACTGCCTGTCTTCCTACCAACACGTCTTAGCATAATGGAAATAGGCTATGCCATATAAGTTTTAGTAAAGCTAGGGTGACCATAGAGAGTTTTTCAGGTCAGATCGAGTGTCTTTTACGCACAAACTTGAAACTTCCATACAAAACCGCGGACATTTGAAGGATTTTATAAACTTCACCGGACAAAGCCAGACAAGGCCGGACAAGCCCGGACAGCCCCCCCAAAAAGAGGACATGTCCAGGTAAAAGAGGATGTATGGTCACCCGAGTAAAGCCAACCAACTCTGGCCTGGACTGAAGCTCTGATCATTGGCTAACAGGAAAAAACCATACTACCTGGATGTAAACAAGCACAGATGACAGATGGCATCTCACAGCGCGGTTCAGTTTAGTGGTATTTTGATCTGTAAAACATGGAAAATGTTGGACCTCAGTAATCTAGATGTTGAGTTGCAAGGAGGACCAAAGACTGGGTGTGCTAGCTCTGCTAATGTTAGCCACATTCTGGGATTTCATGTTTAGCTGTGTTGACTAACTTCTGTCACTTTTCTGTTTTTTTTACCTCTAGGCTGTTCGGTTCGGCAAAATCTGAACTCCCTGAAATAGCTCAGAAATGGCTCCTGGAAAAAAGGGAAACTATAACTGCATAAAAACTAGAATGATTGAGTAGAGCTGCTTTACACCATTAAAAAGTACCAAATATGCTCAGTAAATGCATGAGAAAATGGCAAATTTTTTTACAGAAGAGCAACTTGATGTGTTTTCCCGTTAAGATTACTTTAACAGCAGTTTGATAACTTTAAAACTCCCAAAATGCACATTTCATGTAAAAATCTACTACTTCTGTTCAAAGGGACCACCCAACAGCCCATGACTGATACACAAACTATTTTCCCTCAGTATACTGACTCAGCTGCAGGTGGCTGAAGCCTCACACACTTTTCACACCGAGCCGAGGGCCAGCGAAAGCGCGGGGCCATGTGACAGCATTTTTGTTGTAACTGCTCCGCACTCTCCCACCCTCTGCAGCATTTCATTATTTCCAAACCCATGAGCTCAAACAATATGTCTGTTCAGCTCAGTCAGCTGCAGCCTTTGATGTGCGCTCCCCGGTGCTGCCGTCGTGTTCATTAGCTAACAATCAGGAGGAGGAGGAGGAGGTGGCCGCATCTTTAAACTTCACTCTGAATTAATAAGTCATGAAAGGTAACAAAAGAGAACAACTGTAGGAGGAAGAAACAGGTATTTTTATGAGAATAGTATCGAAAGGTTACGGTTTGATGCTCCCCGCTTTGACTTCTTTGGGTGGGGTCTGTAGGAATGTTTCAAGAAAGGACCTGCTGCTGCTTTACGAGGTCACAAAACTAAACACATTTGCTGACGGATTCATTAAGTGTGAAAAAATGCCCCTCACAGCCATCTGCCAAAAAACCCCAGAAAAGGAAAAAGGGAAGGTAACCCAAGCCCACCAACACGGCGTTATTTACCCGCTGCGCCTGCACAAACATGCAGATGGTCGCAGTGATGGATTAGGCCGGGGTTATCCCAGTCAGCTCGCGCCATGATAACAGAGTGAGTGCTTTTTGGGCCGGGATGGGCGACGTGGACGTGGCTGAAGTGATGAAAGTGAAGTCAAGGAAGGGAGATTTCTGTCCGACATGCCAGAGAGGATTAGGTATCTGGTTTCTCCTTCTGCTCTTAATCTGGACCAGAGGGGACGATTGTCACTTTGCTAAACAACACATGTTGATAGTGTTTGTGCCACCTCCAAAGCCAGGTCAACACCGGGGATTAAACACAGGCACTTAGAGCGGGAGGGTCTGGATTAGGGATTCTGTTTGTAAATTCTTTTGTAAAAGTTTCCAGGGCATGATTTTAGGGTCATAAATCGACTTTATTTACGGAGGGGGAGGCATCTCGCTCACTGAATGGGTGACGGGTTGGACTTGTGGGTGGTCAGTGAGCGTTTGGTTCATGCAGGTGTGACAGAGACTCTCCGTGATGAAGAGGGTGCTGAGTTGGACAGGATGAAGAGTTGCGTGTAATGGGTCAGTTCGTCACTATCGCAGGTGTGGACGGCGGACGAGGCTGAGGGTGACAGTGACTGATGAGCACCAGCCTAAATGACCCAAACACACATCACCATACATGATACAGGCGTCTGTGTATGTGACTTAAAGGAACCTAAAATCACAAAGTTAATTGCTTTGTTTCCGTCTAGATTGCGAGGAAAAAAAGACGCTTAGGGACGAGAATTTTAATTAAAAGAGAAAAAGATAAGACTTATAACCCCGGGGTAAAACGATTTGAAAGAGGAGACCAATGCTGCGCTGCAGGCTTTAACAGTTTTCATCCACAGGATATAGATTATATAAATTATGGACAATCAAAAAGGTAAGCTAATGGGATTCATAACTAAAGAGGCATCTTGGGGATCTACTGCTTTATGCAAACAGAAAAACCAGAATCCAACTCAAAGTAAAAAGTAAGATAGAGTCCATAACCCAAATTCATGTCCGTGTCTGACTGAAGCTTTTAAATCATCAACTACTGCTGTCCAAAAAAAGGACAGATGTCAAAGTACTTAAGGAAATCGACGTTTACAGCAAACCCACCTGTGTGTTTTTCTTCCTCTGCAGATGGAATTTGCCCAAATATAACACAGACTATTACTGAATCAGGAGGCGTTGCTTATATAACAGTTGGTTATCCATAAAGGTTATCGTGAGACGAAGGGAAAACGTCTAAAAGAAGTCGAGCGTGTTTATTGGCTCTATATCGTCCCTCTGATAGTTACAGTTCGACACATTCTTCACATATTTCAGTCTGCTGACTTTAAAAACTCTCATTTCAGCCTCTGTCTGAGACGCTGTCCCTTTAAGGCCTCCACTGCATTCTAGAATCCAGCATTCTGGCAGCCTTCTTCACTGTTGCCACGCAGCAAAGTTGGTTCTTTCTGTGATATGACAAATTTGCCCTTTTAAGGAGATTCCTCGTCTGGTGATGTGAAAATTTCAGCAAATCTCATATTGATCTCACTGAATTCTCATGTCAGTTTATGCACAAGCCGTGCAGAACACTCCGTTGTCCCTTCTGGGGATTTCTTCGACATGCACCAACCTTACGATTTGAAACTTTGCTCATGTATAGGCCTGACATCCACTAGAGGTCCTTACACACCGGGAAAGATGCAAATATACGACGCGAAATCACAAAATATTCAGAGGCGAATTTTGACACGCCTGACTATACACATCAAGCACGATGCAATGTTGCGACTTTCTGGGGGGAAAAAAAGACGCGTCCAGGGTGAAGTGAGAAGACTGAGCCAACAGCAGACTGAGTGTTTTTCAGTTCTGATTAGACTCTAGTGTTGAGATGTCTGTCTGTCATGGTAGCATGTACTGAGTCGGGGTCAGTACCAGATAAGAACATGAAACTATAATCCATAAACGTAAGGGAACAACCGAGACCTAATGGTGCTGTGACAGCAATGTGACTGAGTTTGAGACAGTGAAAATACATATGGTATGTTGTATTTGAACAGGTTAGCTTATGAGCTAACTACTTAGCACAGACTGAGTTAAATAAAGTTTGATTTATTGGACTGTGTTGTTTTGCTTAATGCGCCTTACAATCCGTTGTGCTTCATGTGTGAACAAAGACACGGTAATTCATAGTGCGCCTTATCCAGTGCACTATATGACCCGAAAGATACCGTATTTTTCGCACTATAAGGTGCACCTGATTAAAAGGTGCACCATCAATGAACGCGTCTATTTTCATACAAAAGGCGCACCGGATTATAAAGCAGTTTAAGACAAAAAAACAGTCAGATACATCAAACTTTATCTAACTCATTCAGTAACTCCGCGAGGCTACAATAGCTGCTGTGCTCCGACAAGCCAAAAGGATTGAAAGTGCGCCTTATAGTGCGAAAAATACGGAACGGTAAAATTTGTTTTAAAAATGTGAAAAAAGCAGAATCTTATCCCTCTCTCAAGTGATACAAAAAGTTCCTTACAGGAGCTTTACCTTCCAACCTCTCTCTGAATGTAGAACGCACGGACACATTTGAGTGCAATAATGACAGTTATTTATTGCAAACAAAAGAACAAAATACAATCTGTCACACTTCCATGTCTGATTCCTGCAAGACATCACTCATTCGCAAAAACAAAACAAAAACACATACAAAATAATTGGTCAGAAACTCCCGAGAAGAAATATAAAAATGCAGTGAAATCAGCATCATCATCTTTAATGTTTTCATGAGACAAAAGCTGCTTGAACGCTCACAAGAAAAACTAATACTCTGTGAAAATTACAGACCTCATACAAAAAAATACGTTTCTTTCCCAATAATTATTAAAAAAAAAAAAAAAACAACAGCCAGCATATTTACAGGACAATAATATTTTCTATGAATCTGGCTTGCCAAAAATCCCAGTGAAACTTAGTACGATTTCTCAGTAACTAACTCGTTACACGTGTCCTCTCAAAGTATATAAGGCATGACAATCAACCTTTTGTCAGTTTTGATGTTTTGATACCAGCAAATCTTAAATATCAAGATGGAAGACTTAAAAAACGGACAGTCCTCCTCTGCAATGATATCCTTTATATTAATGCTTTCAGTAATCGTTGTTGTCTCAAAAGTTTCTGTGCATTTCTCAGCCCATCTAAGGCACCAACTATTCAGTAGGGGTGACCAGAACAAACTGTACACCGACATAGAAATCAAAAAAAGCTAATCCTACGCTAACCTACCAGCATTATGTACATGTATTTAAACATTAGTGATGAGAAATAATGAACGTGGAAAGTGGCGAATAACTTAATTTACATGCATAACAGTTGATGGGCGACCAGAGCTGAACTTTACAAAAACATTCATCGATTCAGCGCTTTTCATCCGACACATCTTAGAGAAGAAGAAGAGGAAGATCCTTTTTTTGGAGCAGAGACAGCGATTTCACCAAATTAGAAACAAGTTGACAGCCATGAATCAGCTGATTAGAAAAAAATGTGTGCATGCAGACGCGGATAAGCTATATATCACTGAGCTGGAGCCGATGCAGTTGCCAAGTGCAATGAGAGAAAAAATGAAAAGTTAATTAAAAGCTGAAGGCTTGAGGTGAGGGCTGCTCCTTGAATGTGGGCTGCAGTGGCAGATGTGCGGCGGGCGGGTGCGTGTGTGTGACGATGATGGTGAGAGCGGGGGGTTAAGTACTCTCAGACATCTAAACCTTCGAACTAAAGCCCCAGCTTAGGAGAAGTAGGGTGGAGATGGGTAAAAAAAAAAAGGAAGGGAAAACAAATGTGCACCCAGAATCTATAAAAACCCCAATAAGAAAGACCTCAAAAATACACCCAACCCCCTCAGACTGGAACACGCATATATGACTCCTTCTTCTAGCTACAAACAGCCTGATTGACTAAGCAGGGATCTTTCCAGAAAGGGTCTGTTTTCTCTTTCATGTGCGGCTTTGCAGAGGTCGCTTTAATCCATGTATCATTCCTGAGGAAACGAAAAAAAAAGAGCACTAAGTGGAAAAGTGTAAGGTCAAATCAAGCAGTGAGAGATGAGATCAGGGATGATGTCAGCTCTTTGTTTCAGCTCCACGTTGCTGGGTTTGTTGTTTGGAGGAAAAAAAGAAGAAAAATATACATATCCCTTGGGGAGCTATTACACGGACAGCTTTAACCTAGCTGCTTCTTTCACTCATGGATTAAATTTCGAGTTTCCATGATGGCTGAATATCCTCAGAGACGCTGCAGAGGAGCCAAACCCCAACATTACAGCCGGCTCTGTGATCACAAGTGATGTCAGCTGCTCGCACTGTTTCCAACTCTGCTGTGAGGTATCCGCGCAATCTTACTTCAAACGCACACAAACTGAAGCAGAAGGATCAGTTTATTACTGCTTCTTCTTCTTCTGGCCCTCTTTTACTTTGCTTGTTTACAGACACGGATCACGACTGAGGGGTGTCGAGCGGCAGCAGCGAAACGGTTGGTGGTTTACGGAGCCGCATAACTTCAGATGATGACAGCTGTGATAGTCACATATGGTATTTATAACACATTTCTTTGATCCCATGTTTAAAATAAAAAGCTATAATGACCAATTGGTGTTAGTCCTGCAGACAGAAATCAGAGGAGGGAAAATGGAAAAGACAGCGATGGAGCCTGTTATCATGGCTAAGTGGAGAAAGCTGAGGCCTGCTTGGCTTCCTTTGATGTTGACTGACAACTGTAATGACAGAGTTGTGCTTTTTCACGAAATAAAACTCGACGCATTTCATTAATGATTGTGTATTCAGTAATGGTAAAAATCATAGAAATCTCATGAAATTACAGCCCTCTTTTTATGGTCAAGAGTCTGCGGCGATAGCTTTTCACTGTTTCCCATTAAGTCTTAACAACCCCACTTTCATTAGAGTCAAGGTGCTGCGTAAGATGTTGATTAAAACTGAATTTGATGGTTTGCAAATTATTTGAAGCCTGGAATATAACTTGAAAGTGTCAATAAACTGAAAAACTGTTAAGACAGGAGCAACAAAACACTGAAAAATGAGTAATACTTGAAAATAAAGGGTTAACTGATACTGGACAGACATAACTCTGCAGTGGAAATCACCACACAAGCTCAGATTCCCCTCCAAAAACAGCTTAATGTGAGTATAGTTTGCTGCTGCCTCCACAAATGCAGGTTAAAGCTGTACAATGAAATCAGGAATCACAGGCGACTGGCTAAAGTGAAGTTGAAAACTGCTTTGAGGCCTAATTAATCAAAATTCAACACTCTTTTTGGGATTCATGGACCACCTGACTTGTTATCAGGGCGCTTACAGTTACTGACGATATGTGGATGCAGAGGCGCCACATGGTAAAGCTTGTTTACACACCTGGGAGGGCAACATCAATGCTGAATCGATCCCGTCTTCTGGGAACGCCGTTTTTTTTTTCCAAGAAAGCTTTGCATGATACAGCGAGAGGATGCCAAACTACAACGTTTCAGAGTCTGGGTACTAAAGTGGCCGGCACACAGTCCCAACCTCTCACCTATTGAACACATTTGATGCTTGCAGACAAAAAATGTTGAAAAATAGGAACTCAAAATTAATAAAAAGCTGAAAGAATGAAGTAAACTTGCTCCTGTCCCAAATATTCAGAAATATGTTGATGGCATCAAATTTGAAATGAGCCTTTTTTGTTTTCTTTGCAATAATATGGACTCTATAAAATTATTAAACCATCAAAATAAGTTTTTTCCAACATTGTATTTTGTTATGAAATCAGGGTTTCACTTCTAATATAAGTTTTCTCCAACATTGTACATGAATAATCTTAATCAAGGTCACTTTTCGTGGATCGAGGAAAAGAAGGTTAACAAATTCATTCATCGTCTGGCACGGTTTCATGTTATTGCTCTCAGCCTCACTGTTTACGGTGCGCTGTAAACTGGGGAGACGGTTGATGGCTTTAGTGTTTGATCTCTCTGCTACTCCTGCTGCTCAAATTCATCACAAGTGTGTCAACAAAACAAAACATTTCCTGCGTTTTTCTGTCACGCGATTCATGGAAGACAAAGAAGCAGCTTCACTGAGCTGCATGATGAAGGTCCGCAGGTGTCGCCGCTCCATGCTCTCAGCGCTAACTATCGAGGGGGAAAATACTTGTGCCATGTACAGCATGAAACCTGATTGTGGTTGTAACTGCCATCGACTGATGTCTGTATTAAAACAAGGTGAGACTGTTTGGCCGCCCTGTAAACAGATACACCAGCTGCTCCTCTTCGTTTATGACTGAGCAGCTCTTCAAGGAGTGTTTCCCACCTTTTTTGACTGTTACTTTAATACAGAAGGGTGTCGACAAATAAACTTCGAACTGAAAGCCGGAGGATTAAAGCTTACAGAACAGAGCCATCTTTGAGCTAAAGTGAAGCTGACAGGACGAGCTCTTTCACAGGAGGCGACCTCTTTTTACCACCACAGTTTCTCTGCTGGTTACAGGTTTGCCATTTTAACAATTATTTACAGAAAAATACAAAAGTCTGCAAAAGCAACCGAGAAACATCGCCATCGACAAGTTTACAGGACAGGGGTGTTATTCTGTTACTAGCGTCAGTCTGTTTTTCCTCATTAAATCCTCCCTTTTAACCATTTAACTGCCAAACTTCCCTTTAACCTGATGAATCATTTTTAATAAAAAAAAAAATCATGCAATATAATTTGCACTAATACTGACTGCAGTCATGATGATCATCTCACCTGTGCAGTGAAAATGCTGTAAGCAATCGACAGAGTGTTTTTCAAAATGCCACAGAAGTTGAGAGGTTTGAAGAGAAGAGAGCTCAGACAGTCAGGGGTATAAATACTTCACTAACAAGGGTCTGAACGGTCCACCTCTGACCTGTGTTGAAGACAGGTGCGAACACAAACAAGCAGAATACAAAACCTCGTTCACGTCAGTCGAAACTTCACGGTATGTCAGAGTGTCTGGAGCCCGCACAGATAATATCAGGGGGAGGGTGTCCAGCTCGTTTGTAGCTCCTCGAGACACTACAGGAGTGTGATACGTCCACATACACGTCCTTAAGGTTAAGTGGTTACAATCAAGGCAGAGCAGTACTGTTCAAAGAGCTCAGACCAGTGTTAATCTGGGCTGAGAAATCATCTTCATCCTTAAACTGAAATGAAACAACCTCTGATGATACGTCTCTCACTTGTTGAATATTCTCAGTCACATGTTCGTTTTCCGCTCAAACATACCACTCCCTGCGAGAGATCACTGATCCGTCCATGTGGGACACATAGTCGCTGTCTGTACCATTGTCATAGCAGTCCTCCGGGAGGTAGGGGGAGCCGTTGTTCACAATGGTGCTGTGAACAGGAGGCCCACAGGGGTGCATGTTTTGGTTGTTGTAGTGATCGGGATAGTAGTTGCCATCTTTGAGCCCCCTGTGGTTATCCCCCCTGTTATCGACCCAGTTATCCCTGTCCTTCCGTTCGGGGGTGTAGTCGGGGTAAATGATGTCTCCGCCCAGTTTTGGTTTCAGGTCCTGGCTGCCTTTGCTCGTCTTGTCCCCGTAGACCTCCTGCAGCTCGTGCGGCTGCAGCACATCCAGCTGGGACTCCTTCTGCATGTCAGAGGGTCCCAGGTACTGTTTGGTGTAGTAGTCCCCTCTGAAGGTCCTGCGCTGTCGCATGAAGCAGGCCCCGCCCAGGATCAGCAGGAGAATCAGGAATAAAACTCCTCCCACTGCCCCGCCCACTATGGTCCCCAGGCTGCTGTCAGGTAAGGAGGCCAGTGTCGGCGAGGTGAAGAGGGCCGTTTGCTGGTCGACGGCTGTGCCCACTCCAGAGGTGTCATGGAGGTGGGATGCGGTGGTGCTGGGGGCGGCTGTGGTGGGGGGAGGATCTGCAGAACAAAGGTGACGAAAAGATTTAAACAGAGGAAGAACAGCAGATGGAGAGAGAGAGAGAGAGAGAGACAGAGAGAGAGAGAGGAGTAATAAAAATAAAGTAGAGCCGGCCCTCACTTTATGTTCTGTAACGATTGGCAAAGGAAGACCGAATGGTTTCTCGATTAATTTATAACAAAAGTGTTCCGCGTTGGAGCGGAGACAAGAGTCTCCTGAGACCGTCAAATCTGTTGAAAGCTGCGCAGTTGAGCAAAAAGGAGGAAGTGAGAGGGGCAGAGAGAGGTTAAGTGCTAAATGTCACTGCGAGTGTGGATGAGAGACAGAAAGAGAGAGGCGGACGGAGGACATGCACTCATGAGCGTCTGAGTGAGCGTGATTGGCTTCCCTCCCTTTTCTTTTCTCAAGCCCGCTGTGGGGAAGTCATGTGAGAAGATGAAACGCTGTGTGATCGATGAGAGGTTCCAGGATCTGATTCGTCCTCTGGTGGCTGGTGTTTGTGATAGCAGCCAGAGTCAGAGGGGGAAAAAACAGGCTGTGAGGAGCTCAAGGTTAGGATAAGTGTCTCCATTCTGACCTCCAGCCTCTGGGGCGAAGAGTCGATCTCTGCACACGCACATCAAAGCAAAATGACTCACACTATTAAAGGTCTGCATCTCCGGGAGGGGCTCAGGCGGCAGTTATCAAAACTGGATTCCCTGTAGAGCTATAATGATTTCCACAATTTGTGTTACAGAGTAAGAATCCAATTACCTGCAATTATTCACTGTGTGTGAGCATGAAGGATCATGGGTAAAGTAAGAGCATAAGGGGGGATAATAGAGCGAATCAAAGTCAGTGAACCAATGCAGCGGAAACCCTCTACGCCAGACCTGGGCATTTTTACGGCCCGAGGGCAGATCGTGGATATGCTCTACAAGTGTTTTGCTTTTATTTTGAAAACCTAGCCATTGTTTTATTTCTGTTTGGACGCACGTACGTACATCCTAGATCTGCAGTCGTGAACAGAGACAGGTTTAAACATAGACATAATATATGTAGACACCTCGTAGTTGTCAAGTCTGCTTATTAAAAGCGACTTGGGCTTGTTTTTCTCAGAAATTGCTTATAAAACTTGTGAGCCGTGGATTGAAGTTTTTTGGGCTTCTGTTTATCAGATTTTAACTGATTATCTCCCCACAAAAGCAGAGATGGATTACACTCCAGCAAGTAATGAGGCGTTTACTTATATAATGTCTGTGGGTTTAAATGACTGCTTTTTAAGATGAGAGATAATAAATATTGAGCAGAAAAAGGTTGACGTTATTGTTGGTTTAGCCCTCCAACACAGTTCCAGTTTCTAATTTGGCCCCATGTAAAAATTAATTGCCCACCTCTGCTCTACGCTGTCAGTCAGCGATCCAACTCTGCAATGCAGCACTTTGACTTCATGTATGTGTGTCTGCGAACATACAGCCAATCATCTCCTAGAAGAGCAGCCAAAGCCTACAAAGCTGACGGACAACATGTGAAACTGCTACACCAGGCAGCCATGAAGGGGGGAGGGAGCAAAACTGAGCTCGACCTGGCTATCTCCACGGGGGAGGGATGTGAGAGGCCGCATGCCCGAGTCCTAATATCTGACAAGAGAAGCAAGATAATTGCCCTGTGTAAGTCAGTCCTGGACAGGATGTCAGCTGTGCTTTCGTTTGGAGCGGGACTCAGAAACCAGGCCCGCACACAGATGGAGGCTGACAGCCCTTTTTTTGGGGCTCCTCCAGTTTTTCCCTCCAGACAGTGAGAAACAAAAAGAATCATGTGTGTGTGCAAGTGAAGTACGGGTCCAAGAGCAGCAGTTGCTTTGTTTGGAGAAGGATTAAAAGGCGCAGAGGAGGAATGAAAATAAAAAAGAGATGCAGAGTTCTCAGGGATCCACGCCCTGACTTTACCATAATGAACTCGAGTAGCAAACTGTGGACAGACAGAGGAAGCAGACAGGAGTTGTTTACAACCTTACGACTTTTCTGACAAGCGTTTATGTCAGTGAATCAACAGCACTGAACAAATCAAGTGCTGGGAATCCCTCGTGGATTATCCGGGGAAGTCTCCATCATGGCTGACAGTTTCTATGAGACACTGAATTAAACTAAACAACTTGATCACATTTCAAACAGCTTTCAGAGCACAATTTACTGTTGAACAACAAATTCTATGGACTCGCACACAACCGTCTGCGTGCTGCAAATCTGTGAACATAATTCACCGTGTTCAGCTGTGAAACTTGACCTTAAACAAAACAAAGAGGAAAAAAAGCTACAAGAGTGCATACTCTGCTGAACCAGCGGGGGTAAACACCCTCTTCCTATCTGAAAAATCTAATGTTGCCAAAACCACAACAGTGGAAATGTTTGGTACCGATACTCTTTATCTGCTCTTCGTGCTCCTCTGTTGCCAGGAATGTGTGAAAGTGGATCTGGGCAGGGACATTTATGTGGAGGCTTAGCTCTGCTAGAAGTGTTGAACTGAGGGCTGGTCGTACTGAGAGGCTAATCTTACATCAGAAAGGCTCGATGAATGTCAAGAGGAGCAGATTTCACTTCTAACCTCAGGGGTTAAAAAGGTATTTTCAGAGTAAACAAACGGTTAAAAAAAGCTCCTAAAGCACTTGAAAAGTCTAAACATACCTTGCACCCAGAGGTTTACATCTTTATAGCGGAGGCCGATGTCGTTGAGCACTTCGCAGCGGTAAACTCCAGAGTCATTGCGCTCCAACGGGCGAGTGAAAGCAAAGCTGCTGTTTATGTTTTCAACACCCTCAGGCATCAATCCGTCCAACCTGAGCAAAAAAAGAAATATTACGTAAATCTTAGAGAGTAAAGTTCATCACATTCAGAGCTATAAAAGTAAAACTGAAAATACTCTGTTCACTTTTAGGCTGTTTGTTTTGACTCACAGGCCTTTTGCAGCTTTTTTACAATCACATGACAGATCATTTGGGCTGACTGCCCTCTCATCAGCGGAGGGGAAAATCTTTCTACATTAGGAGAAAGGCTTCAACGTCATGGAGAAGAAAAAATGGGAAAATAAAGAGGCTTGGCTGTCTGGACTTCACCAGTACTGTCAGCTCAATGAGACCATATTTCTAGTTTTCAAAGCAAGATGATGACAAAGAGCTGCCAATACACGAGTGTTGTTCTGATGAATGAGCCATTTGGAGCTTTTTATTTATAGGGAGGAAGTCTTCCCGCTGGGTGCAGCAGTGCATTCGACAGCTCCAGTGTCCAGGCTCTCAAGTTATGCTGGAGGTAATTTATAGACAGAAGCCTCTCCACCTCACTGCTTAATATAAGATTGTTTTAAAGCCAGTTTGGATTCATAAAGCTGAACCAATCAGCTGCTTGCTTGTCATGATGTATCTACTTAAAACAAAGAAACTGATCATGTATTATCCATCTAAATTAATGTGATCAAATGAGGACAACCTGGGAAAAATGTGTTCATGTTATGTGACGTTATGAGGACGACATATTGATTTCAGATGAGATTAAGGAGAGGTAGATCTTGAGAAACACTGACCTGATCCATGAGAAGTGACGGACAGGGGGGTTGGCTTTAGCCCCACAGGTGAACTTCACATTTTCTTGACCCACATACCAGTTCTTGTCAATGCCTGTCACTGATACTATTGGTGCAACTGGAAAACAAAGAAGAGTTTATTTTTAGTTGATGGTTTTCTATTCAGTTTGCCTGCTGACTGAACCTCAAATCTGTTCATTCCAGTTTTTATTTCAAAGGGTTAAAGACTGAGACTCAATAATCAGTCACTGTGATCCCAGCAGCTTGATGAAAAACGAGCTTTTCCACAAAGAACAAAGCGTGCATTATAAGCGCAGTAGTGAGGGATGACAAAAACAAAGGCTGTGCAGCACTGTAGCAGGGTACAGCATCTGCCGACGAACCGGAGCCAAGAGAACAAACAAATGACCCGGGGTTGGTGGAAAGTTAGAAAATGACAGAGTCAGACAGTAGATACACTGCAGCTAATAATAAACTCTACTGCCTCACCATGACAAAGAAAAAAAAGCACAAAGGAAGGTAGGAGGACGCCTAAATGAAGCTCAGCACATGCCACTGTAATAAAACATGGCAAACACTGACTTAGATATCCAATTCCTCATTTTGATTTCTCTAGAGGTTAAATGAGGAACTCATTACAGCTCACAGGAAAATGCCTCGGCTCACCATGTCCACTGACCCTTTTCACGCAGCTCGATGTTGAGATTGTGCTTCTTTTGCACTTAAAATCCCCCGACTCTGCATTTGACATGATTTATTGAACTGGAAAGCCTCTTTCTTCCCGTATTAACCTTGGTCTTTCTGCGCCTCCATCCTCTGCCCCCCAACAACCTCCTGCTTCTTGTGTTGCTGCTGAGGCCCAATCAATATTTCATAAAATACCTTCATTAGTCTGCACTCCCACAGTCCGAACACACACTAACCCTTAGTACTGCCCACCGAGGAAGTATGCATCAATGATAATTACAGTAAGATGATTCTTAAATAGGCTCTTTATGGGTGCAGCACAAAAGTAGAGGTAGTGGTTCGGCTTTTAACATGAGTAAATATTGATACACTGTACCTTCATGGACTGAACAATGAGAGCTTTAAAAGTCAAAGCTATGCGGCATGAAACAACTTTAATAACTTATGTTCTTCATTTCAGAAACCAAATCATCATGTTTAAAATACTGGGCATTAAAATTCAACAAAGTCTTTAAGATTGTATGTATAACTGCATGAAGTTTACCCAGTCTGAAGTGGCTCACAACATCTTTCTATCTTGACAATTTGATGTGTATAATATCCAGATTCCTCAGCTTGGTTGAATAATTTAGCTTTTAGAGGAATATTCCTAACTCCAAGTGCTTCTAGAAAAAAAAAAAAGAAGCTTAACAGAAAAAAGAGGACTTGAGCACAAACTAGTCTTACAGTAACTACATGTCAACATCACAAGCAGGGGGGAGAAAAATGTATACTCTGTGTAATAAATTTCTAAAGTTTGTCCACAGCTCCATTAGCTTTGCTGGCGGAGGCGGGATTTATAACCTATACTGCAGCCAATCAACAGAGGGTGCTGTTCTTGGAGTGGCTTCACCCAGCAAGGAGGCAGACGCTGTCCATACTATATACAGTCTATGATCTCACCACATCCAGCAGATTGCCTATAACAAGGAGTTTAAGATTTCTTATGATAAATGACTTACACTGAACATTGAGTACGTAGGGTATACGAAACTCTGTTAGCAAGGCTGGATGGCGCACCACACAGGTGAGCGTCTTCCCCTGGGCGTAGCTCTGCGGTTGCCACATGTAATGCACATGCGTTGTAGTGGTGCCGTTGGCCTCATCCTGACTTTGCTTCTCGCTTCGCCCGTACAGCTCCGTCTCCCAGAAAACCTCGGCGGCAGGACGGCCGCGCTCCGCTATGCAGGTGGCCACCAGCGACTCGTTCCCGCCATCCAGCAGAGCCGTGGGGCCTGCGGATACGAAGACCTTTGGCGTCACTGTTTTCAAGAGAGTTATAAAGAAGAGGGGGAGGAGAGAGAGTGACAGAATGGAGAAATTATTACAAAATGAATATTGATCTTTTTGTGTATGCCATGAATTAATAATGTCCATCATGTAGTTTATAGACAAGAGGAAGTGGCCTTAGTATAGTCAACTGCATGAGAGAGTAGATTGACTTCTTCCATTTCACATACATGCATTAATAATTGATGAACCCTGCTAGTCAATCATATGGAGGAATTTCAGAGGACTTGTCTGTCTCTACTGTTGTGTCAAATATACAGTGTACAAATCTATTGGTCCTGCTGTGTGCTTAGGGAAAAGCTCATTCATGCCACATGTATGTTTATGGCTTTGGGGGGAAAATAACTTATTGCTGCAGAATCTGAGGCGACTGAGATTCAACACTGTGCTGTGTTTGTATTTGACTGTGTTGTACTGGAAAATGAGGAGCCAAGTTACTGTACACTTGTCCGCGCTTTCGAGCTGAGGTAATGTTATACTGGCGTCCTGGGAATAACAGGAGGTTTTAACGTGACAGGGATTTTCTCAGCAGAGAACAGTAACAGATTCATGCAAGAGGAACACGACCAAAATAATGGAGCTTTGTACCTGTTGTGCAAAGCGGTAAAAAAAGCTCAGGATGCGATAGAAAACTCTACAAAAGTTTAATTTCAACAAGACGAAAAAAGGATAGAATAGCATCAATAGGGTTCATGCACAATAGAGCAGGAGTGAAGTAAACTGGCTACACAGGTTTACACCTCCATGTAACGTGGCCAGAGTTTCCCTCTCAGAATCAAGTCTTCCTCTGAGTACAGGGATAAAACTCTTCTGCCCCTCTTAAAAGAACACAGCTGCTCGACTGTCTGCCATGGTGACAGTTTTAAAGGCTGCACGTGGGGGCACACACCGGCCTAATACGCAGGACAAGGCCATGACCTTTAAGACATATGAAGCCTTATAGGAGAGTAAGAGGTCTGACAACAAATTCAAATAACTCTTGGCACCCCGTTTTTCCAAAAATAACCTGGCGTCTCCCCGTACCCAGTGCTGGGGCGGGAACGCTGTTCCCCACCTCACATTCTTCAGTCATTTATGCCCCTCCTCACAGGCCTCTGACTATAAACAGTAGCTGCTCTATGTGAGGAGGAGAGCTGGCTAGAGCTTTAGAATAACTAAATCAGGGAGACGTGTTAATTTGGAGTCGCTGTCAGGAAGGGAGGGGAACACTTTGCATGAGTGGAAATGCTTGAAGGGAGAGCGTAACGATTTCCCTTCAGCGAATTGGCTGCATTGGCCCTTTCCCGCCCACATACACATCGATGCATATATGCACATTGAACACTGACGTCAGATAGATACCCTGGAAAAAAAAAACACAATTAAACTGGTAGTTCAATGATTATACATCATGTTGGGACGTTTTCATTGTGAGAAGAATTATAGTATTTTAAGTATTCACACCAGCATCATGACCTAAAATCAATTCTGAAATAAAAGAGTCACGTTTTTGTGTAGAATTTTTGGTGCCCCAGAGCGAAAAGTGCAGCTTCGTAAAAGAAAGAACAAAGTCAAGACTTTACACAAAGCAGGGAAGTATGGTTGATAATAGCTGTGAATAAGCTGTGAGCCGTGTGAGAGGTGGTAATAAAAGAAAAGAAGAAAGAGAAGAAAAATGTAGCTTTATTACTGCCCTACATAGAGACAGGGGGGATCTACAGTACTTAAAAAGACCTCAAGAAGAAATGACACAATTCTTGCTCTGTGTAAACTCGGACCCTCCCTGCATTTTGGCTCCAGTGACTAAGCAACTTCAGCCATCCCTCTGAGGGGGCTGATTTCTCAATTTTATGACTCGGCAAAAAAAAAGAGATCTGCATTACCCTGTACAAACACAACTTTTCACAAAACAGATTGCTGGTCATTTTGTGGTATACAACCCACAAAGTTGATGATTGATCAGCAGGTTTTTCTGCTTATCAGTGATATCTACTTTGCCGAAGCGTATGCGTGTGCATGTTTTGTTTCTGAGAAAGTCGAGAGCTGTTCAGTACATTTCCTGTCCACCTATCAGCACTTTCAAACAAAGGGTCATTCTAATTCATCCACTGTATGTGTCAGATTTTCCTGCTTCCTTCCTTCCTTCCTACTTCTTATTGCTGGGGACTTTGGTTCACATACTGTATTTCAGTTCCTGTTGAACTGTTCCTTAAAAGCCTTCTCCATGACAATCTGCAAACACAAGGATGAAAAGGAAAAGGAAACGCTTGAGGCCAAAACAAATATTGTGTGCCGAGTGTCTCATGATACTGATTAAACTCAAAACAAGGTTTGTATCAAGAGTATCACTTTGGATTTATAAAGTTGATGTCCACTGCACCTGTTTATCATTAGGAAGTGTGTCGTGACTTTGGTCTATTATTCATAGATTTGATCCTTTTCATCTCTGCACTTTAGTTCATTGCAAAGGAATGAAATGAAGTCAAGTGCTCTTTTATAAACCTCAGAGTATAAACATGAATCAAAACTGGGAGCGCTGAGTTGAGTTTAAAAAAAGGTGAAACTGGATCAACAAATATTCTGTTCATTAGAACAATGTGTCAATGAAACCCGATTTGACTTTAACATATTGAGCATATCCTGATCTGGTATGCCTGATACATTTGTTGGGCAACGGCCACCTTGTTCTCTTCTTGCAAAAAAAACCTAAAGATTTAAGTGAAGTGAGAGACTTACTTTTGTTTTAAGACTTCAGTTGGAGAAATGTTTGAAACGCTGGGCAAAATGGACTGGGTATGCACCTCGAATAGTGTGGCATTTGCTATGATTTATGTGTGCGTTTATATATGTATCTATGTTTAAAAGAATATTTACATTTCAACTGTATCACCCATGATGACCTCATGTTCTGTAAATAAATAAAAAGTTTAAAAAAGATTCAAGGGAAGTCAATAAGAAACAAAGCTCAGATTATGAAGCAAATCTTGAAGGATGCCTTGGGAACATCAATCTGCTGACTTTGGGTCTTGTAATTGTAACCTGCTCTGTCTTAGACAAACACCCTATAGAAAACCTAATTCTAATGACATGTATCAAATTGCACTGAATGCACATTTTCTCCGTAATTACACCCTAATTACATCTGAATCAGTAAGCCGAGGCATGTATTTGTGAATGGGTGTGCATGTACGATGCCTGAGAAAGAGCCCTGAGAAAGGAGCAAGGTGTCGCTGAACTCTGTGAGGTCCCGGGGAACCGTGGCTGTCACAGCAGCATTTAACGTCGCTCTCATTAGTCATCAGTCTTCCTCTCTCTATGGAGAGAGACGAGCGACTGCTGCCTACAGAGAAATCCCTTCCTCCCTCAGCTCTGCCTGAGCGCAACCCAGTCACCCATTTACAGTTTAAAACACACGCCAACCACAGAGGAAGTCCCATGTTCATGCTCCTCAGAGGGAGGGCTATGTGGAGGAAAACACAAGTTTTACACCCTAAAGAAAAGCATCTTTAAAAATATATCTTTTGAACACTGCAGATTGCCAAATTAGTAACCTGCTTCCTTTGTGCGTGTGCGAGCTTCACAAACACCAATTACTTAGCGGGGGGTAGAATTTCATAATTAGAAACAAAGACTAAAGAGGGCTGAAATAGGAGCAATCCTCTGTGCTTTAAGGGAAATAGTTGCAGATCTTAGCAACATAAAGCCTTTTTATGTTGATGGTTACATGCAACTGAATGTAATAGCAGTCATTCCGCAGCACACCCTGCTATTAAGCTGTTGCATCAATCTGGGATTATTTTTACACCATGTTTGCATGTTTTCTACACAAGGAAAGCGTCTGTGTGTTGAGCACCGATGTTTATGTGCGAGCCTTCTGTGGAGTATTTCAGCCGGCCCAACAGAGAGAGAAGAGGTTTTAAGTTGACATGGCAGTTTTTCCTCAGTGAGCGACATTAGATAGCACGACCACACCACAGCTGCAGATTCCTAATAGGATTTGAGTTTACATGGCCTCCGTCCAGAAGGTAATTTAAAAAGCTATGTAGCCTTGGGGAGCAGTTCATTCCTCCAGGGCAACACTTAGCGGTCACCTAAGCTTTGCTTAATCACAAGCAACAATGTCCTGCTTTAAAAAGTGAGGATTTAAGAACAGCATAAGAAGCACTTAAAACAAGGGAAAGGAAGTGACAGAGCTCTACTTTACCTAATACATTAACGTAGGTGGAGGCTTGTGTATTGCCCAGAGGAAATGTTGCCACTTTGCAGATGTAGGACCCGATATCTGAAAAGCCAGCTCCCTCAATGGTGATTGTGGCATCTCGTACAGAGGGGGAAACAAATGAGACACGCTTGCCATACTCTGAAGAAATGGAGATTCCGTACTCAGGGTTGAACACTGCCAGGGTAATGGTGCCTGAAGGAAGACGACGTTCCCAGGAGCTCTGTGTGAGACTGAGGTTGGAGCCCACCTCTATTCTGCAGCTCAGTGTGATGTTTTTCCCCAGCACTGCGTTCACGCTCTCAGGAACAACCACCTGGTTACTGCTCACACCTGCTGACAAAAAGAAAGACAAGAATCAGATAAACTGGAGAGGCAAATCATTGTTGCATTTTTAATTGAGCTGTAAAAACGATGTTGCTTATGATCCTGTCTCTACGTCATCGTCACAGATTACAATTCGTTTCAGAAGTAAGAAAACTACGTGAGAACTGTCAACCAGTGAGTTTCCCCTCATCTGTTCCGACAGGATAACATCACAGAAGATAAGAGAAGATATACGATCGCATACTACACTAGAACTCAAAGTACAGTAGCCTTGATGGGCCAATCAAGAGAGGGAGTGTGGAGGCTAGGCTAGGTTTCCGGACTACTGATCATCACATGGAAACACAAGATTAGCATGAACCTACATGTACATGGTGTGATGCAGTTACCATCAGACCTCACAGACATTCATATGGGTGCATTGTAATGCTTCCAGTACAGTCTGAACTGAAGTTCTGATAAGCTTCAAACTGTTGAGGTTTACAGTATAATTCATTTGTTCATTCCTCTCTCTCATCACCAGCTACACTCGTCTTCCTGTAGCCTCATTAGTGGCCTTTTTTTTTTGTTCTTCCTGGGGGTGAAAAAAAGACCAGACATCATGTGGGTTACTCTGGGTGCTTTGCTTTGCCTGTTAATAAGCAACACACTTTCACCACAGGACGCGCAGACTGTCCCTCCTGCTAATCACCAGAGTACCTTTTAATCAGCAAAGAAAAAAATGTTTGGAAGGAGATGAAACGAAACAAGCAATTTGATGGTTTGAGTCTCTCTTTTTATGAGGCCCTTGATTTGACTCAGAGCTCACCCCAGTTTTTAGAAGGGTGTGAGTTCCCTTACACTAATGCAGCATGTATTCGGAGGTTTCAACACTTATGTACAGCCACCAACAAGGAGGAACAACAAGGCTGAAAGTAAGAGAAAAGAGCTGCCAATTTAGAAACAATGAAAATTCAAGAGAAAAAGTAAAGTCCTTAACAAATACAAGACCAGGAATATTATGCGAATAAATATGTCTTTGAGAAAGCATAATTAAATACATTTAATCAATGCAAACACATAAACAACGCACAGTGAAACTAAAACTCCAGGAAACAAATAAAAAGAAAAGTGCTGCTCTGCTGGTCATCATAACAGAAGTGCTTGAGGGCTGAAGGATGGAGGTAATTGGAGCTGGATATTTAGAAAAACATTTATTTTAGCAGCCAAGAAGCCACAGTTTGCATAACATTTACCCTTGTTTGCACACAGCATGTACGAGTAGTCATTTGAATACTTTAATTTTTGTGGTCCTGAAAGCAAAACTGAAAATCAGACTTTGATAACTTTTAAAAATAAAGTCAGTCTCACATAGTCATTTTACAAGTAACAAGTAATTGATTGCAAAAACTTGCTTGAATACCTTTTTTAATTTTATGGAAAGCAGATATGATAAACAGCATTTGGAATTAGGGTACATATGGCATCTTAAGTTTAAATCATGTTTTAATGCAAACCTACTGGCTTGAAGTTAATGCAGCTGGTGGAGACGCAGCCTTGGGGCTCATCACTACGATTGCTTTCTTTAGGTGGTAGGCAAAGGGGAGGAAGCTCCCACTACTAATTACATGGGCAAAAACGTACAGGTAAAGAACTCTAACAGTAGTTGGCATATCAGAAACTCTAGACACCAGCAACATCTGTGGCTTCTGGGCAGGTGTGCTCCGCCACCGCACAGATTGAAACCCAGTTGTGTCTCTAACTACAAACTGAGCATGTGTGGACACTTTTATTTTTCTCATTCAGAACAGGTTGACAGAGAACTGGACACTGCGAGTCTGAGATATTGCTCTGTTCAGTTCTCTAGCTTCAGCAATTCCACATTTCATAGTTTGAGCCTGCTCTATATACAGCCGAAAACCCACAGGATGCGTGTAAGACGAGTTCTGTCAGTATTGTGTCCCAGCTCCTTCGAACAGCGCACATCATCACATTGATTAATAGGGGAAAGTATTTGCTGCTTAGCATGCAACGCTGATGGAAGGTGTCAGCGTCGATGGGTTTTAGGCTTAACTATATATCCACTGAGATTGTTTTCATGAGCCTGCTCTGAATGTTGACATTCAGCACACTAAAGACTTTGTACACCTCTGTATTTTTTGTAGCTATATAACACTGTCAGTTATATTCATTATGTTGCTGTTTCAAGTAAAGCAATAAGAGAAACAAGAAATTGTTTTTCCTATTGTTTTTGTCATAGGAAATAGTTATTTTTTAAGTTAGTGATCATTGTCATTTACTAAAGATCAAATAAGAAATACAGAATTTGCTTCCTAGTCTCACTATCATCTCTCTGTTACAGCTGATGGTAAGACTGTTGGACTGTAGCAAAGAAATAAGGGACCAACTCAGTGGGAATGAATGCAGAATCTTGAAAAACCAACCTGAAATAAATCCCAAATTACAGGCTATGGCTGCAGCTCTGACTGGAAAAAAATACACCCGAGACTCCTTTTTCTTGTAAGCAAAAATCACACAAATGAGTCATTGATAAAAACATGTTTGCCTTCGCATTATTAAACGACTGGACACTTGCAGAGTGATTTATGGAGCAGTTTCCACATTTAACTGGGTTAAGATGTTGGTTTTAGAGATAAAAAAGTAAAAAAGTGGATTTCACTCAAAACATTCAAACAGTACTAGTCAGTTTTTGCTGTCAAAGTAGGTTATATTTGGGGGTCATAAATTTTCACTTTGTACGTACTAGTCTCGGATGTGTATGGAGTACAGCTTATAAAAGTGGTCCGCTGGCTGGTATTTTCAGTCTCTGGCATGAATGTGAGTGGTAAACCACAGTAATGCTATCTTGGTTTGTGAGGAATAAAGCCAAAGGAGGCTGAGGCTCCCTGTGCTCCATTACGTCCCCTGTAATTTTGGTGATTATACACACACACACAGAGTTTCTCTCTTCCAAAATAAGGAATAAGAGTTTGACCATGTGCGTAAGACTCGGGCGTTTTGTTTGAATGGCTGCTGAGTCCTAAATGTACGTTGCATCTTGTTGTGAAGTTTCATGCCGTGCTATAATACTTGGGCTTTCCTGTTTGTTTTTTTTCCTCTGCTGACCCACATTTTCAAAATATTTTCCTTGTGTCTCCTGCCTTGCTGTGTAACTAATCCAGCGGAGTTCTACACTGTATTTAGGTGTTTAACCTTTTAACCTACAGTATTTAACTCAGCCTGCCTTTCTTCAGTCATTTGAAAAAGCCACTTGGGAAAGTCATTTTGGATTATTATTCCACTTCTCCACAATCATTAAGGGATCCATTTACATCTCCTTCCCACCTCTGAATCACGGTCTAAAATAAGCCCCGATTGCTGCTTTAATGCGCTTTGCAGTGCATGTGTTGTTTGCATTGCGCTTGCCACAGTCCTCTGGGTGCACTAGTGTGGGGGAGAATCAGGGTCAGAGCTGTGTGGGGTTTTGCATTCTCGTCTCCATGGTCATCTGAGCTGACACAACAGCTGTTTGTAGTCACCTTACTTGTTCGAAAAATCAATATAAACAGAATTATGCAAATATGAAAAAAAGTTTTAGCGTGAGATCATGTTTGCAAATATAACAGTATCCAGAATGCAGATGGAGGGCTGTTAAAAACCCTACTGCAGGACTTGTTGTCTTAGTAGTAAACCAACATGCCTGGCATGCGTGACATTGCGTTGATGTATGCAGACACGTGTCTCAGAGCAACCTTCTCCCTAACGTGCTCTACATACTGCAGCTACCTGACACGACACCCCAACTGCTACCGTACGTAGTTTGTCTATCTCGGTGTGTCAGCTTTCAGGCCTGTCAAAGCATACAAAGAAACAAGACTCCATCCATGCTATGTACTGTTTGTTTTACAGTGAGCATTTGGGAGCAAGTAGGAAAGGAGGGAGAGAAAGGGGGGAAGTGCCTGAAGAGGACTCCACCCTTACCATTAGGGGAGAGGAGACAGATGGCCTCTGCATGGGATACCTACAGCCAGGAGGAGAGTGGGAAAACTTGGCACTGCGAGCTGAGATCATGAAGAACAGGGCCAGGGCTTGCAAACTAGAGCACAACGAAATATTATCTAAAATACTGCAGGCAAATATAACGTAAGCCGTGCCTTAAACAAAACTGTCGTGCTTTTTCACAGAGGACATAGTGCTGCAGAGCTGAGACACAGTTCAGGGCTGTCAGGAGTTTCCTCGCCTGCTATCTATCTCATCTAACAAACGCATTAAGTTCAGTGTTTGAAAGCTTTAATATAAAGATGTTTTTTCATGTTATGACCCTGTTTAGTGTCCTATTCAGTCAACTTAAAGGGTTACATCCTGCACCAGAGAAAAGAATAAACTCTGGCCTGCAAAACCTAATGTGACCAGAGAGGAGTCGACTGCACTTTTGCCCTCTTTTCCCTGAGAAATCCATGGAAAGAATGAACTCATGAGAGGGAAATGCTCGCCCTTTGAAGAAATGCTTCATATTTGTTTCTTTCCCTCCTGACATCACTAATTGCGACAAGCTGCTCCAGAGATGTAATGGTAAATCAAAACCTTCCTCTTTGCCTGGCAACCGGCTTAAACAGTCCACGTCGGCCACATGATGGGCCAAAATCTCCACCTCCTCAGACCTGACCTAGCTTCAGCCCAGACCTCTCAAGAGCAGGCTGTCTCCTGGCTCGAGATCCTTGCAATCAAGCTTGCCGTGCATGTCAGGAGCGTGTGAGACAGGGGGAGGCCAGAAACATTCACGAGCAACAACAAAATAGACAATATGTCATGTTCATGTAGACAAACTCCATGCATAGATTATCATGTCAAACGGCACTCATGAGGGACTGATCTGAAGACCTCACAGGAGAAGAATGCAGACATTAGATCTATGCAGAAAGGGAGTGTGGTTTGGGACTAGAGCAAGAGGAAACTTTGAGTGCTCAGCATTCGGAAATGAATACAGTAAGGCAAAAGAATAGGGACACAGAGGCAGATACAGGGCAGTTATTGAGAGGAAGGAGAGGAGTCAAAGGGACAGAAGAAAAGTGCTGAACTAGTGTGTGAACTATGTGAGGGCAGAAAAAAGAGACACCAGGCTGGGCCAATCACTTTTACAACTTTCAAATATATGACAGGCAATGACAGTCTGAGTGAAGGAGACCACCAAGTTTGTATCAGAACAAGGTCAGAAGTCCATGCTGAAAACTACTATTACAAACACATGTACAGTACGCTCTTTGAATACAGGAAACCAGGACTGCTGTTGTAGCATGAGATCCCTGTTGGCTGACAGCTCATTTCAGCAGCAGTAAATAGACAGGATAATAATAATAACAGGATTTTTTTTTTTTTACCAACATAAGTCCTTACTCTACCTATAGTTAATGTTACAACACACTCTTTTTCACATTGTCAGACAGGTTGGAATCCTGCCACGTATTAAAACATACTATTTACCACTTCATCTAGAGGTTTAAAAAGTCAGCCAAGCTCTAATGTCAGTAATAATCCCTCGCAGCATGAGAAACAACCATAATGGTGATAACCATCGAACCCGAAAATTGGTCTGTGAACTATGATGTTTTCAATTGACATCATTAGTCACAATTATTCTGCTTCTCTTTGGTTTCATTTCCCACCGAGTTTGTTGTAAACTTATCCAAAATACTGAGTATCTGTGACCCTTTTAACAACCTTTTAGCTATGTCCTCTATCATTAAGAACAAATACCAACCTAGTAGCAGCCAGACAGATTTACTGCAGCTTGTTTTTTTTTATTATTTAGTTCTTTTTAGCTGTTCATTCGAGTTAAAATATCAGCTATTCCAATCACACTCAGACTGTCATTGTAACAGGAAAGTGAGCGTGTCGTATACAGCTGTAATGGTATCATTAATTTTATATCAGAGGAACAACGGTGTCTCACCACTTCAGTAGCAGTGTGCAGTTTTATGTAACATAGTTTTGTCTCAGGGGAAGGACAGTGGGAACTCCAGAGACCATTGTTCCATGTATACCCATCATCCTCTGCCCAATGCGTGCTACTGCAAATGTAGCACAGCAAAAAGTGGCGAATGAGAACTGTGGATGCTCCAGTGGGTTTTAACTCTAATGTTTGGGTACTCCGAGTCAATAAATAAGAAAGGAGAAAAGATGATGGGAAAAAAAGTATGCAGACACTGCCAGACTGAAGTGTTTTACATGTCAGGGAATACGAGTAATGTGAGACCCCACACCGGGTTTGAAAAAAATCAGAGATGCTAACAACTTTGGCAAACTAATTCTGCAAAAAGATGTGAAAGTAAAGTGATACGGAGATTATAGACAAAACTTTAACAACAAGAGACCAAACCAAAAAGAATTATGAAAGGGTTTTGCTCCTCTCACAATCTTTTCGAAGCCTTTAACTTGCCTGGTCTTCACCCTCTTTCCCGCTTGGGTAGTTTTTAAGTGTGTGTAGAAGGTGGTGGACACAGGCTGAAGGGCAGTGTTTCATTACTGTTTAATGAGCGTAGTAATTCACACTCCTTTCAGGCACTAAAGCCTCTTAGTTCAGTGTTAGCCAATGGCAACATTAGCTGGCTATTAAACTTCCATCTGATTCTCAAGGTCAGTTTCCAAAAATGTTCATTAACATACATTTGAAAACTGCTTTGGCAACAATCCAACCCCAAGACCAGAATCCAAATTAATCTATGACAATGGATAAACGTGTGACTCTGTGACTCAGCTAAAAAACAATCAACTCAGGTCGTGTTCACACCTAAAGATCCGTTTCCTGATTCGAATCCAAGGCAAGACGATACATTAATTTTGATTGTTTAACTGGTCCGGTTTGCGTTCACAAAGGACAAACTCAATCGCTCCAGAAAAACAGAACTGGAAGTCTCGTGGCCGCAAATATCTTTCGGTTATTGGTCATTAGTTCATGTGGGAATACAAACCCCGCTCTGCTGTCTTCGCCTGTCATTAAGCATCGTAGGCTGATTTTGCTTTAGCTACTCATCTGGGGCGCGTATCAAAAGACGCTAGTCGATCGCTCGTATGAACGACTCGTTAGCCAGTGAGCGTGAACTGCGACATTAATTAATAGATTCCGGAGTAGACGTGCTGCAAACAACAGACGGATAAAGACGAGAGGTGTGGTGCGTTTCCTGTGACTGGTGTGGATGACGTTCACACCAGAAATGAACCGCTCCTGAGTTCACTTGATACCGGCCCGAGACCACCTCTTCAGGCGGACCAGAGTTCGTTTATTTGGTCCGCACCAGAGTTCGAGGTCAGCGTTCACACCGACCCAAAAGAACCGCACCAAGGGGGTAAACACTCCAGGGTTCGGTTCAACCGGACAAAACGAGGGTGGTGTGGATGCGCTCTTATATTGACTTGATGGACTCATTGGACAGTGAAAAAGTTAGGCTTCTGGGTAAAAAAAGTTGTGTTCCATAGATGGGACACTTGAACACACACACACACAAAAAACAAAATGGAACCAACTGCACTTCTCTGGGAATAGTTTCCAAAATCTACGAGAGGATCTTGCGCTGTGTCACTGTAGTCTGGGCCTTTCACCAGTGCACTCTCAAAGAAGTCAACTGGGACTGTGAAGCCATTTGTTTGGTATTGTTCCTCTCCAAAGACGTGACCTCAGGGAGAAAAAGAAGGTACAATGCCTAACACAAACCCCCAGACCTTTGCTTTATTTTTGTGAGGCCTATAACTCAGTCTCAATCAGTGCGAGACAGGATAAGCCAAGTGGTGAATTGCCTGTTTTATAGCGTGCCTTTATCGTAAGAAATATTTGTGCAGTGTGAAGAAAACATTCGTCTCTACACCAGCTAATCTACCCCCCTTCCTTCCTTGCATTGTATCCTGTGAGGGCGTGAGGCTTTTTCAGTGGGCTAATTCATGGTGGAGACAAACAGAGGCTGACAGGCCTTTAAAAAGGGAGCAGGCAGGCCTCTCTCACATGTCACTGTCCTCTCGAAAACCTTTTTCTCATTGCTTCCACTTAGCGATGCGGACTTGCATGTCCTTTTTATCCAGGTCAAATTTGATTAAAGATCCATGCTGAAAAGAAAAAGATCAATAGCGTTGACATACAAAGTGTCAGGACAGGTTACAACCTCTCAACCAAGTCAACTACAGCCATTGTAAAGGACAATGTCTGCCAGTGCCACTGTGTATCAAAGCAGCACAAACACTCCTACAGCATCCTGGATCATTGTGTGGGATTTGTTAGTTTGTTGAGGGGGTTTGTGGTATTTCAGTGTTTGAACACAATAGTGCAGATCCAGATGTGGGCAGCTATGTTAGTTTCCCGTGCAGGTAGTTCATCAACAACAAAATGTAGATTTTTCTATCAACAAAAACAAAGAGTCAGAGGAAAGGGAAGGCATGGTTCAATCTCCGGCCCAAAGAAGCAACTTCATTATGGAGCTTCCTTTTTTGGGAGATAAGGTACAATTGGAGTCTTTCTCAATTAGAGCTGAAGTGTACAACAACCCTAACATGTTAATGCTAATGGGAACTGCACTAGCCTCTAATCACTCCACAGTAGTGTTACATTTGTACCAAGAGAGGAAAGATGTTCACGTCAGCAGCTGCTAACTTATCGAGTGCATCTTTACTGCTTGTGCTAGAGGGCTGAGTGTTCAAGGACAACCGAAATCATGTCTCAGATGTCGTCAACTATGAATAACGGTTTGGGTAATTAAATAAATACAACTTTTAGCCTCTTTTCTTCAAGTGTTATTTTATGGCTTACAATTTTCTTCTGCTAACCTTCTGGAATTCTCACAAGATATATCTACAATTCAGGGCCTGCTAGTCAACAATTATACAGTTTTCCTTCACTGATGTCATTGTCATTTCCTGATGAATGCCTCAAAATACATGTCACTTTTCTTACATTGGGGCAAAGATGGATCTTTGAAAAGTGGAGTTGAGTGTAGCTTTGCAGGAAAGAGAGAATGGGTTCTGTAGTACTAATCACAGACTCCACTGCCCCTGACTGCCTGTAAATGGGCTACTGTACTTTCATTAGCCCCATCTAACATAATGGAAACATAGTTTCCCACATGCCACAGAGACCCCAAAGGAATTAAACTGCTTTCCTTCAAAATGATTCCCATCATTGTACAATTTTAGACCTTTTTGTGTGAGGCCCATTTCTGCCAAGAAGCAGCAACAATGTGTAGTCATTTTTTCTAACAAGAGATATACATGCCAGTAACCGTCACATGCAGACAAGGCTCACTGGACTAGTATCATCTGGAAATCTGCAGAGCTCCATCATCTGCTTTGGTTTATCAGATTATGTTCGCTGTAATTCAAAAAGATCAATCAACGCAATCAAAAAGTATAGCTGGATTTTGCGCATTATCAGTTTATAGCATTACAGAGTCTGATAACTTTTTAAGAAGACGTGTTGTATAACCTATATTTTTAAACAAGACAGAGTCCAATAATCGATGAAACCTGGGGAGGTTAGTCTATTTCTCTATCTTGGTTTAATGATGAATGTTCAATAAAGAAATACACTGATGCAGGAAGCTTCTTCAGACATTCTTGAGCAATTAGCATCACTGCAAATGTCAGCAATCACCACGAAACAACAGGAAAGCTACGAAAGCAATCCGATGAAAAGCTGCCTCTGTACTGCTTGTATCCAGTGGTCAATAAAAACAGTAAGTAGTGCGGTCACTGTGGCATTTCAGCAGCATTATCCTGGTCAGAGGGAGTTCATTTTCCCGGCACAACAACCACTTTTCCCAGCACATTACACTCTCACCGTGTTTCTGCAACAGATTAAAGCGGCACCATACTCTTGATTTACTCCACCACCCACTTTGAGCAGTAAGAACAAGGAGATTTAGGTGCCTGGGTCATGTGGGATAATGTGTTTAAAAGAGAAATCAAAGCTGTCAAAAGCACACATAAAGACAAGGATATGAAATATATGGCAAACTGCAAAATGTTGATCTACATCCTTTAACTTCAACAGCTTAGTCTGGACTTTATTTGATATTAAACAAACTCTTTTTGCAATTTACACCCACTCCCCTTCTTACTAGTCTAGAGAGATTTAATTCCCTAAAAAAAGTTGATAAGACAACATCCAAGTGTATTTTTTCAGGGACTCATGTTACATGTCTGGTTTGACATACTGTTCCCATAATATAAAGCTCACTTGGATGTTAAAGGCAAATATTTTGAGAGCATATGGCAGAGGTACATCATTTATTTTTCATCTAAAAGCTGTGGGTTGATGAGCAAACAGACTGTGACAACCTCCCCTCAAAATGTACTGCAATCTATGTGCTGGCACTGTAACCTTGTTTTTTAGGCCTAAAATAGAAGTGGCCATTTGTTTTGTTATGACCTTTTCACAATCATAGTAGGGACAAAACATAGCTGCTACATTTAACTATGATGTTTGTCAGCAGTGAGCAGTAATCTATGGTTTTTCCCCTGTGTGACAGAGCAGCAACTCATAATCAGACTTCCTTCATCAGTTTAAAATGGAAAAGAAAACTGAAGTGAAAGATAAACAGCTTTAAGACTCATCCAAACAGAAGGTGAGCATCAGAAATTAAGGCAAGATCAGCAGACCAAAGTTTAGCAAGTAATGTGGACATTGGAGGTGGAGCGGGGGACGCTGTGGGAATACAAAATAATTTGGCTAAAACCCAGCAGGGATATATTCGTGCAAAATCCTCTGCAACCCATTACTGCAGCATATCTGCATTCAGGAGCTGGGGGCTGCTCAATGAACCAAATAAGGGACCTCATATGTAGGGGACAGCTCTTTCTTTCCCCATCAGTGCTGGTGTGTCTGATAAAACTGCACAGACAATGAGGGCAGAGGGTGGGTGCTGAGATGTAGTACCAAAATGTGATGCCATCACTTGTTTAAAACACTAAAAACTCTCTGGATAAAACATCACAAACGCAGACAGTGAGAAGTTAACACTTTAAAAAAAGGCCAGAACTGTGGCTGAAGTCTTCTATGTATTTCCTTCTAACACAGGGCTCGACAGTGCGACCGTTTCACCCGCATTTGCGACTAAAAATTAGATGTATGCGAATTGTAAAATGTATTTAGGGGCACATGTGCGCATAAAAAAATCAGCCAAGGCAACAAATGTGTTTTCATGTAAATACCACGAAATATCTTACAGACATTCACTGAGGATCTACCGGTGTCTTCTCACTCTCCATAACCGAGAATAGCAACAACAGTGCAGTTAAATCTACTCAGCATCCTCACTGTCAACGTCAGGTACTGAATAAGGGACCATCAATAAATTACCGTTTGATGTCTCAAAAAAGGCTGTTTTCCTTCAATAGCTTCCACGTCATGTGACCAACTGACCTAAAATTGATTCCAAATATTATTACTTATGTCGACCAATAAGACACATATTATATAATAATTTTTCATTGTGCCCCTAAAGTTCTTTGTGTGCTCCCTACTTTTTTAACTTGTGAAAAAAGTTAGTGTCAAGCCCTGTAATACCAAACTTTGTACTCAACTATGGAGGTAAGTGAACGTGTGATGAAAACACAGTTGAAAACATAAAAAGCTACACCATACTTCTTGTGTACAAGCAGACAAGGACAGCACCACCAATAGCTCCCTTGCTCCAATCAGCTCTACCCAGTATTTGACTGGTGGGTGTTAATAATCTCCCACTTGGGTGGTAGGGGGTGTGTCAGTGTATACAACCGACTGTGTGCTCATCCCAAACATCATAACCACCTGACAGCTGAATGAAACAAGAGTGAGTGGTGAACAGCAGCCACACCTGTTTCCCATAACCCCGGCACTCCTTTCCTGGGGGGTTCAGCTGCTGACTGTGCACATCCTGAGTACACCTCTTTAGTATAAGCTGTGGAGCACAGTGTATCCAAATGACCCCAGCCTCAGTCACATACTGTGATCTGTTGTTTCAGGGGAAAACCCTGACTCCTGAAAGCAGCAGGCAAAAAAGAGTTTTAAAGGTCTACCTCTGTTCATTCACAGTAGGTAATTAAGCATGGAAATATCTGGAAGCCATTTAGACAGTACAGTTTCATGATTCAGTGATTAAACGGTCGATTCCTGTCTCCAAGATTTAATCAGCAGACAAGACATGCAAGCTAACACACAGTGAAAAAAAAAGTTATCCTCAATGTTATTATTTTCCAAGTATTTTTGCATGTCTCTCACTGTTTTGAATGGCTAATTTCCAATGAGCTGTGGTCTTAATGACTGGTAACTCCCAGTGTAGACCTTGATAGGAAGTACAAAATTATGAATGCAACCAAAGCACTGTAACTGGCCCTGAAACCCAGACGGTTGGGTAAGGTTTGGTTCTATATTTGCGTCATTATCATTAAATCAAATGGAAAGACTCATTTTAACAATGACTTAGTCTACGTCTCAACGCTTTAAACCTGCTTATCCTGTACTTTGAACAAATTCCCCAGTCCATTCATTTCAACCAAAGATGCAAATCTTTGAAAGATCCATTAAGTAACATTAAAAAGGCTTAAACATTTCCTAAAACAGTTAGGCAGGGTAGTGTCCAACCAACACTACTCACACAGAAGTTAATTTGCAGTTCTTTCTTGCCAAAGTATGGTGTATATATATATATATATATATATATATATATATATATATATATATATACATATTTATTGTTGCTTTATCTATTTACTTTATCTATTTAGGGAAGGCCTCCTTTATTGAAAGATGGGAACTTGTGGTACCTTTATTGAAGCAAAGACAGTTTATGTTAATGGTGTAAGTACTTCAATAAAAATTAAGTTAAAAAAAAATGGATATGTGTTTATTCTGAAAGATATCAGTAGTTTCCTCACAAGCTTGGGTTTTCAATCTGTTTGAGTGCAGTATCAAGAGTTTTTTGAAAATCATTTGATGATAAGCTGGATTTCTTTATGAAGTAAAGTTTTTGTGCAAGCAAAATGGCAGAGTACCAGCTTCATTCCTATTGGAATAAGATTTAACACAAGGAAGAGGTAATTGTTTTTGGTGTGTGTTGAGGAGTCCTAAAGCAGTCTGACAAGGGCTTGTAAGAGAAGTGGACTGAGAGTAATCAAGTCCAAGGATGAGCAAAAACTGGGGGTTAAAGCTCTGAATTCACTAATGGACCACAGGGGAACAGCTTGCCACACAAAGCCGCTGACAGTCACTCACATCTGTCGGGGGAGAGGAAGCAAAGGGTGGAGTCAACAGAAGCTGGTGACCACAGGCTGCTCCCTGAACCCCCTCACACACAGCCTCCGTGTTCCACAATAAAGCAGCCAACTCATCTGCTGATGGCCTTCCTTCAAAAAGAAAACACTGCGTGCATTTAATGTGATTAGGAGTTTTCCGCCTGCTGCCTCACAACTGAGATTTAAGATTAAATGAGAGGATCAGTTGGATGCTACAGCTGAGGCCAACAGCTGCACCCAAAAGCCCTTTCTTGCTTGTAATTTCAATAGCAAATAACTAAGGTAGATAATCAACACCAGACATCTTCATGATGCTTAAATTTGCCAAATCATTGCTTGATGAATACTGCTGGAGAAAATGGTTAAAGTATCTGGTGAATTCATTTTTACAGTCATCTTTCTCTGCATCTACTCATCTGTGTTTGATGTTCAGAGTGGGTATGTGAACTACTTTGAACCACTCCCCTCCCAAACAAAAGCTCCAAAAATGTCTTGACCTGATTTGCCCTGTGTTATGCCATGGCAAAACTGTGGCTACACTAAATGTTTTTCCAGGACAGACATACTTTCTTAGCTATCATTTTGTCCTCAATTAATAATCACTGAAGCACATAAACCTAAACAAGATCCAAATCTGCTCAGTCAGTGCGCTCTTTCTTCAAATCTATTTCTGTCTTGGGTCTGTAATTTAGGTGGCTCCATTACAACATTATTTATTTAGATTATGAATCATACAGCCCCAAGAGAAGAAACCTCAAAACTACGGTCTTCAATTACAGACCTGACTGCCTGTAGACACGCCTTGACTGAATCCCCTCCTCACAGCTCTGTCTACACTTACAGGGAGTCTGAAAATGGCACAGTAAAGGAAGTTGGCATCAACCCTGTTTTTGTCACAAAGTCCTCCCCCCTGCACGCTCGTGCTCGGCTAAACACACAACAGCGGGCTTGGCCACATGGGCTGTAACCATATGTTGAGTCCAAAACCTGCACGCGTGTCTATTTCAAACACGACACCAAACCTAACCTTTCTCCGGCTGGTTTGTCCTCTGTGTTAATCATCAGCTAATTTGGCTGTCTGGGCGACCGGTTAAGACTGAAAAACCTGCACACACACACATAGCACCACACAGCGCTCATTTCCAGGCTAATCAGCTTAGTTTGAAATGCGCCTTGTTTATCAGAAGCCTGTGTTGATTTATGAACTAGTGTTTAGTGGGCAGACACAGAAAAGGAATGGTATGTAAAAGACTCTGTAAAAGTATGTGTCGCAAGTGTTTGGAGATGCTACAGAATGAAGCTTGACAAATGGATCTGCAGGGAGGATATATCAGCCACTGTTTTCTGATTGCAGTTGTGTAATGTATATGAATATTTGTCGAATGTTAAATAAGATCTGTATTCAAAAAGTTAGTCATCACTATTTTTCCACTCATCAACTCAGAGAGATATGTTACCAATTTAACATGGGTATCTTTAGCCAAAATCATGAACAACCCACTGCCATGGGTGCTACACCAGGATGTTGCGTGCAGTGCTTAACATCAGCAAGAATGCACATGTAACCAACAGAACACTGTACGAGGGAATACCAAGGGTGAGCGAGAATATTGCTGTAAGGAGAATGAGACTAGCAGGACACTGCCGAGGGCATCGGGAACTGCCAACTACCAACGAACTGGTGAGATGTATGGAGAATCGGGATGACTGGAAGCAACGATGGAAGGCTCGTCTGAGGACGACCTAGAGAGATGGGTGATATTATCAAGTCTCTCTGTATGATAAAACCAAATTTAGCCCAAGCAAATCCAGTACCAGTTTGGTTATATTTTGGGTTATTTTTTATAAGTACTGCCAGACGACATCTGCGATTTCACCCCTCAAATGTTTTTGCTAATCTGTCAATATAAGCTGTTTCGTTTAAGGTTTCTTGGCTGTCAGTAAGACAAAAAAGTTCCATTAAATGCAGACCCAATTTCATACCTATGTTCTGGCCAATGTCAGATGTAGCTTTGTGGCTGTCATACTTAAAGGTATGTTACTTATTGCAGTTATTCATGCCAGAAATGTTTTATGGTGCTCTTTAAGAAACTGCTACCACTGCATAACTGAGCTTGCCTTTTATTACCCTTGAAAAAACAAAACAAAACAAACAAGAAAACACACATGGTGCATTCCTGAACAGTATTTACATTAGCATCCATCAATGTTTGTCTCTTCTTTTGTCTTAGCAGGCCCGACATGTGTGGTAATCCCAACGGAGCCCTCCAGCTGCACTTCTCAGGACAGCACAGTGACTGGAAGGTGCTCCCTCTCTCTCCACACGGCTGTTCTGGCATGCAGCCCAACTGCAGGTCAATACTTCCAGAGACTATGCGACTGCAGTGCCTCCCTTGAAATATGTCTTCATTTCCCCTGCCACCTCTCACTCCCAAAGCGGAGCAGTCTCCACTGCTTCTCCTGTCCTGTATCACATAACATTTATCCCCCCATCTGCATTAAACAGCTTGACAAACTTTTCACTAAGGAGCTCCTCTTCACTCAACAGAAGTGACACCCAGAATACTCAATTTCATCACTATTTCTGTGCACCACGAGACACTGCTGCTCCACAATGACTTTCCAGTCATTTAAGGGTAAGAGGCCACCCCAGGAAAAATACCCCTACAGAAATCAGTGCCCAAGTTTGGCCACCCCAGTCAAAAAGAAAAGAGTCTCAACTTGCAGAAACCACTTACATGGTGCAACATCGTCAACAGGTACTGTAAAACTGTAGGGTAACTTCAACCTTTATAAGGGCAGAGTTAAAATAATATAATCAGTGTTGATGGATGTGTTACAGCAGTACAGCATCCCTGGTAAATATAGGACTAGTTTGTGTGCACTCATACTCCATAGCTACGGTGGCCGAGAACTGCCACTGCTGCAAATTAAAACAGAATGCAAAAAAAAAAAAAAAAAAGAAGCCACTAGGAAGTTACCGATGCAAAACAAGAAGAAACCGAAGCCCGCTGCAAATAATAAAAGAAACAGTTAGCGACGCAGAAAAAAAGTGGTGATGCATAAAAAATAAAAAAAAAATTTAAAAAGAAAAAAAGTTACTTACTGCGAAAATAAAAGGATGCAAATAAAAAAGCCACAATGGAAATGAGCTGCCGGGGACCAATAATGACAATGCACCGTTTTTTTACAATCTAGGCAGAGAAGACGACGGCGAGAAGACGAGCAAAGAAGTTAGTGGAAAGGTTATTGTTTAATTTCGCTTCGTAAACTTTTCAGTGTGTCATTTAGTTAGGCCATGTAGCGCCTGAGTCGATATGAAGTTGAACTGGAGGATGCCGGTGTAGTGCTAGCTTTAGTTCAACTTCATATCGAATCAGGTGCTACATGGCCTGACCAAATGACACATTAAAAAGCACATGAAGCGAAATTAAACAATAACCTTTCCACTAACTTCTTTGCTCGTATTCAGTGCCTACATTGGGAAACACTAGTGCATTATCATTATTGGTGTCTGGCAGCTCACTTTCAATGTGGCCATTTTTATTTGCATCCTTTTATTTTCGCAGTTAGTAACTTTTTTTATGCATCACTACTTTTTTTGCGTCGTAAACTTCCAATATGACTTTTCTTTTATCTGCACTGTTTCTTTTATTATTTGCAGCGGGCTTTGGTTTCTGCTTGTTTTGCATCAGTAACTTCAGATGTGGCTTCTCTCTTTTTTTCCTTTTTTTCTTTTGCATTATTATTATCATTTTACTTAATTATTTTCTTATTTGCAGCATTGGCGGTTCTCAGCCACCATCCCTCAGTAACTTCATGCCTCAGCTGGGCCACCACAGTCAAAAGAAAGTCTAAGCACACCCCTGCACAGAGAGAGAACAGTCAGTATTTCCCTTACACTCCTTCAGAAATGAAAGCAAAGTCATGATGTCAGGATGTGACCAACTAGAAAATTGGTTAGCTAGAAAATGTGCCACCAACTCACCGAAGAGTGTTAACTTGTTCCCTGTCAGGAGTGCAGTCAGTGAGGCTAAAAAAGCTCATTTTGTTAGCTCGTTTTAAACAGCAGTATCTCTCAGTGATGGAGGTTAACGTTAGAAAAGTTTAATTCAATGGGATAAACGGTTAACGGTTAACTGGCGCCAGCAAGACACTTTCCAATCTACGCAACGCCACAATAAACTGTTAAAACGCAAAAACCGTTAGCTTCAATACAGCTAGCTCGTTTCCAACGGAACACATTCAACTCCAACACCGTCGGAACCAGCCGGGTTTTCCGTTTCAAACCGGGGACTTTCAAAGACCGCGACCTGCCCCACTACAACTACAACTTCTTTAGGCGAGCCCCCCCTACCACCACCACCACCACCAAAAAGTAGCACGAGCCCCTAATGACAAAGAAACGGTTAAAACTCACAGGTAAGTCCGTAAAGGGCGAGAAGTGAGATAAAAAGTCGCAGTCCGTTGGGTGATAAAGTCCTCCTGAACGGGGATATGTTCTCCATGATTCCGGTCTGCTGCCGCTGCTGCTGCTGCTGCTTTGTGCGCTGTGGCACTCTCGGTTCCGTCCGTCCTCCTCCTCGCTCGTCCCTCTTCTTTCTGTGGCTGGCTGGCTGGCTGGCTCGCGCTCCTGGAGAGCTGTTCTCCATAGCGACGGATCCGCGTGGGCTGTACCACTGCTGCAGGACAACAAAGTGCAACTCACGCAGCCTACGCACGCAGGCACGCACGCACTCACACGGTCCCAATCACTACTATTTGATTTGATTAGATTTTACTTCAGCACAGGACACTTCTGAGATGTAATGAGCTGCAGTTTGGTTGTTGATGTTGTTGAAAAAAGTTTGTATTAACTTGGTGTTATTGACTGACCAGTTGAATTCCTAATAAGTATTTTTTTTAATAGTCTAAACGTCAGATTGAATGTTTTCCATGGACGCTTTTTAAATATAAGTGTAGATTAGATATGGTGGTGGCCTGAAACTGTGACTTAAACTTCTTTATCACTCATTTATTTATTTTACCATAGAGGAGAGTGGGTTAAGATGAGCCATTTTTCATATTTGGGATCACTACATCAAGGCAATCATAGTTTTGTCTCTAACTAGTGTATCTGCATATATTTCAGGATGTTGCTCATCCCTGCAAACCAACAGAAAGAGTGTAAACATAACTGTCCTGATAATATAGCATGCAAAAAAGTGGTCTCCTATGGTCAGCTTACCCTGTGTATGGGGTAAGTTGACCATAGGAGTGGGGCCCACTCTCCACCCCAACCCTCCCTCGCCTTCTCTCTCCCTAAATAACAGTCACTTATCTATTAAACACTATTCAACTGGAACAGTAATTCTTTTTATTATTATTGCAAATAACTGCTAAAAGGCTGTTTTGAAAAAAGTCATTTGAACATGAGAATTCCTTTAAGTGATTCAGAACATTCACAGATCTGTATTTTTGAACAGAGAAAGTCCAACATTTCAACAATCTGAACTGAACATAAACATGTATAAATACTGATATTAAGCATCGGAAATGACAGACATATACATACAAAAGTCGAATATATGTAAATGTTCATAATCATATTGACTGATATTGTTCAGTGATGATCGTGAATGAAGTACAGATAGATATTATAAAAGCAGTAAAGACCATTGTAGAAGTATTAGAGGAATACCCCTAAAGAAACAATTAAAGGGGGGAGGGAAAGTAGACATCTGCCCATGGGCCCAAAATTGTCAGGGGGTTTTCAGGCTTCAGGTTCACCATGTGGCAGTTAGTGTTTAGTAATCTAATATATGTCCTTTTATTTGGTTAATACTGTTTACAAAGCTCACTCACAACATTAAGTGACATGTTAAGGGACCTATGCTGACACTGGCATTGTTGCCTGATCACAGAATCTAGTTTAAAGCCTTTACTATATCAGTTTACTTTGTTTTTAATATATGCATATCATCAGATGAAAAGGGTTAAATTACATTCATATTTAATGCTTACACAATTTAGAGAGAGTGGGAGATGTATGTTAGGCTAGGACACCTAAAGGGTTCACTGGATAATGTTTTTTTATGAATATCATAAAGAGGAATATGTAGATAACATAAATCTGATTTTATCTGCCTCTGTGAAAAAAAAGACTGAAACAAAAAGGGAAATTAAGTTTGGATCCTTGGGTAATCCCCTTGTTCAACCATTTCATTTGTGAAAACTGGTATTTTCCAGCACATTTCACGGCAATGAAACCATTCATTGTAAATAGCTGTTTACTTTTTGAGCATGATTATGATCTTCACAGTGGTGGCTGAACAGATAAAAGCCTCATTGTCTTGCTCAAGGAGACACTGAACATTTATGTGTTTTTGGCAGGTCCCACGGGTGTTTCAGCAATCAGGCCTGCAACTGGTTACATAGTGGTCTCTCTGGACAGCATGTCCAACCTTTTTGGACATGAGGTGGAGGTTGTGAATGTTTATATGTTTGGAAGAACTCTCCGGCTCCGATTAAGTATCCAGTCATCAGCTAAATTTGGGAGGGAAAACCAGGTTTACAACACCTTGTTAAGCATTCTTACCTTTTAAAAACAACTAAATTCAGTATATGCATGCTGCTAAAGCTGTAGGGAGAAATGAGAAAATGCTGATGATAATAGCCACATACTTTGCTGACAATGTGTTGCCAACCTAACTTATAACTGTGGGAAACAAACAGGGAAGTGAATGTGAAAGTTAATATAAACCTCAGGAGAGCAGCTACTGAAGGACAGAGAGGTCACGTGCAGCTATTTTGCCTCGCTGGTTCCTCAACTGATGGAGTGAATTCTCTCAAACTTTAAACACAAACTCTCTCAGAATCCTCGGTCCTAAAACAAAGTGGTAATGAAACTGTCTTGCATTGTTCTTCTTCTTTGAGATAATTACAGCTTTGACACATTCAGGAATCCTGCGCTGTGTGCAGCACAGTGTTATTATCATGCACTGAACTGATGAACATGCTCCCTCAGCAGTTTTAGGTGAACATCACAATTTTTTTCTTTTTTGAAGATAAGCAAAAAGTGTAGTTTCTGTGTGGTTTCCTCGTGTTGAGCAGCAGGCTTTACTCCACAGTGATGTCTTCATAGCCGGTGTTAGTGTCCTCACTGGGGCGACCCGAACTCTCCAGGGAGCCACCGTCTCCTGCAGAATTGAACCCGCTCTTTACTCAGGCTCAGCGCCACCATGATTAAAGCATGACCCATGATGTGTCACCACACCATACCCCCTGCCTCTATACCCTCTGGTGGTTTATTTATACCCTCAAAGAGCCATAAATCCCCAGGTGAAAGTGCTGCCCTTTTCACCGATCAATCTCCCTCCTGGGCTACTTTGCATTGGAACCGTAAAGTCAGTGCAGTGAGCAGCCTTGTGTGTTTATAAGATGATAAATCACAACTTGTTTTCTCCCACAAAACATTTAATGCGTTAATGATATCACCAATTTGGCTGATATAGCTGCAGTGAGGGTTTTCACACTGTTTGGCATAACTGGTGCTGCACAAATGCTGCGTAAATGCTTAAACCCCCTCGGTAGCACTAAATACTTTATGAGCATTTATGGCCCATGACCTTTCTAATTGTGGTTACCTCACTGACGTTTATGCAGCAAAAATACTCTGTAAGCAGCATTACATTTTCCTCGAGGCAGGCGAAGCTACACTGGCACCACCTCCCCTGTGACCAGTGGGTGCACGTCCACACAGACTGTCTGGGACATTTGGTTTTACAGTCTGTGAAAACAGCCTTTGTTAAACACAACATTCCTCACTAGTCACATTGGTGAGCTGGTCTTTGCACACCTCAAAACTCCCTCCACCCCCCACTCTCTGTGTAGCTACTCTCATGGTCCCATCCCCTGTCAAGGCTTGACCATCAAGCAGAGAGAGGTCACCTCACTGCTGACGCTTCACACTCCGGTTTGCAACTTTAAGGTCTTCGCTGTAATGAGCTCCCTCTGAAATGACCCTCTGCAGTGCATGCTGACCTTTAGGAGGGCAGTTGTAAACATAATGAAGATGGTGAACCTGTTACAAAGCAAACTCATGTCACTAGAGAAGTTAAAGGCTTCAAAGTCAGATGCATGTATTCTGACCGCTTTCACTACCACCTTAACTGGTGTCACGTATCCTTTGAAGGTATGAACTGAAGTGATCGCAGAAAAGTGTGTTTTTTCATATTGCAGTGTATTCAGATAAACAGGTGCAACATGCAGATATAGGTGAATGAACTAATGTCAGTGCTGAATAATCACATTTAGAGCAACAACTTGGGTTCTCCGGCGATAAGCACTACGATGAACTCAAAAGACAATAGTTAAGGTCACAACAATCACAAAAGTAATTACAAGGAGGGATAATGGCCTGAATAAAATAATTTCAGAGGATTAGAGCTGAGGCTGCAAAGCCAGGGAGTCAAACCAGGGCCAGAAAAATTTAACAATTCAGTGTGTAAGGATCGCCATCTGCTGGAAGTACAAGGTATGTACTTCTAGTGTGTGTGACGCTGTTTTGAAGGGAATGTATTTTAAAGTGAAGCTGAAAATAAGCAAAAAATTCATTTTATTGTCCTGACTACAGAGCCTCTCCAATCCTGACATCTAATAAAGGGGGGCACCTTCTCTATTGCTATCAGGGAAAATTACTGAGAGAAAAGCCTACTTCAGTCTACACATGAGGATTCACAAAAAGTATTGCAACATTTTTAATGGCAAGACCAGAGCTGGCCCAAGCCTCAATGGGGCCCTACGCAAAATTTGATTTTGGGGCCCTCTATTTCTGCCAATAATATTGATTGTCGATCATTCACACACCTACTACAGTATAAATTTAATGCGTCTGACATGTCTTTACACATTTAAGGGGGTGCCCTAAGAAATAACATAAATATACCAATGCAACCATACAAATAATACCAATGAATGACTGATGAATAATGTTCAAGGTGCCACATACGGTTTTCAATCTCAAAATGTAACACATTCAGGATGCTCAGTGCACACTGCACAGCAGGAGGAACATAACTGTAAAGGAGCTTTGACTTATCGGCAGTAAGAATCATTGGCCTAAATCAGCAGCAGCACTAAAATGTTTTTGCTTTTACAATATTATATATTTGATCATACAGAAAGCATCACTCATACATGCAAAAAATTAAAAAAATATTTAAATTTATTAATTTTTTTAGTGCTCTTGGAGGCTCCCTACTGGCCGCGGGGCCCTAAGCGCGTTCACGTTAGTTCACTTATGCCTAGGGCCGGCTGTGGACAAGACACTGCATTTTACATTACTTACATCTTAACTTGGTCTAAATCTGAGTTATGAAAAATTAAATCATTTATTTTCTTGAAATAGAGGGACTAATGATCCTTTCTTTGTTTTTAAAACACATCACAACTCCACTCTTTTTTTCAGCTGATCAGACGTAGCTCAGATGGTTGCTCTTCTGTGACTGTGTGGAAAGAGGTGACGCTGAAGATAAAGCGATGACATGAAGGGAGTTGATAAACGGCCTAAAAGCTCTATAGGGGAGAGTCAGGACATGGGTAATTTGAAGTGAAAGTAAAGTTGTTGAGTGAAAACAAGAGACACAAATAACATGTAAAGTAACACCAAAGGCTTCATGAGTGGGAATCAGTGAGAGATTTATGTGGAAATTCACACTCATGGATGGCGTCTTAATGAACCAGATTTCTGTTAGCTTATTGTAGAGCATTATTGTTTATCCTTGAATAATGTCATTATGTCTACATTTGACATAATGTGTGATTTCTCAGTTAATTTGCTTTTGATCTGTGTGTCAGTAGGTTACATTATGGAAGTCAATACTGTTTAAGCAAAACAGAACAACGTGATGAACTCAAATTTAACCCCACAAACAAACAGGGTAACAAAAGTGTTTGATATTGGTTTTCTCAAACAGATCACAGATCACTTCCATGTAAGCAGATACAGCAGACTGGTATGATATACGGGCGCCATACTGTTACGACCATCAGAGCTGCATTCCCCTTAACAAATACTTTAAATATAACAACAAATGAAGGATTTTTGAGAAATTACTCAATATCAAATCAAAATTTCTGTTAAAGACAACATTTGGAAAAAAAAAAAAACAAGAGACATTTCCCCAGTATATTCCTTTTACACTTGTTTAAAGTAACTTTTTTCTTATTTAAAGGTAGAGATATAGAATTTTGCAGCATCTTGTGACTCCTCGTCTTTGGGATGACTTATTGAGCTTGTCTTTGTTTTGACAGGACAGCTTGAGAGAGGGACAGGAAACGAGGGAAGGGAGAGGGTGATGACATGCACCATAACATGTCCAGACCAAGGATTGAGCCTCTGACAAGGACCACAGCATCCATACATGGGGGGCCTACTCTACCCACTGAGCCGAACAGGCCCTTGTTTATTGAGAATAATTATACGGTGATATCAATCTAACTGGGATTTATTGTGCAGCATGACACACAGTAACGTTCAAGATCACCACAAGGGAAGTTCTGGTCAAATAACCTTTGTTTGAAACATCCTTTTGATGATTTAGTGGACACTAATTTTAAACTTTCACACTCAGATACTGTATCATAAAGTAGAAATATGTTGAAAAAATGTTTTAAGACATTTTAATACAAATGTAGAAAAAAATAAGGACTCTCAGCATCAGTATACAAGATAATAGTCCTGCTAAACTAAGAGAAAGAAACCATGCATTTCCAGGAAAGACAACAAGGAAACTGATGAGTGTCTTGTCTTTATTATGCAAACTTTGACACGAAAATAACACAAACGTGATGCGGTACAAGTCACAAGATAATCACATTAAAAAGAAAACAAAATCAATAATCCTCAAGAAGCAGTTATGAATCAACACTTAAATAAATAGCCGTTCAAGACCAAACATTTATTGAGACATTATCCCAAAATTGGTGATTCACTTTTTCAGCACAGCAGTTTAAGTGCAGATAAAAAGAGACAAATACGACCCCCAAAATCCAAACATATTACAGACTGAGAAAGAAAGACTTGGTTTTCTTCCATCTTCATGAATTCGTCTCAGTCTTCCCTTAGATAAGCCTCAGGAATCTCTTCCTCCTCATTCGTATTCTCTAAGGATGCAGCATACTGCGCAATCCTCTCAACCTCCATTACTTTAGTCTCAGCCAGCTTCTTATCTGCGTCCGTTGACAGCTTCTGCGCCTCCTCCACCTGCGTCAGGGCCACCTGAATGTTTGTCCTCACCGTGATGGACGCATGTTCAGCTCCTGCAGACACCCACATGCAAACACAAACAGTCTGGTTGCTGAAAGAAGTTCAAAGGTTGACACTAAATCACGCCGAGTACAGACATTAGGTGTGGTCATTAAGAAGGCACTGTTGTCCATCATCTCCATTTTGTTTTACACAAAGCCCCGCTGACAGACAACAAATGATCCACACACCATCCAAAGTGGGACAGTGACAGCAGCTGAAAAAGAACCAGCGCACACACAGCAACATCCAAAACTTGAAGGGGGTGATTCAAAGGGAAACACTTGTACTTAACAGGACAGGATCTGTGAGAAAACCCCACATCCTGACCATTCAATCCCACAGCTCAGACAGCTTTACACACCTGATGTGTATGCCGCCTCCGCTGCAGTTTCACACAGCTTGACTGCAGTCATCCAGGTTAACTCGAACCGTTTGCATTCATCCTTTTTGTCATTTATCTGTCAGGGCAGAGACAGTTTTAAAACCAAAGCTGGATCCAAAACACTTTGGCCTTGTACACACGTAGCCGGGTATTTTTATAAATGTATATCCAACACCTTCCACTTAAAAAAAAAGTCACGTCGTACACACATCATCGTTTTCACATAAAATCCCATCCATACAAAACCGCATAAGTGTGCTATCGACCACGGTTATAAGCATGCCTGAAGTTGGTGGTATTAGCCAAAAAGTTCGACCCATTCAATCCAATCAGCGCAAGCTTTCCTTTCTCGTAGTCACTTCTCCAGACATGAAACATAGCGCCGTGTAGTTTGTTCGTGTGGACCGACAAAGAGGTGAAATAGCTTTTAAGCATCATTTTGGTGTATAAAGTAAAGACACAAGAAAGGTGGAGGTAGGGTTGTTTGGTGTAGAATAACTGACTGCAAAGCACTCCTCCTTTGCTCCCCACAAAAATATATATTCTGTAAAGATCTGTGCCATCCACTGCCTGACATAAACAAGGGCGCATAGTATATGATGTTATCTATTAGTTGTTGCAGACAATGATGTTTGGGAATTCCACACGCAAACGCATAACCAGAGTTTTCCAAAAACTTCACTTTGGCCAGAGTTTTTCAAAAGCACAGTTTTCCTGACACTTTGACAATGGGGTTCCTTAACAGAAGTCATACCGCTGATCTTGATGGGTAGAACTCATCCTATAACTGTGGTGGGCCATGTGGCGGGTTCCCCTCCGAGTCCGTGCTTGTCCGACGGCGCCACTGCTGGGGTGCTGTTGGGCGAGCGCAGGTTCGGGTGGGGTCTGCTGTAGGTCCATTTACGTGGTCACTGCCGTTTGTTTGTTGTTATTATTCTCTGCTGTATTATTATCTTTCTTTTATTGCTCACCCATATATACTGACTGCAAAGCACCACGCACTCTTTGATTGACGTTTGATTTTATTGTCCAATGTAGGTACTGTACACTCATTTTTATATTAACTGTGTCTTTGTTACGTTTCTGAGCTGAGCTGTTTGTGTCTGTCTGTCGTGTTTAAAATTTGAAAAATCAGTTTTCAATGACCTAACCCTGTTGTTCGTGTGGATGTCGGGCCAAAATGTACTCATTTAAGCAAATGCCCGGCTATTTGTGGACAAGGCCTTTGTTTCTCTGTTGGACCTATTTTCATATTCATGGTGCGGCGTTTAACTTACCTGTGCACGCTGGCCAATGATCACCTGCCAGATTGTGTCCTCTTCTGCTGCAGTCAGTTTACCCAAAGAGTTTAAATACTGCTTTTGGAGTGAGATGAGTGTGTACACAGCCTGTCAGCAAACAGAGGGAGGACATACACGATTTTCATTTAAACATGAGACTAACTAGGGCTGAAAAATAAAACAGAAGTATACCGTGGATGAGATATTCAGACAGAAACAGATCTACAGAATGTCTCTCACACTGGCCAGTGGAGTGTTTCAGATAGGGATGTCCCGATTACGATACTGATATTAGTTTTCTTTCGTTCTTTTGAGTCAGACAAAAGAATCTTATTTTAGTCCATCAGGTTTTACTCTTTTCACCATTTTTATCTCCAGTGTTTCCTAAAGGTAGTTCTTTCCTCACGTAATGTCTCGGTGTCAGGCCAGGTCTCTTTAACATTATATCTTAAATTCTCACACTGTGTGCGGTGTGTGTGTATGTGTGTGTGTGTGTGTCTTTGTGTGCGCGTGGGTCCATGGGTGTGTTTGTGGGTGGAAGGGTTGGTTTTTTTGTCATTATTGTTGTTGTTTTTTTCACTTTGAATTGCATTTTTTGTATGAAAAGTTCCATGTAAATAAAGTTGAATTGAATTGAATTTCGATCTTCTAAAGCTGAGTCTCTTGACATTATCACACTACAAACAGAATATATTACGACACCAGCAGGTCATTTTCAGGTTATTTCTTGTGTTTTCAGTCCAACATTTGTCCCTCTTTTGTCTCACTGCAGGGATGTTTCGGTCTCTTGTGAAGGTCACTTACTTTAGAGTATTCTGTGATGGCGTCTATGAGAGCCAGGGTGGTCTGAGAGAGGAAAGTGCTGGAACTGTCCGTCACCAAAGAAGCTGCTCGTTTGATGAGAGAGTCATGAGAAAGGGTGTCAGCCTGTATCAGACACAAACAAGGTCAGGCACATGTATGATAGTCACTGTGAGCTGTATGTTTGTAAAGGTCTAGCTCTGGTTGGTGTTGAACTCACCTGTTTAAAAGGAATGGCACATAACCCACCACCGACGGATAAAGACGCTATACTGGTGTACACAAAGTTGGTCCATTTCCCTGCTTTTCTGTTTCTTAACAAGAAACGAGAAGAAGCGCCCCTGTAGAAAGAAATACAAATATTCAGCTTGAGTTTAAACAAAACAAAATGTCCCTGTTTTGAGTAGTTTGTTTAAGCAAAAGAGAAAATAGTCTATCATGTTTTCTGGTGTTTCCGGTTCTTGTTGTTTACGGTGTTTTGGCACCAAACACTCGCTTTACCCCCTAAATGAATACAAATTCTACACTGTACTATATGGTACTGTTATTAAGCGAATAAAAAAGGAGGTTGAACAACTGTCTTTTCTCTATAACGATGTTTTAAAGTTTAAAACCACCTACCTGAGGAGACGAAGGTAAGATGTTACCATCCGAAGCGCGGCCATCTTGGTCCGCCACTATTAATGTCCCCTTTCAATAACCAAAGGTTCCACGGCCGTCTTTCTTCTTCTTTTTTTGGTTTAACGGCAGTTGGCACTCTTGTGTACGTTGCATTACCGCCCTCTTCTGACAGTTCTTATACAAAAACCCTGTGCACCACCCATTCCCATCTCATACACTCACACATTCATACTCCTACAGACTAAATCCTATCAATCAACCCCGTCACCCTTAAAAACTCGACTAACACTCTCACATGTGACCTGTCCCCCATCTGTAATACTCCCTATAGTGTAAGGTCCTGCATACCTAATTCCCTCAACTTATTTCTCATCTCTCCCCTTTCTGTCTCATATCTCCTACAACCCATTAGAACATGCTCCACTGACTCCTCCACCTGACATCCCTCACATAACCCAATCTGGTGTTTCCCTATCATCTTCAGTGTTTTGTTTAATGCACAATGACCTAACCTCAACCTTATCAATGCTGACCCTTCCTTTCTCTGTCCACTACCCAGCCTCCTAACTTTAACACTCTCTTGAATCGTATACAGGTGCCTTCCTCTCTTCTCACCCTCCCATTTCTTCTGGTTATAATAATAATAATAATAATAATAATAATTATTATTATTATTATTATTATTATTATTATTATCATCATCATTATCATTATCATTATTATTATTATCATCACCATCATCATTATTTTTTTCTTATTATTTTTTCTTATTTTCTTTCCTGTTAAATTCCTTTTAGTTTTTCTTTATTATTATTATTATTATTTTCATTTTACATAACATTTTGCCCTCAAACCACATACATTGGACTTATCCACACAATGAAGCGACAATATTCCTTACCATACATTTTGAACAGTTGTGACTGATACTCCCTACACCTGTCTCATTTATGTTTTGCTCTGCTTGCCTTTTTTGCCGATGTACCACTATCTTTTTTTTTTTCGTTGTTTGTTTTTGTCTCTTGTTTTTTTCTTAGTAGGTGTTGTTTTTAAATTTCTTGTTATTTCTTGTTTCGATTATTATTCATATTGCGCTGCACTCTTTATGTCTTATTAAATGTTTGCAATAAAAAAATTAAAAATAAAGCTCTTCAACAGGTTTGGGTTTAATTTTGCATCATAGGTGATATTAGTTTTTTATTTATTTATGAAAAGACAATTTCTTCAATAATGGAGAAAAGTCAAAGGTTCGACAATGTCACCCTCTGCTGGTAAATGAAGGTACGCCGATAAAAATAGCCTACACCCAAAACCAGCCCCTGAATATGAAGGCCCTCCAGTGGAAATGTGTGTGATAAAACAGTAGAAAGTAGACAACAATTAAAAGAACAATAAAACTAAAATTACGATCGATACAAAACAGAGGCTTCTACGCAATTAGTCTAGTATATATAGTAATTTGTACAACTCGTGAAAATTGTTAAACTAAACCAAACAGAAATCTGGGTTTGAAAAAAAGTCTCTGCTCAACTTTTCAAACACTTCAAGTCAGTTTTCTATTAAAGTTTGGTTTGTTGTTGATGTCATCTCTCATTTACTGTCCCAGCTGACACAGAAGTATCATGAGGGGATGTGAAGATGATGGTGTCTCTCTGCTGTAATGGTTTGTTTTTCTAAGTGGATTACGGCTCAAAACAAGAAACTAGTAATAAGCTAATCCTTTCAATTCTCCATTGACGTAAACTCCAATGTAACTCATTAGAAGTGAAGCTTAATGGGTTCATTAATTATTAAAAGGATTCAGTGTTCATCGAGGCTTTGATTAAAGACGGATTATGCAACAGTTAACAAAAACTTTCAGTCAATTCATCATTAATTTGTGTTGTACTTTTGATCAGTGTTTGTTATAATCAAAACCATCATCAGTTTTCTTGGATTATTTATTGACAGTGAATAACAAAATAGTCATTGTAAAATATGACTAAAGCAGTCAGAAATCTTGACTCATTCAATGACGTCAAATGAAAGTTGAACATTTTCAGATTCATACTATCACATCTATGTGATTCCTCTTAAAACATGGACATTAAAACATTTACGAAAGTATAATCGGATACTTTTAAGATTCTATTTTGATAACATATTTTTTCAAGCAATGCTAGAAAACTTTAGAAGAAAGTCTGTATACTCAAATACACATCACACACCTGCTGACAGTATTTGGCCTCCACAGGCATGAGACACTCAAAGTGAAATTTCATCATCCAGGGGAAAAAGTTCTTGGTGTGATGTCTTGTCTTGTGTAACTTTGATGCAATAATGACCATAACAAGTTCACTGTCTGTATTCCTGTGTGGCAAAACAAACTCCAGTGAAACCAATTTAAGCTGCTGTTTAATGGTTTCATTAATTATGCAAAGACTTCTCTGTTGGAGCAAAACATATGAAGAGTTGGATAACACTTCATCACTGTTTGGAAACTTTGGATAAAACTAAAAAGTTTGTTGAGACACTTTTCTCAATATTTTGTTGAAAGTAGGATTTATCTTCACAACCTGTAAACTCTACTTCTCCTTACCTCCACACTCCAATAAGGGCTGCAAAAGAACGAAAAGGTAGACAACAGGAAAGTAAGAGACGCAAGAAATACAACAGGAAAAGTATAGCCAGTGTGAGCCTTTTTGGGCCAGGGCTGACCCTTACTGGACTCAGGCTGTTTGCTCTCTTTCCCCTTATTCGTCGACTCTGTTCAGGGATACAGGAAGGAAAGTGAGAGATAACAACAGAAAAGTAAAAGGTGCAAGAAAGAGAACAGGGAAGGCAGAGCCAGAAGGAGCAGCCTTTTTAGGCCTGAGCTCACCCTTCTAGGTCAGTCTGAACACATCTACCTCCCCCTACTCCCCCACTTGGACACGGGATGCAACGAGAGAAAAGAGAGGAAACAGAAAGAATCAGGGATGTACAAAAGAGGACAGGGAAACCAGGGCCAGGGCATGAAGCCTGGTTGGGTAAGAGATCAGCTCTGCCATGTTGGGCTGCATGCTCTCACTCCACTTACTCCCCCACTACAAAGAGAGATGAGAGAAGAGCGGATAGACAGATAAAAAAAGGTAGACAGCTTCCCCATTCTCGCACTTGTTTGATAGTTACAGTGAACCCTCTTAATCATATTTCCACTGGACCAACACTTGATTTCCATTCTTGCTGTTCAGCTTCTTCTGCCAATCATACACATCTCAGCCTTTTTTCTGTAAGTTCATGAAACACACTGTTAACCTTCTGTTGGCTGGTCTACCATAGTGCACCACAGGCCTCAGATTAGATTGAGTGGAATAACAAGTTCTTAACACAAACTGACCTGCAGCTGTCAACCATGAGCTCCCTGTAGGTGGCCTGACTCAAAATCAACCTTCTTTGCATGCGTCCCCCCATGGAAAAACTGAATGGCTGTACTTTTTCCCTGATTACCTCCTTAATCCACCTGTGATCTCTTACTTTTGGACCCTACTACAGCTTTCCTCCCTCTGCTTCTCCCTCTATCCCCTGTCTAAACCCACTGCAGTAGGAGCAGATGACTGTCATACATAGGTCTGGTTCTGCTCAAGGCTTAACCCATCATCACATTGGGTCCGTGTAAATATCATGAAGAGCAGAGTCTAGACCAGCTCTTCTTGTTAAGCTTCAGGAGATAGTATTTGTTGTAAATTGGTGTGATACAGATAGAGATTAATTCATTGATTTATTGATTGATCTCAGTAGCAGGTGAATCAATTTCAATGAAATAGGGTATGAATATTCATTGTGTCCAAAAACAAAGCCTTGAGCCTGCAGAGCTGAAAAAGTGGGAAACTCTAAGTGTCCCGTGTGTTGTGTGCCACTGGGATAATGATGCCTTGTTTACTTCAGGGTACAGCCTGTACAGGGAGGGACCACTGAGGGTGACAACAGTGCTTTGAGAGAGGTTAAATTTGCTGTTACTTTGCCTGTATCCTGGTCACTCATGTGAAGTCATCTGTGGACAGCACTTGCTCTGAACTCTTCAAAGATGATCACCAGTCCTTGGAAACCTGAGGTACAGTGGTTTGGCACAGCAATGAGTATTGGTAAATGACTTAATGTAAATGATTATTTTGGAATGAATGCAGGTTTGCCTTTAACTTTTTCTCTGTCAAAAGTATTATCACAGTTTGACATTTTGCACTGGTTTGACAGCTACCTGCTGAGGAGAGTGATGGCAAATAACACCTTGCTGGATGGTGCTGGGCTCTCTCTGAATTTTTTCACGAACCGTTTTGTTATTATTGTGCAGATTGTGGTTGTCATTTTTCTCAGCATTAACACTTTCTTAATTGTAACATTTTTCCAAAAGGAGTGCTTCAACACAACTTCACGCTATATCTTATTTGCTGTTACCTTACACTCAGATAGTCTGATTTTAATCATCAGTGATACCCTGCTTCTCTTGTTATATTTTAAAGTCACATTGCCAACATGGGTTTGTCTCATCATCTGCTCTATGACACTTCAGTGGAATGTTGTCACACCAGTTACTTTGACAGCTATGACCCTGGAGCGTTATGTGGCCATCTGCATGCCCCTGCATCATGAAGAGCTCTGCTCCATGCGCAGAACTATGTGCTGCATCTTCTTCATACAGGGCCTCAGCACAGTTCCCAGCTTGGTTCTTCTCTTTGCAATATTTTCCTCAACACATATCAACTTTTATTTTGAATACAGAGTATGTACCATGCCAAAAATCACTGTGCATTATTGGCAGCAGCATGTCCACTCAGCTGTGTATCAGTTTTATTTCTTGATCATGACTGTCATCATTGTATTCTGCTATGTAAAGATAATGAAAGTAGCCAAAGTGGTATCAGGAGATAACAAAGAGTCAACACAGAAAGGTCTAAGAACAGTCATTTTACATGCCTTCCAGTTGCTGCTCTGTCTGATGCAGCTTTGGTTCCCCATCATAGAAGCTAATGTCCATATATCTGATATTCGGGTTCTTGGGAACATGAGGTGTTTTACCTATGTTATATTTGTTCTTGCTCCAAGATGTCTGAGTCCTCTAATCTACGGCCTCAGGGATGAAACTTTTTTTCATGCTCTGAAATGTAATCTTCTGTGTGGCTTATACAAGGAATCACCAGCTTTTTAATGATGAATTCAACTCACAGTTTTCAATGACTACTTTAGTGGTGGGCTGAAATATCAGTGACATTTTCATTTTCAATTCTGCTGTACTGAATTTATCTGCAATCAACCTTTTTTCTTTTCTTGCTGAAAATATGTCAAAGTCAGACCAGTAGTGAGTTAGAAATCATAATGGTAATTCTTTATTCTTAACAGCTGCTGATGTTGCTTTTACTATCAATAGCCTACCTGGTTTCTTGTTTTAGGATGAACTATGATTGCTTTAAGAGTGACACTGAACGCATCATGACTGATTCAGATGACTGTGCTTCTTTTTCAGTCTCATCTTCAGTTTAATGTATACTAATATATGAGTTGGCTCTGAAAACAATGGACAACTTCTAAATGTTATTAATTAAATGAATTTTATGAAAATATTAAATTTGTAAGAGCTTTTTGTCATTGCTGAGTTTAACTGAATGCACACTCTCATTGAAAGGTTTTATAATTGCCTCGTTGATTTAATACACACACGATGATAACGGAGAACGTCGGTGTTTTTAGACCTAGCCCCTATTTCCCCGTGTGTTTGTTTCTGCTCGCCTGATGTGGAGAATAGTTTCTGAAATTGATCAAGTATTGAGCCGTTCTTTGACTTCCCAGTGTCTCTACTCACGTATCCTCTATTGTCTTCCTGGCTGCAACAAGTGAAATCTCGCGAGACATCAGAACAGTACTCTCCACAAACGTGATTTAGTTGTACAAAGATGTTTTTAGCTAGTTCCGCGGTTGCTAACTACATCCTCGACCAGCTCCAGAAATTGTTCACTGTGACAGTCAAATACACAGAAGCACATGGGAAAAAAATACATTTTTACGAAGTTTAATTTTTAAAAGTAGGGATTTTTCTCAGAGTGCTTATCAAACCAGTCCCCACAGGAAGCTACAGGATTACTCTCCACCTATTTCAAGAAAATGCAACACCAGTTAATAAGCAAGTCGTCAGAGGGACATTGTTAGAGATAAAAAATATATATATTAAATAAATACATAGACTTGGGTTCAAGGAAAAGCAAATGTGGTTAAAAAAAAAACATGATCTGAATAAATACTCCTTCTCTCCTGTCTTTTGGGAGATATGACAATGAAAGCATTACTTCATCTCCAAATGTATTTATTTTCACACAAAATCATACAATTAGCAACACTGAGGTGCAACAGTGGATCAATCTCACTGCCAAACACCAAAACAAGAGATGTTATTCTCACTTTTCAATAGCTCTAAAGTAGCCGACACGCAGTGATCGAGTAAATAGTGATAAATAATAATTTAGGCATCCTTAAAGAATTAAGTTATGTTTATTCCATGCTTTCCCCTTTTAGCTATGTCTTGCAGGGTGAACTATCTTATATGATCCAAAAAGAAAAGAGACAGAGAAGAGGAATAAAAACAGAAAGTGTCTGTTTGCCTCAGTCCTCTCTAAGATAAACTTCATGCACCTCAAGCTCCTCACTAGCTCATCCAAAAACAGCATATTCAGCCATTCTTTGGGCAACATAGATGTTTGTTCTTGCTGCAATGGATGTGTGTCCAGCTCCCGGAGACACATGAAAACATGGATTCTGTCAAAATGCTGCTCAAATTCAACAATGAACAAGACAGAAGTTGAGCTTGTTTTAAATCATGTGTTTCAGCACTTCATCCAGCCTTAAAACTATAGATGCGCTTCATCACACATTTATTTACCTGATGTCTGAGCTTCCTTGGCTGCCACTTTTTTTACTTTTATAAGTATTTGTTATGATCAAAACCATCATAACCTAACTTGTATTTTTTATTAGCAGTGAAAATAAAGATAGTCACTGTAAATATGACCAAATCTTGACTCATTCAATGACATCAAATGAAAGTTGAAGGTTTTTAGATACATACTATCACAGCTATGTGATACCTCTTTCTTAAAACATAGACATTTATACATTTATACTTAAACTATCTGGCCTCCACAGGCATGAGACACTCAAAGTTAAATTTCATCATTCAGAGGAAAAAGTTCTTGGTGTGATGTCTTGTCTTGTGTAACTTTGATGCAATAATGACCATAACAAGTTCACTGTCTGTATTCCTGTGTGACAAAACAAACTCCAGTGAAACCAATTTAAGCTGCTGTTTAATGGTTTCATTAATTATGCAAAGACGTCTCTGTTGGTGCAAAACATCTGAAGAGTTAGTTAACGCTTCATCACTGATTGAAAACTTTAGATAAAACTAAAAAGTTTGATGTGAGGTTTTTCTCAATATTTTGTTTAAAGTAGGATTTATCTTTCAAAACCTCTGAAATCTAAGTCTTCTTACCTCATCTCTACAATCAAAGATGAAAGAAGAGAAGAGGAAGAAAATGGGAAAGTACAAGATGCTTGATAGACAACAAGGACAGTAGAGCCTCTGCGGGACTTTTTGGGCCAGAGCTGACCCTTGCTGGACTCCGGCTGTATGCTCTATTTCCCCTTTGTGCTGCACACTTTCTTAACATACATTTTTTTAGCATGCTGCAATTATTAATACAGATAAACCCACCCAACTTGTGGAAGACAGCCCAAATTATGTCCACCCACCTAAGTCTATTTGAACCAACCAAAAACTTCTTAATAGGCCAAAACTACCCAATCACAACCCATCCTTGAGATCTCCCTGGCCACCCCATCATTATGTTTGTTTGTTTTTTGGCTTTTTCTGATGTGGCACTTGTGTTAAAATCGACTGTTTCGTCTATTTGGGCAGAGTAATGCTGCGTTCAAATTACCTCGGAAGTTAGACGTCTGAGCTGGGAACAACGTCACACCCAAGTTACAGTTACCAAGTTGGAAGAAAGCAAAATCAGAGGCGGAAACAAGATGGCTTCATCTACGAAAGTTATTTTAGGGTTTGCCTTGTCCAAATGCAATTTGGCTTTTTTCCAACTTGGTAACTGAAACGCTGGTAACTCGGGTGTGACATCATTCCCAGCTCAGACATCTGACTTCCGAGGTAACTTGAACCCAGCATTTATCTAGATCCAGAATTTTTTTCTTCTTTTGATGGTGCTTTTGATTTTTAAAAGTATTTTGCAGATGTATTTTATAACACTGGTGTGCAGATGAGTTGGTCCTATACACTGTGGACAACTTCCTTCCACCAGTTTACAGATTTGAAGCCGTAAAGCTCTCGGTATTTCCGCGATTTTTCTCCATTTCCTGAAACCAACATTGCGCAGTAGCATTGTACGCATTCAGCCGGAGAGTCGCTGTGATGACGCTCGGCTCAAACAGCGAATCCTTCGGGTGAGCTACGCAATCTTCTTATGGCCAAGTTGATCAAGTGTCAATCATAGAAACCATGAACCCCCTAATAACTTTTAAAAATGGAGCTGTACAAAGAAAGAGGACTTGAGCACAAACCAGTCTGACAACAACTACATGTCAACACTGCAAGCAGGGGGGAAAACATATATATTCTGTGTAATAGATTTCTAAAGTTTGTCCACAGCTCCATAAGCTTTGCTGGGAGAGGCGGGATTTATGACCCATACTGCGGCCCGTCACCAGAGGGTGCTGTTCTTCACCCAGCGAGGAGGCAGACGGCGTCCAACAGTCTATGGTTGGTCCGTTGAAAAACTGGCAGATTATTTTTCTAACAGTCAGACAATCTGCAGGAGTGTCCCCGTACGTTAAATTTGGACCTTAAACGAACTTATCTTTTGAGTTTGTTGTTGTACATTAATGCAGGGACCCAGGTGGCCTGGTTTGGACCACCCAAACGGAAATCCTGAACACGCCCCTGCTCCTTGAGTAGATGTGGTCCAGTGAATTTCTTTGCATGTGAACTGATGACATCATTGAAAGCAGTCCTCCTCCTCCTCCTCCTCCTCTAACAGACTCCTGCTGCTCCTGCTGCTGCTGAAGATACAGTCAGAGGAATTATGCCCTGCCCAGCGGTGGCTTTGCCTGTTTGATGAGGTGACCTATGCATACCAAGTGGTTGTAAGTCCGGGGATCTCCCCGTGTTTCTGGTAAGTCCAAACCCTCTCCAGACTCGATGCACCGGGCTGACTCTGATTCTCCCTCATGCATCTGCAGATAGAGGCAAAATGGCCAGACTCACACGGTAGCTGCTAGTTGCTACAGCTAACATCTTCGCCTTGATGGTTCTCACTTCAGACTGAGTGGAAGCATTATTAGGAGAAATCCGCTGTAAGCTGTGATCATGTTGGTTTCAGACTGTGGGAATGTTTGTTCGCGTTTTTAAAGGAGATCGATGCGTAAAGGGGAAATGCGACACGGGGAGCATTTCATTTACATTCATCCTTTTCAGCCGGATTTATCCCGAAATCCGGGTTCATCCTGGTATCAGGGATGGAATTCAACGATTAAAGCTGAGCAACAGTTTGACATCAGACAATGTTCAGATATTTAGTTGGATGCGCACGGAGAGGCCTCGGTACCGGGGCTGTTTTCGGAGGAGATGGACGGTGCTGCTGCAGAAGAAGAAGAAGAAGAAGAAGAAGGGGCGAAAATTACATGTTTCACATCTATTCATGCATTTCATGTAAAACCAGACAAAACAAGTGACCAAACAAAGAGAGGCTGTGTTCAATAATCTGGAGATTCATTATTCTAACAGCATGTCGAGTCTCCATTAGCCTATCCCCCTCTAAAGGGGCGCTCGGCCCCTGAGCCAAAATAATGCAAATCTCACACTGTGTTCTCAGAGAACGATGGAGGAAAAGGAGGAACAACAGAGTGAAATACAAAGAAATAAAGCTTGATAAACTGTCATCTTATAAAGTTCAGACTGTGCTCAACATGTGGGGTCTTCACTCCTTTACATCAGTGATTCAAATCTGAATCAGATTATTATTCCAGGTGAATGTCAGATGTAATCTGTCCTGTGTGCTGTTAGTATAGGGGAGAGTGGGTTAAGATGATCCATTTTTCATATTTCAGATCACTACATCAAGTCAATCATAGTTTTGTCTCTAACTTGTGTATCTGCAGATATTTTAAGATGTTGTTCATCCCTGTAAACCAACAGAGTGAGTGTAAACAGAACTGTCTTGATGATATAGTATGCGAAAATAAGTGGTCCCCTATGGTCAACTTACCCTGTGTATGGGGTAAGTTGACCATAGGAGCCGTGTAAGTTGAGCCGTATCCCTGCTACCTCCCCACTCTCCACCCCAGCCCTCCCTCACCTTCTCTCTCCCTAAATAACAGTCACTTCTTCACATTCATGTGTATTTTATCTATTATACGCAATTCAACCGGTACAATAATTCTTTTTATTATTATTGTATATAACTGATAAAAAGTGATTCCGAACATTCACAGATCTGTATTTTTGAATTTACCCCTGAACTACTATGATGACTTTATTAGCCCTCTAAACTAAAATGGTGGCGTTTTATGTTAGGTTTGTGACCTCATGTTGTAGATGTTTAGCTACATGGATACTTTATTAATCCCAGAGGGAAATTCAGAAAACCTGCACCGGTGGAACACTGTACACACTCTACAAATACAAATACTATAACAATATTTACACTAAATAATAAAAATAAAATCAAAACAGTCTATAAACATGACCATAAGGCAGTAGGCATTAGGCAGTAGTGCAGCACTACGAAGGCATTGTTCATGGATGGGATATAGGATATAGATATGGGATGTAGCTCATAGATACCACAATTGATGTATAAAACAAATTTAAAATGATCTTTTTTGGTCTGAACACAATTCTAATCAAACTTATTACTGAATTCACTTTACAGAGTGAAAAAAAGTTTTTATTGTGAATAAATGTCTAACCTAAATATTTGGTCACATGATCAATTTCTTTCACCATTTACAAGCAACAGGGGGTGGCTCAACTTATCCTTTGGCTCAACTTACCCCACTCTCCCCTACTGTAATTTAACATTAATGTTATCACTCTCATCACTCATTTCTCTTGTCCTGTGATTTCCACAGTTTAGCATGAGCATGGAGGATTATGACTACCTGTTCAAAATAGTTCTGATTGGAAATGCAGGAGTTGGGAAGACATGTCTGGTCCGGCGCTTTACTCAGGTTTGTATACTGTTTGTATCCTGAATCACAGATTATAGGAATATGATTATATTGACGTTTCTTTTATTGTATTAGGGCCTTTTCCCTCCTGGACAAGGTGCTACTATCGGAGTGGACTTCATGATTAAAACAGTGGAAATCAAAGGGGAGAAGGTCAAGGTAAGCACAAGTTTGACGTAGTTTGAATCTGTGTTTTTTTATGATGGTTGCTCATCCCAGATATTCTTCCTCCCTTTAGCTGCAGATATGGGACACAGCTGGACAAGAGAGATTTCGCTCCATTACTCAGAGTTATTACCGCAGTGCCAATGCCCTCATTCTTACGTATGACATTACCTGTGAGGACTCCTTCAGGTGCCTTCCAGAGTGGCTGAGGGAGATCGAGCAGTATGCCAATAACCAGGTGGTGACTATATTAGTCGGTAAGAAGCTTTACTTTGTCGTTTTTTAAACAGCCGGAGCTCTTTTCTTACGAGATCCTTTGTCCATTGTGAGAAAAACTAAATATGAGTGTGAGCTGGGCTGGTTCTTCAATGTGAGTGGAAAAAATGAGATGATTTCACAGCTTGAGGACAGATTTTGAAAACACAAAGCTGCGATTGTCTTTTAACAACATTTCATCGCAGAGTTTTTCAGAGAATATTTTTATTTCTAGAAGAAAAACCTCCAAGACTAACTCTGCCTACGGCGGACCCACACATGCACGCACACATGTACACCTCCACATTTGTTCCTGCTACACCCACCACTCATCAGAAAGCCAGTCTGTGCCTCGTGAATGGATGGTCGAGGGGTCTGAATGGCTGCTGTTCTGTTCTGTATGTGTTCCAGGTAATAAAATAGATCTGGCAGAGAAGAGGGAGGTTCTCAGACAGAGGGCTGAGGACTTTGCTGAGTCCCAGAGCATGCTGTATCTGGAAACCTCAGCCAAAGAGTCCGACAACGTGGAGAAACTTTTCCTCGACTTGGCCTGTGAACTCATCAGAGAGGCCAAGCAGAACAAGCTGGATAACAATGACACTGCCCCGATGCCCGGCGAGGGTAAAACCATCAGTTATTTGACTTGCTGCAGCGTCAATTAAAAAGAGTTGAGCCTTCTGGCCGTGGTAATTCAGTAGCCATTGACTGAAGAGGGCAGATGGCTGAGCCACAATGCCTCCGTCCCTCTGAGATGGCATAAAGCCACTTTTAGTCCGTCATTTCTCAATCCATGCCTTTTTTTAAAGCTGTGCAAGGATGTTAGTCAACTTTAGTTTGACCTTCCAGGGAGAGAATTTTAAGGGTCTGTCATCATGGAGAAAATTTTCCTAAATGCATCAGGATATAAAGCATGTCTGAAAGATGCATCCAGGAATCAAAGTAGGGCTCCATTTCTCATCCTCGTGGTGAAATGGATTTTTTATTTGGATTCTTCATTTTCATCCAACACTAGTGTTCACCAGCAGTATTAGGTGAGTGAAAAGGTCAACCAGGTATTTTGTTACAGAGTCCACATAACTGACATCAGGTGTCATGATCATTGGGGGTTATCAGTAAATGATAACTATGTTTACATATTGTAGGTTTTGGAAATAAACTAATCTGATCTATTTGCAAAGTAGTTTTGCAAATTTCGCCTAAAATCTGTTGCACAATCATTTCCCCGCCCGTCCCTCTTCTTGCTCTGATGATTTTATGTTTAAATTAACTTTATTAATTTCACTCCTGTGTAGTTTTTTTTTTCTTTTGCAAACTGTGAAACATGTGTTCTCATTGGAAAACTTTTACTTGCTGCTAAATATGTTTTTTTTTTTTTTTTGTCAAATAACATAAAACTAAAACACAAGTATAAACACTACAATGAAACAGTATCCTGTGGCGCTATCATAGCATTCCTGCGGTGTGTTGAGTCTGTTGTGTGTAATGAAGAAGCTCAGATATCATCAGTCATCAGTAGAAACAGTAAACTCTTACATCAGTTGACCGTCAGCTGTTTATTTTGAATTCATAGAGGTGAACATTTCTGCCTTCGTTGTTGCTGCCATGAAATTGTGTCACTTTTGATTCCTTTGAAGGAGTTTGTTCATGTAGTTTCGTAGAAGACTCGTTGTACTTCATTTTAGTTGTGAAAGGTTTTGATCGTCCAGCATGTTCTGCTTTGGATTTTTAGTGTCTAACTTTATGTTACTTATATTTGCCATAACTGTAATGTACTGTATTGCACAATGCCATCTACTGCACACTTATTTTTTATCGCAACATTTTGTGTTTTGTTGTACAGACATGTAGAACATCCTGGCACTTTGCTTTTGTGTGGATTCTTTGCAGTAATCTGTAATTTGTTCAACTGTCGAGCATTTTGTTTTTGCCTTTTTCTTCTATTTCACAGCAGTTACTTATTTCTCTTCTCATGTACTTGTCAACGCAATATGGGAAACACAAAGGAAACTCTACTGGGAAGTTGTGCTTTTTTTCATTTATGTGTACAAAATAATCCCCCAACTGTATAACATTAAATAATAACATTGAAAGTCTTGTAATTGTCTTTTTTTAACACCTGAGGCAATTGTTGCATTGGGATATATCAAACTTCACATCTTCCCTATGAGCAAATGAACATTTTGATGTCCACAATAAAAACTAGTCATGTTTTATTGTGAAAAACCTAGCGGAAGTCTACTATCGTTTCATTAGTGCCACCTTGACTAGTTCGTACTTGTAACTATTGCTTACGACCACTAGAGGTCAGAATGAGAAAATTATAAAGGATTAACTCGGGTTAGCTGGAACTGTTAGGCGCCATTTTGACCGTTTGTTAGGATTGTATGGGAACAGTTCGACTTTTCAATTTTATAAAACACTTTCTCAAGCGTTTAATAATTTCGAATGATTAAGTATGAATCTTTGAAGAGCTCCAAATGTTAACTGGAGAGCGATATGTTAATTGATATTCGGGGGTTTCTATAAGAGAAAATAAAGGTGCCAAGTTAGTTTTCCCAAAAGTAGAGTCGTAGACTCTCTGTGCGCTTCGGTGGTAATAGTACATGACTACGTGATTTTGCAGTTTAATCATTAAATGACAAGTTCTAATAGAGTTTTGTTATGCCAGTAATGACGCTAGTTTTGTTTGTCAAAGTTGCTGTTCGTCTTCGTGGCCGCTAGAGGGCACAGTGCACTCATAACGGTAAGATACGTTTACTCCATAATGAGGGTATACTAACTGCTAAATGCCATAATCTTTTAATAGAATGAGTGAAATTTTTAAAAAGTTGAATGTCAAGTTTGATATGATGCTTTGTGTGTCAGTGACAAATTTATTCATGTATTTTAAACCATGTTTTGTCCTTAAATGCCATTACTTTCACCGCTAAATTTACTGTAAAGGTGTGAAAATAATCTCGGTAGTTAAATACAAGGAACACTGTGTAATTAACTCAGTCAAATTATGTCAGTAGCAAGTGAAAAGCCCGGTTGTTTGTGTGCAATTCAAGTGTGTTGAAGTATAGTCACAAGGGGCACTAACGTTTAGAGCGCGTAATAGCTTATATGTGCTTTATTTTGAAATCATATACCGGAAGTACACCTATTTGTCACATTGATTGGCGTCACTTTATCAAACATCCAATCCCTTAAGTGACCGGTAGGTGGCAGTGAGTACTCGTGAGTGTAAATACACAGGTCTACCGTTCGTCAGAAGCAAGTGAACTCAGGGAAGATTTATATGAAATTGCGCATTAAGCATAAATTAGAATACATAAACCAACATTTCCAAAATGAATACAAGTCTACGCTGATGTGTAGACGTTATCCGTGTGCCTACTCGGGGGTTTGTTTCCCTCCATTGGAGAAACGCTGTAAGTAGTCAAACTCGCATAGATCTCTACAAAATGGCGGGTCGTGACTTCCGGTAAGTTGGTCCAGTCCCAAAAATTAAACTGAAAATTGACAGAGTCGTAACTTAGTTTGTATTATTAATATTATTAACAGTCAACCAGAACAATGACGACGCAATTAATATTTTCCAGTTACTTAGTAAAACAACCGCCAGTCCACGATGGTTGACATGGTGTTAAAGTATCATTCATATTGTAGATTATTAATCATTTAAATATCGATCATGAAATAAGTGTTCACGGACATTAGATTAAGCGAACAGCATGATAACAAACATCAATGTTCCGTTTAATTTTACATAAATTGAGGAATCGATACCACCACACTTCTCCTTTTAGAAACGCTTCATAAAGACTCAAACTCCCGTCGACCTTTGCGGGCATGTAAACAGATTGTGACCCGTCTGTTCCTTATTGATGTGTTTTTTTCTGTTACGGTAAAATCAAACTGATCGATAAATCTCGTGTTCTTCATCTGGTGCACGAGGCTGCCTCGCCTCTGCAGCTAAATTTAGCTCACGCGCTGACTGAGTGTGGATTTGCTGACAGGCGGGTCTCACTTCCTCTTTCTGACGGGACAGGTCTGCTCTGCTCTCCTCCTCAGTGAAGACAGGAGAGACCATGCCACCTCCTGACTTCAGCTGAGGGTCTGTCTGATTTTAGTCTGACAGGAGCTGCAGTGAAGAGCTGGAGGCAGAAAGATGAGGGGTCCGAACAGAACTGCAGCTGTCTGCATCCTGACTCTGTGGTTCGGCTGTCTGCACGTGATCGCCCTCAAATCCAAACTTTTCACCAGACATGGAGGGTTGCCTTCCTCCACTGAGCCTCCCATCAGCTATGAGACCTTCTACTTTGACCAGAAAGTGAGTTTGTCTTCATTTTTTCACAGTTTTTACACCATAATGTTGTTTTTATGTGTTGTCCTCTCCCGCTTCTTCCTCTTTCTCTTTATAAAAATCTCTGTAGCACCTCTGTCCTTTCAAGCACAGCAAATATATACACATCTTTTGTTTCAGGACAACTTCAGCTGTCAGTTTATGGAGCAAAATTTATGTAAATGAATGTGACAGTAGATTCAGAACCATCAAAGTCAACCAAAAAACAAAAACAGATATTGATACCAACAGTTTTTTTGCACAAAAACTCATAAATCTACTGTGACCAAGCCTTTTCTCACCTTAACATCATTCTCTCAAGTCTTGGCTATCAGGAGAAGAAATATTGGGATTGGAACAAACTCACAACAGAAACTATTTACATTTTTACACTAATTCTTTTAGCTGTTTTTTACTATTTACAGTTGTTTTTGCCGCTCCTTGAAGCAGTTCCTGTCTGGGATGAGACAGAGGACCACATCATACTGCTCAGAATCTCTTCTTTGCTTGTTTCCAAGAGCTGAGGACCATTATTTCTTATTTTGCAGACAAGCAGGGAACTTTCTTGTCTGTTGTTGGACACTAGGGAACAATAGAAGAAGAATATGAGACGTGTAATTGGTCTGAAGTTTGACAGAAAGAGACGTCATCGAAACAGCTTGTCAAACCCAGAAGACATTAGCGTCATTTAGCAGTCACAACAATCTGATAAATAATCCTGTTTTCACTGGTATATCACTGCAGATTTACCATCAAATGTCTCTGATCAAACACCTATTTTTGTGGCTGGATTGTAAACCTTGTGGCAGGTGTAGAAATGACTGTAAACACTCGATAGATCGGCAAAATGGTACGCTTTTGAACACTTTTCGTCCCATAGAGATACACGGTATAGTTCCTTAGAAACTGTAAGCAATATTAACGGTGTCACGTGGGATCACCGTCGATCCAGTGGAGTTCTAAGTGTTAAAATTTGAATGTTTTTTAAGGATCTGTGATCCATAAAAACAGGAACTATCTCTTGCCTTGAATATCTAATGTCTCATAATGACATTAAAAGTCTCCTCTGCTCGGTCTAACCATATCAGGATCTTTGAAAAATGAAGCTCAGAGTGATTAATTTTGAAAACAATCAGTATTTACACAGGAGTTTATAACTTTTACTTGTCTCTGTGGAAGTTGTGAGTGTGTTGTGTTTATGCAGACAATAGCTCTTCCTCCTGACTTCCTGTAGTGAAGGGAAAACCATCTCATTTGGCTCTGCTCCTACAAGCACAAGTGTGACCGTCCCTCTTGGCTCGCCGCCCGAAAAGGTCTCCGGGGGCCCTGGTGAATGTGAAACACTTTACCTCAGAGGGATTCGAGAGGTCTTCACTCAGCCTTAACGTTCCCCATTACTGTGACTTCATGGAGCATCACATTACACGTCGAGTGTTTGCAGTGGATCATAACGCAGCATCACGCTCGCTGACTTGTGAAACTGACTCATACAGTCACGAGACCGCGCTTCTGTCTTTATGACTCTACTACTCCTACTACCACAGACAGACACTGTGAAAGGTAAACAAGAGCAGGCTATGGCATCGAAAAAACTGAGTTTGATGGTTAACTATCATCAGACAGCGAGTCGAGGTAACGATTTACCTTAAGAATGTGTGATTGCTGAGCTGTTTGACTTCATTCCTGCACTCTGCACACACCGTAACAGTCAGTGGTGTGGTTATTATGAAAACTAAACACAGGTCATGAAGGTGCAATCATGTGCTTCATACTTGTATCACAGATTGGCAGTGTTAAAGCCTCAAACAGGACAGGAGTCAGACTCTTTTCACACTCAAACTGGACATCCAACAACTCTGTCTGAAGACTTAAGAAACCCTGAACATTAAAGCTCCTGTGGAGGTTTTAAGACGTACACTGAAAATCTTAATGATATACCAGTGCGAACAAGATTATATGTAATATCAGTGTGAAGGTGTAGACGTGAGCCACACAGCTGAAGAAACAGCCCCGTGTTTATAATTTTCACGTGAAATATCCAAAATTAATCAAAGTCAGCAGGAGGAGATTTCTTTGTCTGAACATTACTTTAGCATGTTGATAATGAGATCAGCCAAATCTGGTGTAAAATCAGGATTTTTAATCATAAGAGTGTGTAAAATAACATAATCTGAGAGCCTGAATGAGTAAAACAAACAGTCATTATTAGGGGGTTTGTATCTGTTTCAGTGAGCTGATCAATCATTTTTGCTTATTTGACAAGAAGTCAGTTAAATAAATTCTCTGAAATGGTTTCAAATCTTAAAATACTCTTAAAATTTTAGGTAAAATTGAAGAAAATGTGGTCATTTCTATTTTGGGCTGATGGTTGATTGAGCCGACTCTGAAGAAACAGCCCCGTATTTACAATTTTCACATAGAAAATCCAAAATTAATCAAAGTCAGCAGGAGGAGATTTCTCTGTCTGAACACTGCTTGAGTATGTTTAGATTGAGATCAGCCAAATTTTTAATCACAAAAGTGTGTAAAATAACATAATCTGAGAGCATAAATGAGTGAAACAAACAGTCATTATTAGGGGGTTTGTGTCTGTTTCAGTGAGCTGATCAATCAGTTTTGCTTTTTGATAAGAAGTCAGTTCAATAAATTCTCTGACATCGTGTCAAATTTTCAAGAAGAAAATTCAGCCATTTCTGTTTTGGGCTGATGATTGATCGAGTCGACTCAGGTTGAAGAGACGGTTCAGAGCTGTTTTCACTACATTAATCCATACAATAATCATCAGACATGTGTAGTTTCAGTTCTTTTCTTTATGAAGACTGATGGTAAGACTGTGTCGGCACAATAACAACACTCAACAATATTTGGATAAGCAGACAATGCTCCACACCTGGTCCCACCCCCGCCTTCCTGTCTAATCAGCCGCACTGACAGCGTGATAAAGACCGTTTCCTCTCCTCTGACGCTCTTTGTCTTGTCAGTTTTTCTTCTTCTTGACAAGCTCGACAAATAAAATCCCTGTTATCCTTTTCTCTTCCCTCGCTGTGAGTCTGCTGCTTTTACAAAAGAATAATCAATCATACAGTCTTTTTTATTTTTTATTTTTTTGTTCCTCTCTTCGGGACGAGCTGTGAAGAGTGAGGGGAGCTCTTAGTGATCCCCCCGGTCGTCCTGAGGAAATCCTCTCGTCTGCTTCTTGCCTCCAGACAATGAATGGAAGTGTCCCTTAGCATCCTCCTAATGAAGTGTTGGCGTTCACTGAAGCTTTGATTGTTTCCCTCTTGTCTCTGTTTGCAGGATTTGAACTTGTGCAGAGGATTTAAAGTTCCAGTAAGTGGACAAAACGTGAACAGAGTGCTGCCTCTGCGTCGTCCACATGGTGGCAGTACTGATCAGGGCGTGGATTTGTTATGAAACCCACCTCACCGGCTCTGTGATGTGCATACTGAGTGGGTGCAAGTGATACAGTGCTCACTGGTGGTCCTCTTGGCAATGCACTTCATTCAGTTGACCTCTTCAGCTCAGGCGTTCAGACCATTGAGAGTATGACTGTTTTATAACCCCGGTCATTAATGACGACTAATAACTGAATTTCTTTAAATGAAGTGATCGCCAAACTGCAGAACTTTTCCATAAAACCGTCTCATGGCCCCCTCACTCTGAAAAAATGCCAAATACTAAAGAGCAGAGGCTTGAATACACACACTGAGAATCTTTTTGCTGTCATTGGCTCTTAAAATTGTTTCCCTCTTTGTACCGCTGAGGAGAGAAGGAGGCGACGAGGGAGGAAAAAAAAAAAGAGAACAAAACAAAAACAGTCTGTATTAAACGTTGGGACTGTTTCAAGGATCGGACAACCGAGTACCCTCATGGGGTCGTCTCTCCGCTCTGAAGTTGTTGGTTTTATCTCGGCTTTTGTTTCAAACAGAATGTGCGCAGAATAATTGAGGACTCATCGAAAGTGGAACTAATGTGGCATCTCTTTAACGGCCTCCAACATTTTTAGGACAAATTGGGGCTAATTACCCTAAAATCAAACCTTGGGACTGTCATAGTCGGCTGATCATATTCAATCCAGATCACTTAGTGTGGACTGGGCCGCATCAAATTACATCTAATATGCAGATTATAACTCTTGCTGTTTGTTTTCGCACAAAAGTTAATTTTACTTTGATTTCTTCGCTGTAGTTCATGTTGAATCTTTGGCTGAGATGACCTGAAAACAATAAGTTGTTTATGATAAGTTTGTGTTTTTGTGATTTAGATCGATCATTTTGGATTCCTGGAGGACGGCACCTTCAAACAGAGATACCTGGTGGCTTCCAAACTCTGGCAGCAGCCCGGTGGACCCATTTTGTTCTACACTGGCAATGAAGGCGACATCACCTGGTTCTGCAACAACACCGTGAGTATCCCATCTGTTACCTTTGCGTTTACACCGCACAGAATCCTCAGTCTAATTCAGCTCCTGTCGTTGTTTCTCTTCAGGGATTCATGTGGGAGGTTGCAGGGGAGCTGGGCGCCATGCTGGTTTTTGCAGAACATCGTTACTACGGAGAGTCGCTGCCGTTTGGACAAGACTCGTACAGTGTAAGTGGAGATGAAGTGTCAGCTAATTCGGTCAAATTGTGCAGAAATTGTTTTGGATTTTGGAGTAAGAAAATGACCAATGCCTCTCAGAGCGAGGAGGGAGGCGTCGTTGATGTTGAATCTCATAAACGGCTCACTCTTGATTTGCTCGACCTTTGCTTTGCAGGACAGCAAACACCTGAACTTCCTGACCTCCGAGCAGGCCCTAGCAGATTTCGCGGTGCTGATCCAGTACCTGAAGAAGACTCTATCTGGAGCTCAGCACAGCCCCGTCATCGCCGTGGGAGGGTCCTATGGAGGGATGCTCTCCGCCTGGTTCAGGATGAAGTACCCGAATGTTGTTGTTGGGTGAGATGTTCTTCCAGTTTGAACCACCTGATAGAAAAATGATATAAAGATGATCCAGGATGGTGAGATGTTTTTTCTCCTCACTGTGTTTCAGAGCTCTCGCCGCCTCTGCTCCTATATGGCAGTTCCCTGGTATGGTACCATGCGGGGACTTCTATAAAATAGTGACGCAGGACTTTGCCAAGAGTGGGCCCAACTGTGATTCAAACATCCGAGAGTCATGGAGAGCCATCGGTAACGTTTCCTCCACCGGTGAGTCCTGAAAGTCCTGATTCTCTCTGTGAGTTAAAGACATTTGAATTCATCCATTTTTACATTTGAACAATCTCTCCATGTTTGTCCATATGCTCCACATTCATTAACAGTCCTCTAACGCTCACACAGCTGATACTAAAACCTGCTGTCGGGTATTAAGTCTGGAGCTCCTCCACAGATGACAGATTGGGAGGTAAAACCATCATAACTCCGATCATCTGAGCTCCTCAGTATTCTGCTCAGGTCTAAGAATATATGCTTTTACAAGATCCCCTGATACTTCTCCATTATCACAGCCTTAAACTGTAAGAGTATTGAACCAGGTAGCACTTTTTTTTATCCCTGCCATCAGGGGTTTGAAAATAGCAGTAAAAAGGGAGACATCACTCAGGAAGGGCCTTGCAGGAAGGGTCGACAAGCTTTTTACTGATAAGATAAGATATGTAGCTCGTGTAGATTTCACACTTGTCTGAAAGTTGTGATAAAAGCTGCATTACTGGGAGCAGGCCTGGTTAAACACTCTGACTTGTCTGCGGGTGGAGGAATTATGGTTCTCTGTAGGGGAGGGAAACGTTGGAAAGGGTCCAAGTAGTTTAGAATTATTCAGCAGATTTAGGGAGATTTTCTACAACGTTTTTATCATATTTGTCGGTTTTTAAGTCAATGAGAAGTTGCTTTTACAGTTTGAGTGAAATTCATTAAACATAAACTTCCTAAATTGTTTTAAAAAAGCAAAATTTTAGTGATTGAACAGTCGACTTAAGAGGTTTTCTACAAAAGAGGATTAGAGCCACAAGAAGAGAAAAAATAATTACAGGAGAGATTTTTTTTAATTTCCATCTTGAGATTAAAGTCGAAATGTAAAAAGTCAAGAGGAAAAAAAATCTGAATTTTGAGATTAAAGTTAAAATTCAAGATTAAAAAAATCAAAATTACATGAATAAAGTCAGGATTTCTACTTAATCTCAAAAAAAATTTATTTCGAATTTTTAATTTTTTTGAATCTTGAAATTTCAACATAATTCACAAAATTTCAACATTTTGTAATTTCAACTTAAATCTCGAAATTTCGACTTTATTGACATAATTTCGATTTATTTTATCTCATAATTTCCACTTTAATCTCCTTCCTGTGATTATTTTTCTTTTCTTCATGTGGCCTTAAACCTCTTCTAATCCTTTTTCGTAGTTTTCTGATTAATGGTTCAGTTTGTTTTAGAAAAAATATCCGAAGTCTTGATAGAGAACGATTGTCAACAGTCCGGTGGTGACCCACAAGTTGATCTAGTTTAACTGATCTATGACACATTAACAGCAACATTAGACCCAGACCTTTAAAGATGCCGTCATGCTGTAATTCTGACTCCAAACATGAGCCGAGATTTAAAGTAAAAACTCACAGAAACTGGAGAGAGATAAATCTGAAGAACAGAAAACAGAAAGTGTGTGTAATTTTTGTTATTATCTTAAATGTTATTAAAAAAATAAGAGCATCTGGATTCATTGGACATTTAAGCAGAACTCGAGGTTTTGAAGCTTCACTTAAAGGGATGATGGTCGTTTATATTTACATCTGAAAGGATTAATTCACAGTTTTATTAAACATGTATGACCAAAGTTTGATTGAAGTTTGTCTTTTGCTCTTTCTTGGTTAGCGTCCGGTCTTCAGTGGCTCTCAGAAGAATTCAGTTTGTGCGCTCCTCTGAAAAACAAAAACGACGTCTTCAGCTTCAAGGCCTGGCTCCAGGAGACGTGGGTGAACCTGGCCATGGTGGACTATCCCTACGAAGCGAACTTCCTCCAGCCGCTCCCTCGCTGGCCGATCCAGGTACATCCCGCCTCAGTGCGTTCGTCGTGTCTGAGGATTTCCAAGAGCGGTCTGTGTGAAGTTATCCAAGAAGTTATTCCGTCGCAGTTAAACTTCCCTTCCTCAAAGGCGTGTAATTAAATGAAACTTTGATTTTTGTTTACCTTGAGTTAAGCGGCTGATTTGGCCCGACAGCCGGTCCCTAATTAAAATGAATGTGCTAGTTAGCCGATTGTGTTACAAGTGTTTGTTGTGGTCTTCTGAGCTTTTGTTTACAACAGCTGCCAATTAACTCCATTAATATTCATAAGGATCTGGTTTCTTTTGGATTTTAAGTATTCTTTAGATGAGCAGCTACAAGTAAGCCACCATTCTTCTTCCTCTGTCGCACCGACGCTCCTTTCATTCGCACACACCCCGTCAGATCTCTGAGGTGTTCCTCTCAGGACGCTCACATGGCGCCGCAGCAAAAGGAGGACATTTGCCCAGAGCGGCTCATGAGGCCATTAAAACAAGGCCTCCGCTCTCTCATTTGAATGAGACTGTAACAAATACTTCACCGCCGCACACTTGATGGGAAGAGGATTTCGCGTTTCCTGCCAAAAATCGGAGAAAAAAACTGATTTGTGAGACAGTTTTTAACAGTTTTCCGATATCAAAACAAAAGCTCAATTCTTAGAAAAAGGCCAAAGACGGTAGAGTGGTTTACGTACTCGGGTTTAGTATATTCCCCCGGTCACCTTGGCCTGTCACGTGCAAAAACCGAGCCCTGCCATTGACCCCCAACTCTCTGTCTGTTTGCTGTCCCCCCTTTGAGTGCCCCCAAAACAAAACTCTGACTCGTACGGCGCATTTTTTTGTTCCCTTATTTGCATTATTTAACCACTGAGAGGATCTCCGAGCAGCATGCAAGGTGTAATAAAAACACTAAATGGTCATTTTGAGTTTTTTTTGGCCACTTCCCTCTAATGTATGCGACCCCTATGGGTGGTGTAAGCGGTTTAGGCAGTGGGTGCAAAGAGGAGCTTTTTTAATGACAAAGCTAATGTGATTATCTGAGTGAGTGTGAGAACGGGGTATTGAGGGCTTAGAGGAGGGAAATCTGTTGGCAGAGATGAATGTATAAGCCTAATCCTATCTGAAAAGTAAGGAGAAGATGCTTTGGAGCAATTGCAGTGTTTTTTTTTTCACGGTATAAATCTTTGGTTGGACATGTCTGTGGCCCTCCTCATCCATCGACCACCAACTCCTCCCCGGCCCGTAGACAAAAGCCTTAGTAACAGACTCCACACTAGCACAGCTCCCCTCCAACCTCTAAACAAGAAAGCTCAGTTTCTCTGCCTCACAAAGAGCGCAGAACAACAGCCGCGGCCAACTCTGCTGCTGCTGCCGCTGCAACCATAACAACACGCAGCAAAGTTAAACAAAAAGCTCAAACTCAAATATTTATCATCCGCGCGATTAATTCAGAGAAATCAACCACGGCGGAACAAAGCGGGGCCAAGAAACTTCTGAATTTGAATTATTTAGATCACTGGCTTTGGGTAAATTAAAGTTTTTCCTCTCGTGCCAAGATTAGAGCTATAAATTCAAGTTCATTCCAGGGAATTTCATATGCAAATCAGGCGCCACTACTTTTTATGTGGAAAGACTTTATGGGCGACAAGAAACCCATCTTCAGTCTTGTAAACAGCATGGATGGAGGGGGAGTAGAAGTTACCATGTTTCTCTGTAAGGTGATTTGAATAAAACTTTAGAGCTTCATATGGATTCTTCTTTAAGTTATTTCAGAGGCGTCGTTTCCTTTATCGAGTAGGACAACAAAAAAGAATAAAAAACAACATATGAAGAGTAAAGAGTGGGAGGAAATATGCAGCAAGGAGTCGAACCAGCGACTTCTGTGACCAGGACCACAGCCTCTCTCATAGGGCTGGACGATATGGCCTCAAATCAATATCACGATAAATTGATCAGTTCACCTTGATAACAATAAATGGACAATAACTACTCCACAAGCTGCTCACCCCCTCCCACATTAACTTCGTCTACTTCAGCCGCTCCAACTTTCTCTCCGTCCTCCATCTCCTCACCTGTCTTTCCCTCTTTGTTATGGACTGGATGGGGTGGAGTCACGTCTCTGACGTAGGACAGCGTCTTACCCCCAATTTCCAACGCATCCGGAACGGCTACAAAAAGGCCATACCCGCCGATCGTAGCTGATCGTAACCATTCAAGTTAATGTGTCGATTTCCACCGGCTTCTTTCTGTTCCGCTGCGGATCGCCAGACTCCGCATCTAATTGCAAGAGTTCTATTTTTTTCCAGACGCCAGAACATGCCGCATAAATTTAACACAGATTAACCCGTGCTGGAAAGGAAGTCGGGCACAGACACAAAATAAAACATCCGTGTTTCAGGCGGATTGCATTTCACACCATACAAAAAGGCAGGAATCATCGAGTGGCCCCCATTGTTTCCACCGTCCAGATGCAGTGGAAATTCGGGGTGAAAGGGACATGAGACCATAACCTACCTACACACATCCAAAACCAACTTTTATGTTATTTGTTGACATTGAATGTACCGATATGGTAAAATGACGTTGGTTATTGTCGTAAATTTCTGTATCTGTAAATTCTCGGTTTCTCGCCCAGCCCTACTCTCTCACTATTCTCTTTATTTCCAGGTGGTGTGCAAACATCTCGCCTTTGACTCCGCCGTGTCCGACCACCAGCTGCTGCAGGGTCTCTCCCAAGCAGCGAAGGTCTACTACAACTTCACAGGAAGCTCCGCCTGTCTCAACATTTCTCAGACCGCCACCAGCAGCCTGGGGGAACTCGGCTGGTTCTACCAGGTGTGTGAGGAGACCAGTGTAGTCACAGGTGTTCCAGTTTGGAGGTTTACTTCACCTGTTCAATCCTTCATCCACAGGCCTGCACAGAGATGGTGATGCCCATGTGCACGGATGGCGTCCAGGACATGTTCGAACCCGAGGACTGGAACTTCCAGGCCTTCTCCGACGAGTGTAACGCCATGTTCGGCGTCAGGCCGCGAGCGGACTGGGCGGGCATCGTCTACGGCGGGAAGGACATCGCCTCTCACAGCAACATCATCTTCAGGTAAAGCTTGTTTAAAACTGAAGCAGAAGGTTGACCGTGTTTTCAGGGCTTTTCCAGCGCCGTAAAGAGCAAACCGAGTTTAACAGACGAATTAAAATCGCCCACCTGGACGTCCGGCCTCAGGAGCTGAAATCAAGTTTGTAAAAGTTAAATTAAAGATTAGCGCCTCTGAGCTCTGTGCAAACAGCAGACTCATATCAGGCTGAATACCAATTAGATGGAAGCTCACCTCGAATGATCGGAAAGCTGAGCAATCACAATTTTTAAAACGGGTGATTTTAAAGAAACTGTAATTAGATTTCCCTCAAACCAAACATTTAAAATGATGTTTTCAAGCGTCTAAGAAATACATTTTATGATTTTATGTTCTTGTTTGAATCCAGTTATTTCCTCTAAAATCACCATAACTCAGTTTATAATGTTGAAATGACGACAAAGTTATGAAGTTATCGTTGTTTTTGTGTTTACTTGATTTGTTTCTCAGCCTACGACTGCGGTGTGTGTCGAACAGAAGTGACTCAGTCCTCTGCTCGTGTTTTTCAGTAACGGAGGACTTGACCCCTGGTCGGCTGGTGGAGTGACTCACAATATAACAGACTCTCTGGTTTCCATTATGATTCCTGATGGAGCACATCACTTGGACCTCCGCTACAGCAATGACTTTGACCCACCTTCAGTCCGCCAGGCGCGAGAGTTAGAGGTGAAGTATTTTCGAGAGTGGATCAGGCAGGCCAAGAGAAAACCTCATCCTCGTCTCTGACAGCCGCACAGACCGAGTTATACAATCAGGAGGAAGGACAGAAAACAGGAGAGTTGAGATTGAAGAGTGAAGCCAAAGATTGATTATTTTAAAATTCGACTTTTTTGTTGAAGATCAAAACACTGAACTTGATTTTAAACTCTTTTGATTGTTTGGCGTCGTTACAGACACGCTCCTTTTCTCTTTTTTGCCAAAACTCATTTTTCCAAAAGAGAAATATGAAAAAAATAAAAATAAAACAGATCAGTTGTTATGTAAAGCTGAGTGTTGAAATGAGAAGATGACATTTCTCAGTTTTCTCAGAATCAGAAGGTCGAGGTGCTTCACTTTGCCAAAAACAAATCAAGTCCCTCTGCCTCCAAATGTTAAAAATCAAGGAAACATTCAGATTTCTTCAAGTACGCTCGTTTCCTTTCTGTCGTTTAGTTTCATCATCACAAACCTGCTCCTGCTGTCAGCTTTATTGATCAGCTGTTGTTTCTGTTTAGGTGTTTTTCCTCTTTTAAATCAGGTCTATACAGGGAAACTTTCACATGAAGTCTCAGGAAGGAGATCTGACAGGGAAATCAAAAACTTGGTTTGTTATCGTTCGTGAAAGACCAGCGTCTTCATCAGTTTTTTTAGATTTCTCTTGATACTGTTTTTATTTCTTCTTTCTAAAGCAAACTTTCAGTGCCACTGATTAAAAAATGAAACAAAAGCGGCGTCCACGTTGTCCGTTAATCACACACGGATGCTCTGTGGATCTGACAGAGCTGACACTCTTTTGTCTTGTGTTTTTTTTCATCGACATGGGGCTTTAAAGCGACTTCCATCTAGCAGGAACAATTGCATGTGCTTGAGATTTAATAAAAACCCAATCGGAGGAGGCCAATAAAGTAAGAGGTGGGAGGTTATTGCAGCTACGCTTGCTGACCTCACCCCCGTGGACCAACCTGTGGGACTCCCCCCTCGACACGCATTCATTCTCCGGCTGCCATTAAAGCTCCAAATTGCGGCCCGCAGACTCCGGTTTGTTCCCCCCTGCTAGTAATATTATTAATATAAACTCCCGGGGTGCCAGAAAGGTTGTGAGGAGTTGATGGAAGGTTAAAAGAGAAGCGATGAGTGAAGTCAGAAACCAACAGGAGCCAAAAGGCTTTTTTGTAGTTCACCATGAAGTCACTTCTTATCTTTGTTCCCTTTTTCTTGAAATGCCAGAGTAAAAGAGCAGACTCTGCGTCGAAAACTCTTTGACTGGAAATGACAACAGCTCTCCTCCTCTCCTCGCTTTATTGTATTTTATTCTTTGAACTGTCGAGGGCGAACTCTTCCTCTCCCCCTCTTTTTCTGAGTGAAATTCCTGACATGACATGACTTTGTGGAGCAGAAGGGGAACATGTCCTACACTGGTATGTGGGCTGATTTTCTACCAGGCCACACAAAAGCCTGACTTCTCCACATTTAGTCCAGGCCTGACCGGTTTGAGAAAGAAACATGGCTAAACATGGGGGAGGACGGGGGTCTTCGTCGCCGCTAAATGCCTTCCTTAAAGTTTTCTCAGGGCTTTGAAAGGTCATTAATTTCGCCGGCCTTTTCTAAGTCTCTGACACCGGCCATCAATCAAAGGTGTTATTAGTATTCGCTCGACCCCGAACTCGGAGTATGTCCCCGCTCAGACAGGGACCACACACTCGTAGGAAGAGATTAAGCCTGTGTGTGTCACATCACGTTGCACTTAGCACCCCGATCCCTTGAGGTTGGTTGCTGCTGAATAATTAAATTCTCGGGGACGGAGGGTGCGGCGATAATGTTGCGTATGTGTACTCGACAACATGCTGTTTAAGGCCGCAGTGTATTTCTAATTATTTTCTTCCTCAAAGGTCCGAACGTAATGAGTTTTTGAGAATTCAATCAACAGTTTGACCTCTTATTGACACTAAAACGAACAGTGGAAATTTAAATAATTAACTTAATATCAAGAAGCTTCACTCTCTCTTTCACTCTTAGTTCATATATTTTTCTCCACTCAGCCCATCCCCTCTCTCTCTCTCTCACCCACTCACCCACTCACTTGCTCGCTCTCAGCCTTTATGCAACAATAGAAACTTGTTTCCGGGATCTGTGCGTCAGGCTCTGTGATGTGAATGACCCACCAGCACAAAAGCCAAAGCTCCTCCGCTGAAAAAGGGGGATATGGCTGCCACGACTGTGATGATGTCACACTGCCAAAACTGCGCCGCTCGCGAAGAGAGGGAGGCACAATCACTTCGGCAGGCGTTAAACTCGAACCCTCTCGACTGAATTCACAAGATGTTGTAGATTTAAAGTTACAAACCGAGGAAAATAAAGTCTTCCTACATCTATTTTTGTATTTTTTATCATATATTTTTATTTTACATCTGATTATTATCACAGATTTGAGTTTTCCAAATGTCCTCGCTGTCACTGAGCTATTTTGGGCCACAGATAATTAGATCAGTGCTATCAGTTTCACTGTCTCTTTTCTTCTCAGGAATTAACATAAGAAAGAATTTTTTAACGGCCTCACTCCCTCGCCGCTTCAGCCCCTTTTTTTTTCATCACTCAACCTCTAAATGAGACACTGCCTGACTCCAACATTCAACCTCCTCTAAAACTCTAAAATGAAATTAAAAACCAAACGCAGAGTCTAACTTTAAGTTTCACGCCGTCATTGTTTAATCTAAATCTGCCCATTCAGTTAAAATTCACTTTAAATTCCACTTAAACGGGGATAAGTGCTGCCAACACCAATCTGGCTCTGGGACACATCCTTCATTGTATTCACCGCTGTCCAAGAAACTTCCTGTAAATGCGTTATTGTTTACAACCCGAGTTTCATACCCAGGATTTCTTAAGGTCAACATTTCTTCTGGCACACTAAGCCTGAACCGCACTTTATTCCCCTTTAATTTAACAGCTCCGGCAGCTTTTCTAGTTAAATCGACTGTTCATTATTGAGACCCATTTTACGAAGGGGCTGTGAGGTGCAATTTAATGAATCTCTGGCACAAAGCTCCCTTTCACTGCCGGGCGAAGAATAGAGGCTATTTAGACCCTGTAGGGCTTTATGTCAAAGGCAGCCCATAATAGTTGTCAGGCCAGGGCAGAAATTCCCACTGGCCTGGGAATGCACTAGAAATCAACTTTTGCCATGAGCAGATTAAGACACAAGCAAGCAGTTGGGAAGATTCTCCCAAATAGTGGCATCTGTTTGGGCACAAAGATTTTCCCACAGAGAGGACGCCTTTCTCTTCGCCGTGATTTGATAGTTGGGAGTGTTTCAGAGTGATTAGATTAACAGTTCCATTTAGTAATCCAGAAACAAAGCGCAGTGGTTTGAAAACAATAATGAAGGGGATTGTTAACAAAGAATTAAAAAATACATGTGTGATTAAATTGTTTAATAGGGAGATTTTCCTGCAAAAGCACCGTTCCCCCGTGTGGGAGCTTTTTTTTTTCAGCTCCCTGTTACAGTAACAAACCTTCAGTTTCATGAAAGCGTTTTTGGTTCAGAGCACACACAAACAGTTAAACTGAGGGGGAGAGTTTCTGACAGAGGTTATTGTCTTCAGCTCAGCGGGGGAATTTCAGACAAATCCCTCTTTAGATGCAGGTGGTCGGGCACAAGCAAAGAGTTAAGTCCTGCGGTCCCTTTGCCCCTCCTCTTTGATGTTCTGACATCATTAGTCCGGCCCCCTGAAAGATCTTCTCGCTTTCCTCAGAGCTCGTCACTTCTACTTGGGAATGTTTACAGGAACTTCATGAGCAGCATCAGGACCGAGTGTTTGTCAGAGATAAAAAAGAAATGCTCTGAAGAAAGTTTGGGTGCAGCAGGGATCACAGCGGAGGCCTGAGGTGTAGCCGCTGGGCTCAACAGAGTAATGGCTGTTCAGACTGCAATCATGAACCCTCAGTTCATGAATTTCTGCTTCCCGGGTTCGGTGATGGAGTATGACGTGGAGAAAAGTCTGGACGGAAATCTCCTTGGAGAGGCAGAAAATGATGAGGACTACAAAGAGACCACCAGGGACCTGCTGAGCTTCATAGACTCAGCCTCCAGCAACATCAAGCTGGCTCTGGACAAGCCGGTGAAATCTAAGAGGAAAGTCAACCACCGGAAGTATCTCCAGAAGCAGATTAAAAGGTGCACCGGCATTATAACACCAGGGAACGTAGCAGAGGCTCCAGTTAAAAGACAGGGTTCCCCCTTGGCTCAGCCCAGCCCTTTGCAGAGCAAAACGCTGCCTAAGAGGGACGGGGTCCAGGCCAACTTACAGAGCAAGAGCTTGGCAGCCCTCTTCAGCCCTGTGAAGGATGTAAGGGGGGAGAAAGCCAAGAAACCACCCCTGAGGCATCGCAATCTGCCCCCCTCTTTCTTCACCGAGCCTGCCAACTGTTCCAAAGTCAGCTCCACATCTGGGATGACGCTTAAGGACTTGGAGCGAGGAAATCCTGAGGCTGCAGAGTTCTTTGAGCTCCTGGGGCCTGATTACAGCAACATGGTCAGTGACCAGGACCTTTATCAAAGCATGCCTCAGCGGGCGCAGCCAGAGATGGGAGGCCCTGATCCCGCCGCCGCTGCTGCTGCCTATGATGCTCATCATTTGGTCGGTGGCCTCCTCTACTCTGAGCCCTGGACTAGCTGCTCAGGACCCTCTAAGAAAGTCGGAGGCAGTCTGCGTTCAGGCCCGACCCAGCCCCCCGTCTACTGCCCCTCTGAGGCTGCTGGAGCCGTAGAGGACAACGCACTGTGCACTTTGGCCTTCCCCAACTTCTTCACAGACTGCTCCATACCTCAGGTCTCTTATGATTTAAGCGGCGGTTACAACAGAGCAAATTATTCATCTCTATGAGAAACTCTTGTGTAGTTTGGAGTCCCGAAGGAGGAAGTTTAACACTAGAGTCTGAGAGTTTGATATTCCTGTGTCTTTGTGTGTAAATGGATTGAAACAGTTTGTCTCTTTTTCATTCAAAGGAAATGTCCAAAGCTTTTTTAGTTAGCTGGATACTTCAACCTGTAACATCCCAGATTCATCTACTTCTCTGTTTAACACCTGGTATGATCATGTTTATCTCTTCATTCACACCTGATTTTGGTCGTCTGCTCTTTAGGATGTGTTCACACAGACATTTCAATCCATCACTTTCTTTTAAAAACACTCACACAAGTTGCAGACATAATTTTCTGACTGCTACTAAACATCTTTTTGTTTTTTGTTTTTGCTATAGAATAATATCATAGTGCTATTTGTCACATCTGACAATATATGCTGCAACAACAATCTCTGGGTGAGGCACTTTTTTTTGTAGTCCTGTGCAGAGACATCACAGGGAAACTATTTTGCTGAAATAATGATCTCAAAAATGTGAGATGCCATGTTTGTTTCACCGCATTTTACAGCTCAAAATGGGTTTTCAGCTGTCAGAGTTTTATCTCTTGTATCCATTTTGTTGGAAAAGCCTTTAATGTATCTATTGTAAGAGGAAAAATAAAGCTGGCCTTTATTATTACTGTGCAGTCAGTGTGTTTTTGTGTTTACAGGTAGTAGTGAGCACTTTCATGTCCTCTCTAGAAATGTGACTGAAACACCAGAAATGGTCAATGTAGAGCGATTTATTTTACACCTCTTCTGTGGCAGCGAGCCAATAAATAAACAGTGTGCTAAAAAAAAAACTGCAAAGTGATATGAGATAAAAAAAGAAACTTAAAGTCAGTGTTGAACCTCTTAACATCATTACCCTCAATTAACTGTTCGAGTTTTCAACAACATGTTCTTATTTCCCCTAATGAGCAAAGATGAAGGAAGTGTGACATTAATTAAAATCAAGTTCACACTTTTGGCTCTCACACCACTTTGCTGGTCCATGTGGTGACTGGATGTCTTATAATGGGCTTGTGCTAATTATTTCTAAAGATGATTCATGCCCTGCAGTTTTCAAGAGCAAGTGGCTGGAAATTTAAGCGTGAAGTCTACATCACTATAACCTTTCCTCATAGAAACTCTCCCTGGAGATGTGAGCGCCATGACTCCACTATGGATGGCCATGCGAAGCTCCCTCTGCTGGCTGTTGGAAGACCAAGTCCTTTTTATTTAATTTTTTTATTTTTCTATTTTATTTTGATTTTTCAATTTTTATTCTTTTTTTTTAATTTTTTATATGTATTTTTTTACTATTTTATTGTTATTTTTAATGATTTTAAGACTTAGATATTTTTTATTATTTAATTTTGATTTTTACATTTTTATTCTTTTTATTTTTTATTTATTAGATTTTATTTTACTATTTTATGGTTATTTCATATCTTTTCTTAGACTAATACATTTTATTATTTAAGTTTGATTTTTAAATTTTCATTATTTTTATTCTTTTTTATTGTATTTATTTTTTACTATTTTATTATTTTTAATGTTTTTTTAGGACTTAGACATTTTTTAGTATTGAATTTTTATTTTTTTATTTTTGATATATTATTTTATTTATTATATATTTTTTTAACTATTTTATTGTTATTTTTAATGCTTTTTAAGACTTAGACATTTTTTATTATTTAATTAAAATATTTTATTTTTAATATATTTATTTTTTTTATTTATTTATTACTATTTATTTTTTAAATTTAAGACAGTAATTTTTTATTGTTTTATTTTACTTTGAAAAAATATTATTTTTATTTTTTAGTTATTATTATTATATTTTTTTATAATTTTTAGTTTTTATTTTCTAGAATGAATTTTTAAGCCTTCATCATTTACTCTCTTACCTGGGGCAAACAAACGTCAGCATGGTACAAATTTAAGCGTATGCAGTGAAACTTGATGATACAGATGGATTTGGTGATACTTTTCCTTCAGTGTTAACCAGAAACTGCAGAAGGCTTTGTGCAAATCTCATGCACATTGATTAAACCTTAAAACGATCCATTTTGTTTTTTTATTCTAGCAATTTAATTTCACCTGTTTGCCTGAAGGTAGATCTTGACTTGCTTTCCTCTAAATGTCATTTTCTCAATTTTTTTAGTGGATGTAGATTGAAGGTTTTGGAGAAAAGCACCAGACTGTGATGTTTTGACTGATGACTTTCTGTTGTATGATTCAGGGAACTGCTGGCGTGTCTGTGAGACTGCTGTGTGTGTGTGGCTGTATCTGTATATACTGCTGCCAATTCTGGTCAAGACCTTCTTCCAAAAAAAGATTTTCAGTCGATGAGGCTTTCCTTGTTGGATAGATTTTAAATACATAAACATAAAGATCGTTTACTGAGGTGTCTTTGCTTGTTGCAGAGAAGAGCCCATTCAATTTGTAGTCTGTTTTTACAATCAGTCGACTAACAGCTTCCACCTTTCCTGAAAATCAGGAAACCATGTAAAACATTTACAGTGTCGAATCTGTCCTTCGGCTCTGCATCCTCAGGGCTGCAAGCACTTTCTCTACCAACCCACTAGATGGCAGTAATGATCCACAGAAAGCCCACTATCCACCACTCCCATTTAGCTGGGGAGGCACTTGGATCTGATGTATGAGATTCTACATGAAACATAGCTTTGTCTGGTGGTAAGTGAGTGGTTTTCAGATGTCTCCACATAAAAATTCAATCTGTCCTGAAGTTAGAAAGCTACAGGAGATGGACTGCTTTATAACTGTGGTGATTTTTAATCTCCCTGTCTTTTCCAGAGCCGGTTTAAGGACACTCCCCCTCACCAGTGTTAAGATGCTTACTCCTTTAAGCGTATTATGTGATGATGGTGGTGTGCATAAACGCTCTCCTTTTAACTTATATTGCCCACAGGCTTATTTCTTTACCTTCTCTCTCTGCTTGCTTTGTTTGCAGGATGGTCAACACTCTCTATGCCGCACACACAGGAAGAAACAATAGCTGTCAATTTGCAATACAGCAAACTATACACACAGAAGGCATATGGATTTTCTGTCCCTGAGTTGATACCAGCTGATACATTCAGATTAGGCCCTGATGGAGCCACAACTCTGCGCTGCTTTGATTTATGGCACACTGGAGATGCCGTGTTTGTCAAAGCGATTAACAAGATCTGTGTTAGAGCAGACCTGAATAGCAAGAGCCAGACATCTAGGTAAACCAGATAATATGCAGCAGATTTTCTCTGGCATGGTATGTGATGTCCTACAATGTAAAATAAATGAAAAAAAAAAGAGAGACGGGGTGTGGGGGGTTACCTGCTGACATTTACCTTGTGCCGTGTTGTGAATGCACTCACATACACTGAGCAGAAGTCCACTGCAGAAAGTTGAACATTTTCGAGTTGTTTGCATCGTTGTGCTGGAATAGAAAATAAGTATCCGTCCACATTTGCCCTCTCTCTGACCTTTCACAGCCAGTCCCTGTGTCTTGTTAACACCGCCGCGGTAGAAGCGCATTGCCAGATGATATCCACCAGACCTTTGTAACCCCCTCAGCGACATGCAACTTTTGTCTTCAAGCTGTAGTCAAAAGATAATTTTTATAAATGTTTTATTGGGTGGAAAATAGACCGAACCAGAGATAATTTACAGTCAGGCTATCAAAGAGTGGCATCACACTTATTTGTCATGATTTCTTTGCATAATCGAAGCAGTAAGTCAATAAAATCAAGGCTCCGAGACATGTCTTTTCTTTTGCATACATGCCGTCTCACACTAGTTGGTATTTCAATCTTTATTTTCATGACCACACAGAGTCTTTCTATTACCAGCCCACACAGAAGCTTAAATTAACCTGCGGAGCGTCTTTGTCATCTCAAAGATTTTCTATCAAAGTCTTCAGATATGCTGTTTGTTTTTAAACTCTTTGAACGTTCATTTCATCGTGGAAAGTATTGTGATTAAAACAAGTGCTGAGAGATTTAACTTGCATTGGGTGTTGTAAGATTTCTGCCAGTGATAGCAGTTAATATCAGTGAGCATTAATTCCAAATGAATAAGTTTGCCTGTCTGGTACTGAGATAACCCCAAAGACAATTTGCTTTCAGCGCATATATTTTTCAGTATGCATTTCATGTCTCACCGCTTTCCATTTAAGTATGCATTCATTTTCAGCAGCCATGATGCACTGTTTTCCTCCTCGGGGTGTTGTGGGTACGCTTGCTTACATCTGTGTGTTTTTGTCAGTGTGATAACAATTGCAAGCTGTGCAGCTGACTAAAGTCTTGGCTAGATTAAAGACATTACTTCTAGAGATTTCTCATCCTCAGTAAATGAAAACACACACTAACAGACACGACTCTGTCATGCAAACCGAATCAAGACCATCCTCTGCTCAGATGGCGCTTCTTTTTTAAGTTGAATCTGCTGTTGTGATAACGAAGACAACTCCTTTTACTCCAACATGGTTGAATGAACAAACCTGAGCTAATAAAAGAGCAAAATGAAAGTGTCACGATAGGATATTCAATCTGATTCGAGAGGACAGGCCTTATAATAGACTCTAGCACTGATGTTACAGGTGCAGTTCATAGTAGACAAAGCAGCATTTAGCAATATCATATATATTCAAAGCTGCTGTGAAGAACTTTCAGTCTCTGTTGACTTTGGCGCCCCCTGTGGACAAAATGGTAACTCCTATTATTGACGATTTTGTCTGAAAGTGTTGTTAATTGACAAAAACCTCCTTCTGTTGTCTTTAAACAATTAAATATATGACCCATCTTGAATATTTTGCTGTGGGTAAAGTAACTACTGCTGTTCTTTTGAGCGTACCTAACCCCTCACAGCACTTATAAATGAAAGAGGATTAGAGCAACATGAAGAGTTACAACATGAATAATTACTGGAAGGAGATTAAATTTTGACGGTTAAAAAAATCAAAATTATGGCAAAGTCGAAATTTTGAGATTAAAATTTAAAATTTCAGATCAAAGTTTAAATTTTGAGATCACAAAATGTTGAAATTTTAAGATTAGAAAATTAAAAATTTGAGATTAAAGTTGAAATTTCGACTTTATTTACGTAATTTCAATTTTTTTAATCTCAAAATTCTGACTCTAATGTCGAAATTTCAATTTTTTTCATCACGTCTTTTTTAAATTCCAATTTAAATTAAAAGTACTGACATTCTCAATTTTTTCATCATTGGTCTCATGAGCTTTTGCACATCATAGATTTGTGTTACTGTTCATTTCAGTCCATTTCATAGCCTATTAAAAACTCCTTACTGAAGCTTTAAACAGGTGCAAAATCACCCAGATATAAAAACTGATAACTGAAACCCTTAATTATCAAACATGACAGAGGCTCTTTGTCCTTAAAGGCCACCGTTGCTTCACCATCAGATAAAGTGATCATTTCAGTTCAGGATCTGACATCTGGATATTGTTGAATTTCTGTTTCTACTCACTCAGCCTTTAAATACAGAGTTAAAACCTGAAAACTTTGAGAGTTTCCTCAGAGTTACTCAACTCGAGCTACAAAACTCACAATACCAACAGGGATCTGGAGTTGTAAATGATCTCTAACAGTCATACTGGCCCTGGGGCTGAGGACTGAATTGAAAAGTGAAAAAGTGAAGTTGAAAATAGATATTTACATACATTTTTCATGACTTATGATCTGTTGAGTCTACTTTTTTTACTGAGAAACTCATCCTTCCATCTCCATGCTGCTTATCTGAGTCGAGGTCATGCTCAGATGAGCTCCTTCAGCTTTCTCTCCTCAGAGCCGGTCATGCTCCGTCAGAGCTGCAGATAGAAATGTCGGGTACCCTGACAACAGCTAAACAGAACCTTTAACACACTGAATACCTAATCACCTAGGACCCCTGTCCGGCTACAGTGACCCTGAATAATTCAAAGTTACACCGCCAAACGGCACGTCTGCACGCCTCAAAAGAGAGGTGATTCTGAGCCTTCGACTGAGGTCAACTCTTATTGATGACCCCCTCTTGCTGTCAATTTCCGCCATTTGTCACTGCCATCCGGTCACTATCGAAAGCATGTGACCACAGGTGAAGGTCAGACAGAGGAGCAGCTGCTGAATTAAGAGCCTCGAGTTGAGCGTCTTCATTATTTTTACAATACAGTGTCCATATTCCTGCAGTTAATGTTTCTGTCTGTCAATCAAACTCCCAAACCTTATTAACCTCAACGGGGAGTCTGACCTGAGACCAGACTTTTACGTGGTGGAGAGCTGCTCTTTAAAAATAATATTATCATCATGATCACGTTCTGTAGTATAACTTTGGGGCTTAGAATAACATTGAAAGGAAAAAGAGTGGCATCTTTTCTTATAACAGAAGTGATCACATGCTGCCTCTTGGCATCGATTCCTCCAAATCTCTTCAAATTTCTGTCTCTGAACATCACAGGGAACAGGGTGTTACTGGGATCTCAGTGGCTGTACCCATGCTGTACCACAGGGAACATGGTCATTAGTTTTTTTTTCCAAATCCTTCAAACACATAGGGACAAGATTTGCATATTCCCATAAGCCCTTCGGTCTTTTCATGAGACTCAAAAAGGCCGTGTTCTGGCTCTGGGAGCAAGGCAGAAATGTGAGGTTAAATGAGAGTTTAAAATAGTCTCTTTCTGCATATTTGAGCCTTCAGTGGACAAACCAACAGTGAAGGATTTTTATTTACCAAAGAAGACAAACTCTGGGGTCTGCTTCATCAGACATATTCGTCTATTTTCATCTTTAATTGACCAAAATTACATCCAGAAAGTAAGAGTCTCTTAGTAACGTCTCTTTTAATACGATTCAGTCCAGGCAAGCCCTGCTCTGCCTGATGTCTCGCCTGAGTGCTTACAGATAAAACAAATCATGACTGGTTATTTGTTTACTTGTCTGTTTGTTTGTTTTCTCTGCTTTATTCCAGCACTGTAGCAGCCGGCTGATGTTAGCTGCATGAAAATGAATTTTGAGCTGCAGCTGAAGAAAAGTGGCTTGTTGAGCCAAATTCCGTTCAGATGTTTCAGCAGAGGAATGAACATTAGTGGTAATGTTTGCATTATATCCTGGACATGTCCTGCTCCAAACCCTCATATGGTACAACACAAGGCAAGGCAGGTTTATTTGTATGGAACCGTTCATAAACAAGGCGAATCAAAGTGCTTTACAAATGCAAGGGAATACAAGAAAGATCTGAAAAAGGAGAGATCAAAACAATTTCACATCAAAAAGACAAAACGATTTTAAAAAACATTGTTTCCTAGAAAAACAAAATATGTCACGAACTTTCAGACCCGGGGCTTCACAGATGGTAATAGGTTTTCTCTTTGTCTATCTCGAAAAGTATTAGTTATACTAGTTTTCTCTTCCGCTATCTTGGACGGTCCAGGTTTTCTCTTCTTTTATCTCAGATAGGACTAGTTTTCTCTTTGTCTATCTCGAACAGTATTGGTTTTCTCTTTGTCTGTCTCAGAAGGTATTAGTTTTCTCTATGTCTATCTTGGATGGTAGTAGTTGTACTAGTTTTCTCTTCGTCTTTCTTGGATGGGACTAGTTTTCTCTTGTCTATCTCGGAAAGTATTAATTTTCTCTTTCTATCACAGACGGTGTTAGTTTCCTCTTTGTCTATCTCAGACTGTATTGGTTTTCTCTTCGTCTATCTCGGATAGTATTGGTTATACTAGTTCTATCTTCGTCTATCAACGACGTTATTAGTTGTACTAGATTTCTTGTCATCTGTCTCCGACGGTATTAGTTGTACTAGTGGTTTTTCATCCAATTTGGACGGTATTAGTTTTCTTTCGTCTATCTCAGACGGTATTAGTTGTACTAGTTTTCTCTTCTTCTATCTTGGATGATATTAGTTTTCTCTTCGTCTATCTCGGACTGTATTAGTTTTCTCTTCGTCTCTCTTCAGCGGTATTGGTTGTACTAGTTCTATCTTCGTCTATCAATGACGTTATTAGTTGTATGAGTTTTCTTTTCGTCTATCTCAGACGTATTGGTTGTACTGGTTTTCTCTTTGTCTATTTGAATGGCATTAGTTTTCTCTTCATCCATCTTGGATGGTATTAGTTGTATTAGATTTATCTTTGTCTATCTTGGATGGTTTTAGTTTTCTCTCCATCTATCTCAAACAGTATTGGTTTTATCTTCATCTATCTTGGATGGTAGTAGTTGTACTAGTACTTTCTCTTCGTCTATCTCAGAGGGTGTTAGTTTTCTCTTCGTCTATCTTGGACTGTATTACTTTTCTCTTCTCTTATCTCGGACGGTAAATGGTTTGCAGCTACCACCTGTAAAACCACACCATGTTAGGTTTTGTCTTTCTAACCTCCTCTCCTATCCACCTGTTGTCTGTCCCATTTGCACAACAGCAGGTGAAATTGATTCACAGTCGTTTTTACTTCCTGACTGGACGGCTCGATACCCCGGGAGTGTGATTGACTTGGGGTTACACCGTGGTGAGTATCTGTTCCCATTATTTTTTGAGCAGTGATTCATATTGTACTTTTTTTTTTTTTCTTCAAACTGCCCTTGTCATAAATCCCCAAGTACCACAGAATTAAAAGAGCAACACTGTAATTTGCAATGGCGAACAAAAAATTAGCGGTGACACTTACTCAGCAAGCTCTTCTACTCTGCCTGTGGGCATTTTCAGTTTTTAGTCTGCTGTGCAGTCCATTTATGTCCGTGTCCAACAACTTCGAGGACAAAGCAAAACAAAAGATAGCTTTTTAATTCCATTAATATCACTCTCTGGTTCTTGGTAGTAACAATCTCGAGGAAAAAGACTAAAGGGAAGCAGCTAAATGGGATTTTTTGTCTTCATAGAAATGAAACATCGTCACCTTGAGTTGTTGATACTTTGTGAGAATCCTAAAAATAGCTCCTCATTTCACTCTGCAATTATCTTTCTTTTGGGAAGTCTTTGACATGACTCCTAATATCATGTAAAAGAAAAAAAATTAGGCTACTTTAGGTGTCAATGTACAAGGATGTATAAGAGAGGTGCACTGTGCTGCCTCTTTGTCTTTATCACTCAGAGTGCAGGATCTGAACTAAAGATATAAATGATGTGCCTATCATCTGAAGGAGGGGGGAGTTATATTATACCACCTGTAAATCCCTTGAGAAGCATAATAATCTTTAAAAGCACAGAAAAATCCCATTACCTGTCACAGATTTCTTCTCTCATAATTGCCCGAGTCTTCCCTTTGGGAGGGATGGGGGGGTGAAGGACGCAGCACACGCTGGTTTCAGACCATCTTCAGGAGAAAATCTAGGGGACAGCTATTTCTGTCTTACCATTTGTGTGGCAAATTTTGGCCTTTCTCAACCCTTAAAGACGAGTTTTGGACTGAAACGTTACTGCAATGATGATACGTGATAAACTAATATGGCTGACGCCTCTTCATGACCTCAGAAATCCAACGAGACCATCAGCAACAAGAGTGAAAATTCCTCAGTTGTAACTATTGATGTCTGACACCGCTGTGAGAAGGTAGGTGTTGGATCAGACGACTGATACCAAGCCAACGAAACCACCTTTTCAACTATATCCATGGCAACTGCTCACAGTGAGTAATACGTTTCAATTTGAAGAGACAACAGGATGCATTTTAGGTCTGAAAACTCTACTTCACGTATATTAAGACGAGAGGTATCACTCTGTCTACAGGGGTCACAAAAAAACAGACCCAAACGAAAGTTTCTCATGACAGCTTCAACAAAAGTCTAAACTCATAATAGTTCACCACAAGACGCACAAAATAATACATACACAGGGAAAGAATAAAGACACAAGGGTACAATATTTAAGACCTTTAATACAGGTTTACTGAAAACGCATATACAGTGCATACAAGTATCTAAAGTCAGTCTGACAGCGCGATTGATTGTTGATTGTTGACATCTGGTCCTAGGTCGGTCCAAAAGATGGTGCTGCATGGCTTTGGTGTCCTAGAACATCTAAAAACATCAGGAACCATATTCCTAAAGATTCTTAGTGCAAAGAGTTGGTAAAGAAAATTCTTAAAATCATGATGTTTTCTTAGAATTTCCCCTAAAAGTAAAGAGTAGATAAAACCTGTTAAGAGCAGGGGAGAAGACTTTTAAGCATTCGGAGTTCCCTAAGCAGAGGAAAAAATGGCGGACGGAAGAGACCGGAGAGATATTCTCCAAAAACTGGATGACAGTGAATTAATGAAACCTTACAGATTGAGATGTGCAGGAACCATGTTTGTGGTTGACCTCATTAGAGATGCACTTACTTCTCTGTTTAATATGAGCAAATAAAGATAACTATCACTATGTGAATACTGTGTGAGTGGGTTTAAGTTTTCACACGTTTTGTAGGATAATTTTAGTTAAGTATAGCTTACTATTTATTTAAAGATATTTTCTTGTATGTGAAAGTCTTTATAAGATGAGATCCTATGATTGAGTTTATCGATTTGAGAGGTCCATCCTTTGCCCTTTATCATCAAAAGTACATTTTTTATCTAGCTTTTAGGATCAACCAATCACAGCTTGTGAAATGATGACTCATACCGACCAACGGGGTCAAACACTACTCCTCACTCAGATTGGAGTTTCTGTCCATTCCTCACTTAGAGTTCTCTGAGAATGTTCTAGAATCACTCCTAAGCTATTGCTGTGTTAGAGTTACCTGGGAAGTCAGATGTCGGCATTTGAAATGATGTCACATCCGAGTCACCAGCGTTTCAGTTACCAAGTCAGAAAAATACAAAATCAAAGGCGGAAACAAGATGGCGACATCTATGAAAACGGATGCTAAAATAACTAAAATAACAAGCGTTAAAATAACTTTCGTAGATGTAGCCATCTTGTTTCTGCCTCTACTTTTGCCTTTTCCTTACTTGTAGTTGAAACGCTGGTAACTCGGATGTGACGTCACTTCCAACTCCGACATCTGACTTACTCAAACGCAGCATAAGACTCCTTGCTAGGAATTTTTAGGTTAAGTTAGGAACTCTCTGAGAGGATTCTCGGCCCTGAACTTGAGAGCCTCACAACCCGGAAAAGAGTTTCATTGGTGTTGGTTTTCAAAGGATTGAGAAAGCTATATACTACTAAAAATCTAGATTTCAGTTTAAGTGGTAGCATCTTCATTCGGTGTAAGACAACCAAGAGACAGAGCGACTATCCACAAAATCCCTGGAGACCGACTTTCAACTTCATGTTTTTTGCTGTTTCAATTAAAAGCATACACAAAAAAGGTGCTGAAAAAAACTCTCCACCAGAGCAAACCTCAGACAACACCGAAAGCTCAGTTATCCAGCGAGTGTACAAAGGTGAATTTAATCATCTCAGCTCACAAACACTTTCCTCTCAGGAGCAACACATACCTCGAGCCTCAGCGAGACATCAGAGACTTCATGTCGTACTCTCCGTCGCCAAAGATCACACGGTCCAAGCAGTTGTTTGTTCTGTTTCACCAGCTCCGTTTGTTCAGCTTTACATCTGAGTCAACCCAATTACAGCGAATCACTATACCTGTGGTCCTCTCGTCCACTAAATGGCTGAGTTTTTCCTTCCCTGGTAAGAAAGAAACAGGATCTAGAAACCTGTAATCATCTGCAAGTTATGTAAGAATCATAAGCAAGAAATTCTGCAGCTATTACAGCGATTATGCAAGCGCTGGTCTCTTCACATGAATCTTAATATATGCCGATGTGTTTATTAGGCTGTTGAAATGTAAATATGGCAGACGCAGTATTGATGTTCATGTTTGCCTCCATGCAAAAACAGCCTTTTGGTTTGATTCGATCCTCTACGTCTCTCTTCTGCAGCATGTCTGTGTTTCTTCATTTAGTCCTCAAGTCTGTTTGGATGAACTGATTATTTCTGAAGAAATAATTCTGTCCAGGTGTATCTTGCTTTGTTTGTTTACCTCGCTTTTGCTTCGGCATCGTGGTGCGGGTCTAGTGGTGCGAGTCTGTGCATGATGGCATGCCCTCATTTTTAATGAACTGTGTATCTTTTGTCTGGGTGCTGGCAACGTTTGATGTTTGCTCATAAAAAGGCAGACAGAGGGACAGACTCAGACAAAGAAACAACCTGTGACAGTTTTTGTCTTTTGGAAGAATTACAGAATCGTGTGCATGGTAAAAAAGGCCAAAGAGTTATAACAGGAGAAAAGCAGGGACAGCTCATTTTGAGGAGACTTAATCATTGATAAGAATCTGACAGTGAGGCTCTGGCTGTGAGGGTATCTAGATTTGGCATCTGTTCTGACCTCGTCTGGGGCTCGGGTCATCTCTCAGTGAATACTGTACATCTCCTAAGGATAGCAAAATTAAGTTTTTTGAGGAGAAACTGGGTCAGTGCAGTTGCAGATAGCAGATGCAATACAACAGCAACAGCATTTTAGAGTGATAGAGAACCAATTTGCATTCTTAAATATCTTTAAAGTCCCACTACAATTGTATTTTTTACTACTTAAGATGTTATCAGTGGTGATTCAGAAGTTTTTCGCCAAAATCACGTTACCTGTCATTTTTAAGGACTTTTCTTCTGCAGAGCTCCAGTAGATCATTAGATATTCACCATTGAGATGTGGGCGGAGACAGCACTGTTGTGCACTCTTCTCTTCACGCTAGCTTGTAGCCTAACATTGCCGGTGTTGTAGAAGTAGCAGGTAACACAGGAGCTATTCAGCTCTCAGACACTAATGTCTTTGGAGACATAATAAACGCTAATATCATAGGGTTATCTTATGTCCGGCCTTGTCCGGCCTTTATCCAGCGAAGTTTATAAAATCCTTTACATATCCAGGTTTTTGTATGGAAGTTTCGAGTTTGTGTCGTGTGGACTTACTGAGTTAGTAGCGCGTAAAAGACACTCGATCCAACCTTAATAACTCTCAGAATTAACTACGCGCAACTATGTGACTCCGCTCCCGTGTAGCCATGTCCTCTTTTCTGGGGATTCAGAATATGGTCACCCTATAATATCACAATTAGCTTTTTCACGAGCATTGCAATCCGTTAAAGCACATGCTTGTTCCGCAATCGTCTTCTCTACTTCTCTGAGTCTGGCCTGCATAGAGGGCGGAGCTTGGATTTGTGACATAGGAAATCTCACTGTTTCTGAACCTGCTGTTTGGGTCTGTCACAGCGATTTGAATTCAGAAATACTCAGAAATGCAATTTCACTCTTACGTTTCTCATGATATGTCCTGCAGCATCAGAAAAATGCCATATGAACATGTAGACAACAAGAAAAACATGATTTTCATCAGAGTGGGTCTTTAAATGTTTTAAGCAATCACAGTTTCGGATCTATACACCTGACTTGTCCAAGGTTTCCAAATCCTTCCTGCACAGTTTTAGCTAAATGCACAGACACAATGACACTGATGTATTTCTTTCACATACCTGACCAATATTAGACAATGTAAACACAGATTTTCTCCATTTAACTGAGTTTCTGTCATGAATGCTCAGTCACATTTATTCAGTCTTGTCTCCACACGGAGTTAAGGCTTAAAGTTATAAAGACACGGTGCCTCTTTATGTCCTTGTTCGTTTTTCTGATATGCTAATGTATGCAGATTAAGGGTCCATTAGCATCTTTGTCCCAGGAGATGTCTGCATGTACTGATTGTATTTCTGGGGCCAAAAAAAAAAAAAAAAAAAAAATCATATAGCCCAGCCAAGTTTCTCCCGTCTGGTAAATTGTTCCATTAGCTTTCCCCCGCAAAATAATTCTAGGCTTTCCAAATAACCAGACAGCCTATTCTCCAGCGATATCAATAATTATTACTAGTTTCCGACAACACAATTACATGTTGGAAAGATATGCCTCGTAAGCGTGCAGTACTTTGGAATACAGTTTGCAAGAGAACCTATTTTCTCTGTGTGTGAGTGAAAAACAGGAATCAACTCTTTAAAATTTTCTTTTTCTAACCACTGGTTTGTAAAAAAAAAAAAAAAAAGCGTCCTTTAGAAGAAATCCCTCTGCATGATGGTACATCCCTTCAAAAGTCTGCAAACACCTAACATTCATCTCACAGAAAAGACCGACTTCACAACAGATGTGTGTAAAAGGTGAAATCGTCTGGAGCAGCTGTGTTTGATACTGGTTCATTGACCATACAAAGACGAATGATAAACAGCTGTGTTACAAGCAGCAGTCACATTCTCAGGAGGTGCATTTTTATTTTCATGCAGTATCCATCCTCCATTCTCTCTAGTCTGTGCACACTTCTAACAATCAGAGTTCCCACAGTTTTGCATTTTACCCCACTTCAACTACTCCGACTATAACATTTAATGACAAAAACCTGCTACGATAAAATCACGTTGATAAAAGTCACAGAAAAAGATTTGTATCTTTGCAGTTCAGTTCACCTCGAGGTGTGAAGAATACAAGGAGCGGTACAAGGTTTTTAATTAACATGCACAGCAAGATAATTATTGACTAATCAATTAATCTTTATCCCAAACCAGTAAATCTGTCAAACGCTTGATCAAATACAACCTCAAACCAACAGCGTCCACTCCAAAACATGAGGGCGCATTAATGCGCTCTATTGACATTAACGCAGGCCTGCCAATCTGCATACAAATGGAGCTAAATTAAAGCAGCCTCAGTCAAGGCCTACCAGCAGCATCTAAATGAAATATCTATACGGGAAGCACAACAAGTCCGAAACAATTACAAAAATGTCTTTGCAATAACGGCTCATACCTCTGTGGAGGAAAAGTAGAACTGGGCGTCCACCTTAGATTGGTGTGTACGAGCACTATCTAAAGTAAAGATTATCTTTTTCATTTAATATAAAGTGTGTCTACCGCTCCCATCCTATCAGTCTGGACAAATGTCATTAGTATGAGTGTAGTCCTCTGTGACCTTTTCAGATTGTATTATGATAGCGAACACAGTGAGAAGGTCAACCAGTGTCTGCTCCACACTGAGAAGGAGCGGCACATTGTGAGCCGCTCTGATTTAGATATTACAGGACAGGTTGAAGAAACTGTTAATGGACATCACAGGCGCATCGGTTTGTTAGCCACAGCTGAACTTTTGACCCGTTAAACCCTAATTAAAATGTCATGGATGTCATGGAGATTTTGTTTTCCACTGTTTGGTTTGAACTCTTGAAAACCTGAAAAACAAAAACTTCTTCGAAACACAACAAACGATCAAAACTGTTTTGTTTTTGCCAAACAGGGATGAGTCAAACATTGTGAGTAGGTTGTTACTACCGTGATCGCAGGGTTGCCCGGTGCATGATAATTAACGTATTTGTATGATAATTTTGCCCTCTGTACGATGTACGAACAGTAACCCAGAAAAAGGCTAAATGTACGATAATTTGACAGTTTCGTGAACGTGTGGTGCAGTAGGATTCTCTCAGTCTGCCAGACACTTTATTTTTTAGTTTTTTATTCGTGAACCCTGAAGGCATCTTTTACCACGTGAAGATTCCATCCAGTCGTAGTTTGAGCGATGTTTGTCTCCGAACAACAAGCATGATTGGCTGTCAATCACGCTCAGTCGGTTAGTCAGTCGATAAAAATGAGCGCTGCTGAAGAAGACGGTGATTACCGGAAGTCAGATTACTTCCTTGTCAGTTATTATGAACACTGTTTCAAAAAAGTAGGTGACCTTAAGGTCTCTTGATTTGGGTGATTAGTTCCCAGCTGTCATTTGTTAAAAGGGGACGCATTAGCGTAACACAGCTGAGTTGGAGCTGCTGATGTGGGGCGGGGTGGCGAATGACCACAAAATCGTGAGTGTCTGAGTGACTATATGTGACTATCATACAACAGTAAGATTGTTGTTTTTGTTATGATGGATGTACAATAATTTCACCCAAAACATGATAATTTTGAGTCTCTGGTACGATAATTCTACATTTCCCATCTGGCAACACTAAAATATTTCAGTATTGTATATTGTATTTCGTGTTTTTTTCTGGCCTAGCTGTGTCTGGTGTGTGTGGCGTGAGTTTGTCGCCTATTATGTATATAAATTAGATGTGCCATATCATGCTCCTGATTGGCTGCTCCAGCTTCCATGCGACAGGCAGGAACCCATGACATCCTCATCCCAAATGCTCAGATTTTTTATGTAAGTTAACAGTTGTCCTCAGTTATTATTTGCTGTTGTTGCTCACTGAGGAGGTGATCATTCTTTGTTATGTACTCATCCTGTTTTTTTGTAGCCTAATTAAATGACTCCTTTGTTAAAAACCCTGGAAGTTTTTCATGTGGCTGTTTGAAAGATGGGTGAAATTGGGTCCACTTTCATGTTGTGTCCTAGCCACCCCTAGATGGGTCATAGCAAGGTCCTCTTCCACAGAGGCCGCCATCTTGCACCACCGTGTTTCTGCCGCATTTTTAGTGCATTTAGTGCATGTTTGCACAAAATGACAAAAGGATTAGAGTGGTGATTTTGTGCAAAATAAATTGCATTGAAGGATGTTTGTGATTATTCAATCTAGAACTGCTAAATACTCCCGTTTCTACGCTCTGTACCTTTAAGAACTCATTAGTCTTGTCAGCATTTATGGCTTGAATATTTAAATATTCTCAAAAAGAAATAAGGAATTAAGACTGTTACATATTTCTGGAGTACAAACAAAGTTATCTTGAAGTTCTTGCAAAGTCTTAAATTATAATGGCCATGGTCCAGGAATCATAAACATGCGAGGCAAGCCTGCAGAACAGACAGCCGATCTGTCTGACAGTTTGTTTTCCTGCTTGGTTGGAAAAAGGTAAGATTTTTACAACTCATTAATAGGCTAAAACTTTCTGTGACTCACCATCAAAGCTCCAACAGCAGACGGCCGGCTCGTCTCGCTCCATGAAAATACAACGTTTGCCTGCAGCAGCTCCATCAGACTGTGAGCTCTGACTCACCACTTAATTCTGGTCAGGTAAGGATGAACTCATAACAACCCCGGCTTTGACCTTATTAATTAATTTCTTTGGGACTCTCAATTGATTGCAGAACAGGGGATAGGCTGCGGTTGTAAATTTGGGCAAATATAATACAAATATGCGAACAGGAGCCTTAGGCTTATGGCATTTATCTATAAGAAATATGCAAATGGAAAAACAAAATGTGTTTTTTATTCTTGAGTTTAAGCCTGAAAGTATTAAAGAAGCAGCATTAACGTTGTTCCTTGGCAACTGCTGAAAGTTTGAGGTTCTTATAATTTACATGTATTATCCATGATGTCAGGTTTTTTGAGTTCATCTGTTATTTATCTTATCTTTATCTGCTGTACTGTCTATCTTTGAGTTTTCCCTGCCTCTGTGGTTGTGTGCCCTGTCTTTATTGCTTTCACCTGTGCTTTGATTGTATCACCTGTGCCTGATTACGATCAACCCAAAGTCTTTTTATTTTCCCCTGTTTCTCTACACTCATGTCTTTAATCCTTGTGCTTTGTGTGGACATGTTCTTTACTTTAATCCAGGAGTTTTCACTGTATTTAATGACCTTCAGATTTTCTTGGATATTTGGATCTTTCCTGCTTCATGTGGACTCTGTTTCGGTAAGTCATCTTTGTCTTTTTGTTAATCAAAATCATCCCATTATAGGCCACTACTTCTGACTCTTCTCTCTCTCAGTAGCCATGTTTACATGAGCAAAATTTCTTGAACCGGTCACAAATTTGAGGGATCGGAAAATCTGAATCCACTATATGGGCGCAAAATCGAATAATCCGCTCATGATGTGCATATACATGCACCAATCTTTATTCAGATTAGAAGCATTTGGACAGGCGCAGAGTTGTCAGATTTTGCAGAAGAGTTGTGTTTATGTCTGTGCTGTCAACAAACCAACTAAGATTATGTAAAATGAAAGTAAAAGTAGATTTAGCACCTTAAAGTCAACCAAAAAATCAAAATGGAAGTCCATAAGAGGTTATTGAGCTATAGCAATAATCTTTTTTTTAATCACAACAATATGATAAATAATCATGTTTTCACTGATACATCAAAATGGAACTACCGTTAAAAGTCTCAGATCAAACATCTAATTTTGCCGCTGGATTGGAAACCTTGTGGCAGGTTTAGAAATGACTGGAAACCCTTGATTGATCGCCAAAAGGGTAAGCTTTTGAACCCATTTGACTCCATGGAGAAACGCAGTATAGTTCCTGAGAAATTGTAAACAATACTAATGGTGTCATGTGGGGGCGCCGGCGATCCAACAAAGTTCTAAGGTTTAAATCTTCACCACTGAATCAACCCAGAATGAACCACACACAAAATATTTTATAATATTGACCAGCTTCTATCCAATTCAGCCTAATTATGAGTTATAATCCACACTGCATCATTTAAATTCAAAGTAGATATAAGACCATTTTTTTAATCCCTATTCAGCCAAGAAAGGAAATAAAAGAACAACCAAAAATTCAACCTCACATCACAACTTTTCTATCCTACTTTCAGTATGACGCCATCTGTTGGCCAACAGCCAGCTGACGGTTTGCATCCCACTTTTTTTTTACACGATCTCAGGGGTGTGTCACATTTATAACACCTGCAATTTCCCTCCGTGACAGCATGAGTCACTTTTACTGTCAGGAAGAAGCACCGGGTGTGAATGTAAAACTCTTGTTTCGGGGGGAATATTCACTCCTAACACCTTGATGTAAAATGTTACATCCACGCAGCGTTCAATTAATGAACTTCAAGAAAGCACATTAAGTGGCTGACATTCACGACAAAAAGGATTAACTGTAATGTGATGGCTGCATCCTGGCACACAGACAAAGGTGTTATGGGTGCATATTATACAGTTATTAATTCTATTTTCAGCACTTTTCCAGACCCTGAGATTGCTTTTTACAATACACTCCCCGTCCCTGCTCTGCATAGAGTAATTTGGAGATAAATTGCAATCATTTTGGCAAAATGTCAGCCTTGTAAAAGGAGTATTTTCCCTCCTGATAACAATTGGGGCTCTTTTGTTTTGCATTGTCCTGTTCTTGAAAATGTGTTGTAATATTTGCACACTGACTTTTTGCCTTTTGTGTCGCTGTTATCATCAAATTTAGTGTCTCCAGTAACAATCAAGGTACAGGCTACAATAACAGGACACCACTCAAGGCTTTCTTTCTCGCCTAATTGCTTACCTACCATTTAATTTTGTAATTAACATACATGAATCTTAAGCTCATCTTAATTGAATTGCCTTGATTTTAATTAAGAGCTATTTTAAAACTGTAATGGGAAGCACGCGATTCACTCTTTGTCTGATAAATGCGAGGGGCAGGGCAAATGAACATGCCTCTCCTTTAATGAAAACCACAAGAGCCCTTGTTAATAACGTCTGAAGTGGGCTACAAACAGAAGAAGACGCTCGTTGAACACACTGTGTTTCTATGATGTATTACAGTGCAGGTAATGTTTGACACACCATGGGTTAAAAGAAGCATGATAAAAAGCAATAAACATGTCTCTGTCCTCCCAGGATTCGCCTTGATCCCCTTCTCTCATATCATTTTGCCTCACTTGACATCCCCTCTCGGGTGATTGATAGAAATTATACACTCATAGCAGACAGACGACAATTCCACTGCATATTTCTGGAAAAGGTAATAACAGGAAAGGTGCTTTTGTCACACCGATTTAAATCAGAGTAACGGACCATTAGTGTTCTCGAACAAACCTGTGCTCTGGGAGGTGAAGACAACATCAGAGGTCGACGGTTTCCCTTCAAAGAATAGTCCAAGTACATATGAAATTACAATTTAATGAGCCACATATCTCTCAGTGATACCCACGCTGTGCAGGCTATATTAGATGCACTGTAATGCATTGGCGCTGTGCTGCCCCGCTGTAGAGGCTCTGGCAATGTGCAGGCGTGGAACACACTGTGTAATATCATCTCAATGTCATCCTAGAGATTATCATGAAATGGCTTTAGAGTTTCTGATGAAACCGAAAGCGTGGACTAATAATAGCATGAAGAAAATAATGCTTAATCAACTCAGCCGATGAAAATGAATGATCAAGGGAACGGGCTTTGAGTGCTGGCATTAGAGAGGGGGGAAAAATCCACCCTCGGATACTCTCACAGTGTTTGATATGAGCAGTTTGTGTAGTCCGGCGTATTATTCAAATGATGAACTGTTGATAAAACGTTGGAAATGACTATTCTTAGTGATCCCGCTTTCCCTTCAGCTCCTGCTTCAGCTGGTAATTTATGTTTCTTGTAGAACTTGAAACAACCTCTGGAGTGAACTTGTTACATTCAATCAAATGTGTTTGCATTTCCTCGGAGTGGAAATATAGCTAGAGAGCCTGTATGTGATTGCAACCACACCCCCACTCAAAACACAGGGTCTTGCGGTCTACTGAAGCTACTGTTTATAATGAAATTGGTGTCTCAGCCTCCTATAGAATGAATTTCTCTCTGTGTAAGAGGCATGATTGTTGAAATAGTCCCTTTGACATCAGAAGCGTATGTTTTGATTCATGTTCAACGACCAAACCGATCTTTTCGGTCATTAAAAATCCAATTTATGAATAATATCACTTCACATTTTCAGCCTTTCACTAAAATGAAATGTGAAAGTGTAATTGCAAACAGCTGGGTTTGAGCGGTGTCAGACTGAGTTCTGTGAGGTTTCTCTGGTTTTTCAAGCTGGGCGTCCTCTGCTCAGAGGTGCCCTTGTAGTGCGAACCACAGCGAGACAGTGGGAGCATTCGTGGTCTGCTGATCTTCACATGCCCTGCTGCTCCCTGCTGCAGGGACGGTTTTGCTCAGGCATGATGATGATGATGATGATGTCTTTGCCATGGTTGGATAAAGAACAAATCTATTATTTTTCCCATGAGACCAATACCAATAAAACCCGAATAATGTTTATTTTAAAAGACTGGGAGAAGGAAAATAGCTTGGGCGAATAATGAAAGATACCTCGGAGGTTTTGGATGACTAATGATGCATCATGTCTTATTTTTAACTAATTTTATCGCAGAGGATTTATCTCAAACAAATTCCCTATTTTTTAAAGTGTTTTTTAAAGATGTTGAATAGCTTTGACTTTGACTCCAACAGCTGAGAGTTAAAACAGTAGATATGAAATCAAACATCCCCAAATTAAACTGCAAGTAACAATCTCAGCTAAATTTAAAATACGAGGAGTTGGGAGGTGTTATCGGACAGCTCTTATACTTTTGTCTTAAAGTCCCTCTTGTTTTTTCTTAACCACTTAAAGTGTTCTCAGTGGTCTTTAAAGGTTTTAGCCAAAATTTTATCACTTGTGTAATTTTCTAGGTCTTTTCTTCTGTAGATCTCCAGTAGTTCATAAGCAATTCGCCTCTGAGTCGTGAACGGAGACGGCGCTGCTCTGCACACTCCTCTTCACGCTAGCTTACAATCGCATTGGGCTTGGTGTGTATAGTCACGCACGTCAAAATTCATCTCTGAATATTTCGTAATTTCGTGTCGTATATTTGCGTCAGTCCCTGTGTGTAAGGAGTTTAACATTGCTAATGTAATAGAAGTAGCAGGTAGCATAGAAGCTATTCAGCTCTCAGACACGAATGTCTTTGGGGACATGATGAAAGTGAATATCATAATTAGCTTTTTTCACGAGCATTGCATTTCTCTCTATTCGTCCTATTTTCTTCTCTAAGGGGCGGAGCTTGGATTTGTGACATTGGAAATCTCACTCCATCTGAACCTGCTGTTTAAGTGTGCCAGAGATTAACAGTGATTTAAAATTAGAAATACACAGAAATGCAATTTCACACTTATTTTTCTCATGATATGTCCTGTAGCATCAGAAAAATGCCACATGAACATGTAAACATGATTTTCATCGGAGTGGGTCTTGAAACAGCAAGAACCCTTTAATATTTCCAAGGCGAACCTTCCTGCCCTCAGTTGAACTGTAACATGACATTTTCATTTCGCGCATTTGCCCTGCTTGTACATTAATTACACACACAGCACACAAAGTACTTGTTTTACTTCAGCTTAGCCAAAATGTGTGTAATCCGACAAGAATCATGTTCATGCTGTGTGTCCCAATTAGCAAAATCGTAGGGAGCAGCCTGGTGCAATGTAACCGTGTCACCGAGCTTTACTGTGGCTAAGAAATTAAAACGTGCCCTTTTCCTGAAGCCTGACTCACATCAGATACGATCTCGCTCTCCATTTGTCCTTCAGAAAACAAAACTCGTCTTTAATTCAACATATTGTTCTCATATGGCCGTGATGGAAAAGGGATAACAGCAACCAAAACTTGGCTCAGTGTGAATGATGTTTGCACAGTCTGGGTGAGAGAGGGTGTGCATGTGTGTGTCCATCTGTCATAACTTGTTCATCGCAGTTCTTTTGCTTATTGATTTTCTCAACATATCTCTTTGAGTTTCATGTTCTGTCTCTTTCCGACTCCCTCGCCACTGATCGAACCGATGTCCCCGCTGACCTCTCCTCGGCTGCTCTTTTTAGACACCGGCAGGCAGCTGCTCCTTTTGTTTGTTTGGTGTTTGTCGAAGCAAAGTGATCTCAGCTCTGTAACATGAAGAGATGCCACTTATCTGCAAGAGTTTATTGTCTGAAAATCTTCAGTTTTTAAAATCATCCTTATTTTTAAACCCACTTTCAATCAGGTGACAATCAAAGTTAATGTTTTACTTGTTTTTATTAATATACTAGATGGCTAATATTAAAAAAAAATCTGCATCTTAGGCAGACACTCGGTTACATAACTGATTTATTGTCTAGCTCTTAGATTTTCCGCTCTAACTAAATGATTCACGCGTATGTTGTCCCGATGCTCCTTAAACAATGTGATGAGTCAAATTAAGACTCAATTATCTGAATTATCAATGTAGAAAATGTGACAATCTTATGTAAGCTTTAAACACCCTTCTCAGAGCTTGGCATTTCTGTCACGATCACACACTTTGTAATTAAATGGTTTTGTCTACTCATGGATCATTGCTTTCAGCCGATTAACGAATGATAGGAAAGACTATATAAATCAAAGACTACCAACCCAACTAATTAGCTATCCTAACCATTACATCCACTAACAACCGCTGGAGGTGGTTTCTCTTACATAATCAACTTCATTATTACATTTTTTCTTTTTTCTTTGCGATGGATCGTATCTGAAAGCGGGCTAGCATAGCACGGCTGAGGAAAAACTGTATCTTTGTATCGTCTGAAACGCCACATTAGAATAAGAGACACAGATCCAGGAAGCTTATCAGTGCTGCTCCAGGTGAAAACAAACATACGGGGATGTTTTTCTCTCTTTTTTTTTGGCTCTTGTTCTCAAGGGCAAACACGGGGCTGGTTCATTTCAATTACAGAGTCGGGTGAAACACTCGGCTGGCTCTATTCTAATTTGTCTTTATATCAATTAATAAACCTTGACAGCAACATTACATCAAGGTACAAACTCTAAGTATGAAGGACATGCCTTAACTTAACGGTTAAATTCTGCTTTTACCTTATGTGAATACAAAACAACCCCCTCACTCCTCCATTGTGGTCACCTCTCAGGACACAAAGCTCCAGAGATAATCCACCGACTGCAAAGAATCCGGAGCGTTTGTCTGCAGTGAGTAAAGATTTTGCCCTCAAAAGGCTCACCTTCAGACTGCCACTATTCTGCTCTTCTTATATGGGTCTGATGCTAATCAGTGTGGATTGTATTTTATGCCTCGAGGCAGGAAAATGTGCTGATGAGAGGCCCACAATAAATGAACCTTATCACCTAATGGCATCTCTGCCCACCCTTTGACTTACTGAGAAGCCTTTGCAAAATGTCATGGTCAGGCGGAGCACACATGAGATAATTAGAGAGAAATGACTGATCCACAGATCCACTGGCCACTCATCATCATAAATGCTGGAAGCAAAATCAGGGATTTCTAGGGAAACTTGGAACAGATTTGAAATATGATTAATACATCTGGTGATGCTTTTGTATGGATTAAATGTTTCAGCTCTGGTCTCAATCGAGAGGACACCTGAATGCAGTAGCACTGCATTGATGCAATCTTAGCAGATGTGAAAGTACTAACAACTGCATTTCCCTGAGTGTCCACTTGAGGCTCTGACAGCACTTATTCAAAAAGGCTCATCATTAGCTGCGTTTACATGAACACAAATAATCGGAATAAAGGCCCGATCGGAATAAAAATTTGTCATTTAAACATATTGATTGTCAGTATTTAATCCAGTTCAGCTCAATCAGAAAAAAATTGTATTCCGATCGAGAAGGTTGGTTTATGCCGATCGTTATTCCGAAACGCGTCCATGTAAGCACTTATTCTGATGGTGACTCTCTAACCTGACTCGATCTTCACTCTTTAGACTTTGGCTTATTCATTGAGGTCAGTACAGAAGGTTTCATTATTAACACAATCACAGTTGACGCCTGCTCCTCCGATAACATAACAAGGCATACATAACGCGTAATGATGTCACATCTGCAACAGTAAAATAAGTACGCAAGGGCGCCATCTAGTGACAACATTTAACGGGGGAAAAATCCTGGAATACAAAAAGTTGTAAATACAGCTCTTCTTCTTCTGTGGTTGTTTTAGCGAAATCAGACAACTCAGGGCATGTCCAGATGCTTCTAATCTGAATGAAGTTTGGTGCATGTATACGCACGTCATAATCGGATTATTTGATTTTGCGCCCGTATAAACAATGGATTCAGATTTTCTGATCCCTCAAACTTTTATTTGGATCAAGAAATTTTGCAGATGTAAACAAAGCAATTGTTAGCATGTTTGTTGTCTATTTCAACAATGATTTTAAACTGATTAGCTTGTTCATTTATCGGCACACAGTGTACAAGGAGATACATTTGGTTGTAATTCATAAGATTTAAAGAAATTTAAATGACAAGTTTAGCAGTATAAGAGGACAGCTGTCTTGACTGACAGGTCTAAAAAGACGTTAAATAGACGTCTGCTTGTCCTTAGATGTCTGGGCCAAAATCGGTCTACCTCTGGTCAAAAAATGAACCTTTTTTTTTAGCTGTCTTTGATTAGACTAGCCATCTAATAGACAAAACTACACTGTACATTGATCAATGACTGTTAAAAATGTTTTAATCCAACATTTGGCCATCCCTTATACAACTTGTAGTTGTTTTTTATCCAATATTAATAATTAATAGATTAAATTCTATCATCTAGATTTGGGCTAGAATATAGACTGTTTATAGACGGGCAAATTTCTGTCTTAACTAAGACGACGTCTGAGGCTCAGTGGGCTCTTTGTCTCTTGAGTCCACATTTTCAATACTGTCCATACTGTCAGAAACCAGTGGATGACATTTGTGGCCAAGTTAGTGTTTTTTGTACAGTCTACATATGCAAAAATAAAACTTGTTAGCCAAAAATATCTTAAACTTTATAATACTCAAATTTATTTCAACCTTTTTCTCACAGTGTTAACCAGTCAGAGTTTTCACATTTTGCAATAAAATAGCTCCAAGAAGAAAGTGTCGAGATTTACGGCAGGCATGTTTTCATCATTGTTTAGCTACGCTGGACACTCCGTCTTAATGAAATTGTATTACATGTAAAAACTTTCTCCCCAGAATCACACATTATGAAGGTGACAAGTGGCTAATTCAGTAAACTGGAGATCGAGGTTTTAACAGTAATTGGCCACAAATTAACCCTCCAGGCGATGCACAAATCTTGACATGCAAAATAAAGCATCTCCTGGCCCCATATGCAGGCTGTAATAGAGTTCATTTGTACCTTGTGCAGCCGAGATTATCTCTCCACCAAAGTGAGTGTATGTGTTTTTAGGATGGAAACGCCCCGTAGAGCAGGGCTAAGTAGGCAATCACTCATTCTGAGTAACGGCAGAGGTGAAATGTAAGTAAACTCTGTGAATGTGCATGGCCACCCAAGTGCCAGATGCTGAGGGCTGGTGCCAACATGGCATGTGAGTGACTCATTAAATCAGAAGAGAGGAATCCATTGGCCTTTCTCTGATGGCTCTGTCGCTCATTCAAACTAGCAGCTTCTCTGCCAGAGACTTTCTTCGATCAGGGAAAGCAGCCAGCTGGGACAGTTCCCGATTCATTATAGGCATGAAAATAAATAAAAGAGGCAAATTTTTAAAAATAGCATCGAGAGTGGGACCACGGGGAGGCAGCGGTGGTATTAGAGAAAGGAAAACAGTTTCCTGTAAGCTACAGATTATGAAAACATTAAGCAACAATTACCGTAATGAGAGTTATTGAAGCGGCAAGGTAGCAGACAAGCTGTGTGCATCTGGTTGCTGCATCTGGCTGCAAGGGAAGAGCATCAAAAGGGCAGGCAGGAAGGCATTCATTTCTTTTCGCCATTCCCTCCCCGTGGATGGAGAAATGGCATGTCAGTAATTGTCATGTACTGGGAATGATCTCACAGGCTGCGCGTTGATGCATGCGCTGCTATGGATATCAAGTGCTCTGTCAGAAATTTGGAAGATGTCATTTAGGGTAAATTGAGGGAATGGCTTTCACTGGGCAAGTCATGTCCCTCCCTCTGTGTTAGGAGATGAGAACAAAATAGATATTATCCACCGCTGATAGGTTTGAAATCTTCATCGTTTATATTTGGCAGAAATAGACTCAGAAAGCAGACAAACTTAGCTGTGCGTTAAACCAACACCAAAATCTTGTTACAAATGAACGCAGTCTTAGTTTATTTGTTTATTAATTTATTTGTCATTTGTGCCTTTAAAACATGTAACGACATGTTTTAATCAATTCAAGTCCCGTCTGTGTGATCTGATGTGTCATAATGTCCTCTCATGAGACTAGGATTTCACGTACCGAAGCCAGTACCACATTTCTGAGGAGTTTCTTCGTCTTTGTCATCCTCTACAGTAAATTGCATGGTGCATGTGGTGATCACTACAAACTGACATTTTGTGTTTTATTCATTTTCTGTCGCATTCTTCCCACTTCCAGGTTTTGTCACTGGCAATTTAGCGCACAATATTGAATCCTGCTCTCACTGCACCCAGCGGCCCATTTAATCAGGGAGTGGGATTAAGGCTGAGCAGCCCCAGCCCCAGACGAGACGTACAGTAACGTGACTCTCTACTAGGGACTCAAGATGGATGAGCTGGGCTACAGCCGGGATGGAACGCCTCCATTGGGCCGTTTGGCCTGGTGGAGCCCATCAATCAGGGCGGCACCAGAGGTCCAGGCTGAGGCTGTGTAATGATGCGAACAGCATGTGGCCGAGCCATCCCTGGCTGCTCAGGTGTGAGGGTCTGCCCCGTCCACCGGTCCTCTCAACTCCTTCACCGCTATCATCCATCATGTACCGGTCGGATTCATGGCATGCAACAGATTTCAGAAGGTTAGATTTGATAAAAATAACTTAGGATCAAACTCACGGCAGATTGTTTGTGGAGTTGAATGTTAAAAATGATGTGATGATAACTTAAAAAAAAAAAATAAATAGTTTTTTTTTTCAGGGCTTGATTAGAAGTAAAACATACCTGCATAACTGCTGGTACCCTTTAGAGAAATAATCCATGAGCGCCTTGACAAGCATTTTGTTTATGAAGACCAGACTGATCACTTTCCTTAAAAGCGGAAGAGGAAGTCGCCATCAGCCATTCTTCTTTATGCCTTCTACTCAGGGCATGCCTCAATCTTTCAATAAGTTCATTAAAGGACATATTTTACAGCACATTATGAGCTTTATACCTCTCACACAAACATATTACGCTCCTGGAGGAAGGTGGCCCTTATGAGTCCCATAAAACAGGCCTCGTGAATATGATTGTAAAAGCCGCTGCTCAGTATGGACTCAGTGTGAGCGGAAGGTCATTTAGTAGAAAGCATACACGGCAAAAATGTATGCCTGTAAAGATGTCTTTGGTGGAGTTTCCAAGCTGCTGAAATACATCTACTGCAGCCTAATGGACTTTTTTTTACCCACTGGAAGCAGTAGTAGGGTTGCTGGGTTTGAATTAAAGTAACCTCATTCTTTGGTCAAGGTCTGAAGTAGGCAACTCTCCGCCCTTAATAGCCCTGAAATTCCATCATAAGAGCAAAACTCAAATTATTTCTGGTTTTGTTACCGGCATAAATTGGATGTGCATGTGAACCTACGTATTAGTGACAAGTGAGAAGTGTCACATAAATCCACCTCTTGTCTTGTCTTTGTGTAACTGCTTGAATCAACAAAGCATTTTCTAGTTTTCTAATGTAATCAGCGTTTTTTTTTTTAAAGGTTGTATTTATGAATGTCTGAAAATTGCTTCTGCTCCTCACTGATGATTACCAGGTTATGGAGGCATAGCAATTTCTGATTAAAACCTCAAATTGGATTTGAAAATTGGGATTTGATGTGTAAGGAGGGGCTTCTTCACAATGCATTTTATATGGATTTTTCAATTCTGTTCTTTCTCTCTGAATTACAGGAAATCATTAACAAGTGTGCTTTTAAAAGGTTTATTAATTTGATATTGATTGTTTCATTCACATGAAGGGGATTTCACACTCTTCGAAAATTGAGTGAGTAATATCCCTCCAAATCCATGTAAGCCTATAAACCCCAGCCAACGAATATTTCCTGATAGAGTTGCGGCACCTCCAGTGACTTTTTTTCTCTGTCTCATCTTGTTAATCTCATCCGTATTTGGGCATCTAATCAGTGAGACCTCACTGAGTGAACTTCATAATTAAAGAATGTGTTATTATTCCGACTTTAATTACATAACTACGTAACTTTGTTTTAATTAAAAATACCCTTCCCCCATCGGGAGCACAGTGTGATTTACTTCTGTGTGTAAAGCTTTTTCTCAGCTTACACATGCCATAATATTCAAAAGTTTAGCAGCTGAGATTCTGATATAACCTTGAAAAGAAGGAAACAGCAGTGATGGTCTTGTCTCTATACCTATCACAGCATGCAAATTGCAAAATGGTATGCTCCATTACTGCTTCAAGTTGGTTCCAATCTCCAAGCAGCATTTCACATTTCCTGTACTATGTAAAGGTATAAAAGAGCTCATGGCCTCTGTAATCCCAGGGTTAATAACAGGCTTTTATAAAGGGTGCTGAGGGTGAACGTCCTTTTTGCAAAGAGAGGGTCAACGTCCAGAAATTATTAAGATGTGTTGCCAAGACGTAATGGGGTTCCAGCACATTACTTACATCTCTCCATGTCATTAAGTTTTGTCAGGCATAAAAACACTCATTTTACTAATATGGACAAACTATTCTTCATTGGCATGGTAATGACTGGGGAACTGTGTGCTCTCCAATCAAGCCATCACAATGTCATGCATGACCAGATTCATTCGCTGCACCGCCATAGATGGCACTGTTGCACTGCTTTCCAGGCTGACTGACAGCACTCTGATGTGCCAGTCATGAAGCACAGATTGTGGTGTCACTCCAGATCTGTGCATTTGCTGAAAAGCTGGGGTGCTGGATTAGCAATTAAACAATCAATATTGCAGAGAGCTACAAAACAAGTAGAGTTCTCTGCTTCTGTAGCACTTTGTGTACAACACAAAATTCATCTACTTTTGTTGCAGCCATGAGTAGCAAACAGATGTATGAAGTGATGTTCTAAGGTAAAATGAAGCACAATGTTTTAAGTGTTAAGTTTGGCCAACGCTGAAAAGGAACATATTTGAATTTCAAATGAGACAGACTGAGGCACTTTGTCTTCATTTTTGGTGAAGCTTCAGGTGCTTATTGGCAGTGAATTATACATAGAAATATGAGGTGTCATTCACCCTGACAAGCCTATTTTCTGCCCTGTCATCCCATCTGTGCGCGCTATATGCATGTATTTATTATAGAATGCAGCATGTGCTGATTGTCAATTCAGTCCCTCTTCCTGAGGTACCGGTTGTTGACTGTAACAATTATTCGGAGTTTGAAGTCAGGTTAACGATGAAATGACATTTAAAACATTTGCATGCTCTCATCAGAATAACAATAATAACCATATCTCTGAGTTTTGAGCATTTGTAAGTAAATACTAATGTTACTCCTGTGAGTGTTCGGCTGCTTCACTTTACTGTGGAGATGAGAATCAGAGCTCAGTTTTTAAAAGAATATAAAACACTCCAGCAAAGTCGTGAACAGCCTACACATGGCAGGCCACACTGGCCTTCACCAGACTGCGGGTCTGCCTGGTGACTATCCAATTTAACAAAGTAATGTTTTAATGAGCTCAGCTCTGGGGGATGGAAATACTATTCTCATTTGAGATCCTGTTTGAAAGAGAAGATTTAAAACACCTGGTATTGAATAAATGTAGAGTAACACACCATGGCCCTGCTGACAGAGAAGAGAATCATCTTGTTATCCTCATCAGTAAGCGGTGAATCCAAACTTTATCTCACCGATAATGGCAACATTGGCATTTCAGTTTGGAAACAAAATGAGAACTGTACGAAAATGTCCCGCGGTCTAAATCATGCAATGTTAAATGTGAGCTTCAGTTCCTTGCAGTTTGGGTCATGGGTATTACCTCCTTACCTCAGACATAATAAGCATGTCAAGCAGGCAACTTTGCTCTAGAGCTTTGACTCCTCTCAGAGTACCTCTCGACTCTGATGTGCACGATCACACAGGAGTGCGATGTGTTCAGAGATCAAGGATATATGCTGTGAGACTGGCCTCATTAAGGCCAAAAAGTTATAGTTACCAGAGTTTTTCTCTGCTGCACAGGGTCCATGAATCCTTCCCAGAACCATATTTTTTACTTTAAAAAGCTGTTTTGACCTATGTTCAGTTTAAAAATATCTATTTTTTTTCCTGTATTAACTGTTCCAGAAAAGAAAAAAAACACAAACTTGTATTATTTGTATGTAACAGAGGTGGTCTGGCTAAAATAGGTCCACTCAGTCTAGTTTATTAAAAGGACATTTAGAAATGCACTACTTAACGCTGTCATGTAGAAAACAGCATAATGTGTATGACAATTATATTGAAATTGTCACCTTAATAGCCTATTTCAGAGATATCATTAAGAAGTCATCACTGAACTGAATTGCCTTCAAGTTCAGCCAGACTGCACATTGTTTTACTTTCTAAACGCTGTGTAATAATTTGTAAATTTCTAGCTGTGGGTCTGTGAGCATACACAATTTTCCCTCTAACAGCAAAACACAGCTGATTACAAAGTTGATTTATGCGTATATTAATGGTTTTAATGTAAATGGCAATCTTGCTCAGTCTTTTTAAAACGTTTGTTTTGTTAAAAAATACTTTTCCGTCTCTAGTTCTGATTCTAGAGAATTAAAGAGAGAAGCCTCCAGTCACTAACTGAAAGACAGGCAGTGTAGACTGTTATTAAACTGTATTTTTTAGGAGTCTTTCATGTTTTGAGGTTATAAACAGTGCTGAGTAGTTTTTAAGATATGGAGTTATGTTTACAAACATTTTAAAAAGGTCATTTTTATAGCCAACAGGCTACAATAAAAATACAGTTAATTAAGCATTACCCATAACCTCACCCCCCTGAATTTCAAACCTCTTAAAGACTGAACTGTAACTCTTTGTATTTTTATTATAAAGTGTAATTTTTAAGTGTAATGACAAAGTCGTTTTTAAAACGTCTCTAACGATGTGTGAAATCTTGGAAATTATTTTGATAATGGGATGTTACAAATAACGTACTGTGAACTATGTCAGTTCAGGCTACCATATTTGTTTGAGTTGTCAGAGGAGTCTTCCTGCTTGCGATAGACTGTTTATAGAATGGACGCCGTCTGCCTCCTTGCCGGGTGAAGCCACTCAGAGAACAGCACCCTCTGGTGACGGGCTGCTGTATAGGTCATAACTTTAGAAATTTATTACACAGAACATAAATATTTCTCCCCCCGCTTGGGATGTTGGCATGTAGACATCTTTTTTCTCTACAGCTCCGTTATTAGGGGGTTCATATTTTCTATGCTTGACACTTGATATAGCCTATGGGCGTATGAAGATTGTGTAGCTTACCCGGGGGACAAGCTGTTTAAGCCGAGCAGGCAAAACCCACAGGATCAGGAATGGCTTAGCTCCGCTCCGGCATGGGTCCGGTGGCCGGATCAGATACACAAGGCTTCTATTTTTGCCGGACGCCAGAGCACGGTGCATCAATTCAGTGCAGCGCAGCAGGAGCAGCAGTGGAAGTTGTATACGGTTAAAGAGTAAAATATCCGGTTAATTTTCAAAATAAATTAAAGTCAATACATTGAACTGCTCTTAACTTGATGATAGGAGAGGCCAGGGTTGTGGGATGTGGTTGTTTATATACACCGATCGGCGGATCTCATTGTAAAAATCCCGCGAAAACACGCGAGAGCTCGTGCGCTCCCGTCCAGTCTCGCGAGAGTTATAGTAATCTCGCGAGCGCTTCGCCTCCGATGGCGGCGGATCGTGTGGATTTAACCTGTAGCGTCATTACAGCGACTCTCGGCGACTCTCCCGTTGAAGGCGCACAATGCTACTGCGCAATGTTTGTGTCAGGAAATGGAAAGAAAACGCGGAAATACCGAGAGCTTTTCGGCTTCAAATATGTAAACTGGAGGAAGGTGGAACCGAGTTTTCCAGAGTATAAACAGTCTGTGGTTGAGGGAGTCCTTGACAACTCGAGATACACCTCTAAAGCAGCGGTAAGTGTCGTTAAACAACATCCAGTGGTTTTATCTTTTGCGTTTGTTGTGGATTTTCCTTACATGAAGCAGAAACGTTAGCTGCGCTGTTTGTTATGATTTCACCCAGGGACAAGACTGGTCTGGTTAAATGGCGCTTTACTGGGGCTTTCCAAACTACAAATTAAGAAATTAAGAAAAAGAAACTAACATGCAGTTGCCCGCCCCTTGAAAGGACAAATTAATTTAGACTTTAATTAATCTGTGAGTTTTCCGCTCCTTATTACAGGTTTCACTTCTGTTTGTGGAAGCTTAGTCATGCTGCCAGAGGATGTGCAACACATGAGTTTACTGAATATTAATCCTGTTTTGAGGTGAGTTTCTGTCATGGGGATGTTTGTCATTCCCCCCTGCTGGGCTTAATAAGCTGGTGCCTTTCCCAAACCTCCTTTTCCTCATCATACACTTTCTTATACCTGTCATAGATAATAATTGGCTTATCAGTGGGGAAATAACAAGAGCCGTGGATAATCTACATGTTCTCCCTGAAGTTGAAGTGCTGTAATTTTATTATTTTTTCTTTTATGTGGCTATAATTGAATTCACATGTTTTCATTTGATTTATTGGGTAAATTTGAATCACAGTTTTTGTGTGTTATATTCGCATCTATTGCAGATCCTGTACAGCTTTCAATCCTCTTCAAAATGTTCCTCTGTTATTCTTAAAAAGACACCAAACAGCAGTTTTATTGTAGATCCAGGCATGTTTTCGTGTTGATGATGCCAATGAATAACTTTGATAGTGATGATAGTTGACCATACTTCAGAGTCCTTCTGTGTGTTACGACAAGGAAGGATGGTTAGGGGAAGATGGGAAGTAACAATAAATCAAACCAGGCAGGGAAGATGAATTGAAGAGTAGGAAACAGGAAATGAAAATTAGCGAGTAATTTATTTACAAGCAAAAATAATAACAAAAAGAGAAAACAACTAAAGGCGAGCATGAGGGCGATTACCAATAACGTTATCAAAAACCAAAGTCCACTGCCAACTACTTAAACAAAAGAAACACCACATGCTCCTGCCACACTGAAAAGATGTCGAAACACACAAGACGGATACACAGTCGACAATCGGGAGGTCTGCAGCACGAGTGATTGTCCGCCCCACTCATCACACCAAGCAGGTTCACCTGACACACCTGGGGAGGAGCCTACCAGAGAGAGACAAAACAGAAGACACAGGACACACCCACACACACAGCCGTAACACCCCCTCCCTGAAGAATAAACCACTAGGGTAGTTTAATTTCTATTCATACACAACATGGTTTGTTGTAATGTAATGTAAACATCATATTTTGAACCAGACAAAACAGTTGTCAGTAAATGATTTGGGTCCTAAAAATCCTTCATTTCAAATCTCATTTTCTCTTTTAGTGGACTACTGTTTCAAATATTAAAAAAACCCTCAAGTATGATTGAAAAAAGTATGGCATAAATCCCAGAGTTTGTTTTTTATTGGTCATTTGCACTTTAAAATACAATTATGTTTACAAAATGTTTCTACCTTGACCGTAGAGTTAATGAAAACCCTAGACAACATGAAAATAATCTTATATCTAGATCGATGTAATTAAGAAAACATAGCCTGTTAAAACTGAGAAAACTCAACTGCTTGACAGCAAGTCTAAATTGGATGCTCTCATCTATCACATCATTATGACACACTGGATTAAACATTATTATGAGATGCCCTTCACTATTTCAATATATCACAGACTCAATCAAATGTTTCCTTTTTGTAAATTTGGGGAGACCTCAGCTGTCTTTCTCTAAACCAGGAACAGAAGCTAATCAAATAAAGTGGAATTGAGCATATCAATCAACTGGTCTCTTTTAAGGTCCATGTTGACCCGCCGGTGCTCCTGTCATCATCCATTTTCAGCCAATCCACTTGATGAATAAACAGCCATGCAGAATGTCTGACACTCATTTTGCATTTACATAAATCTAATTTCAGTAAAATATTCAAAGTTCACCTTTTACTCCCAAGATATCCCCATTCCTTGTGTTGGGACTCAAACAGCCAGTCAGACGGGTTGGCAGGCTGGATTCGATCGCTCAGGTGGGCTGTTTTGTTTAAGATGATGTAACTTTAATTACTTAACAACAAGGAATGTCAAAACTGCAAGGGCAAAATATTTGACAGATTTTAATCCTGCTCACAGTAATTTGCATGATTTACTGAGACAAGCCCTAATTGCAGCGTCATATTTTGGACAACGCTGATTATATATGTTCTTTGAATAGCTAAATTACTGCTCTGGCCTGTACAGTTTATTTTCCTACTGTGACACTTCTGGTCAAAGGAGGAACAATTAGTCCTTAAATCAAGCTGGCTGTGGTTTAATTTGTGTTTATTAAATGGTTTGTATATTTCTATATATGATAAAACAAAAGCCACATTTTGGATGGACTGAAACTAGGGCTGGGCAAGAAATTGAAAATTTACCGATACAGAAATTTACGACAATAATCAACGTCATCTTGCCCATATCGATACATCCAGTCCGTAACAAAGAGGGAAAGACAGGTGAGGAGATGGATGACGGTTCAAAAGTTGTAGCGGCTGAAGTAGACAAAGTTAATGTGGGAGGGGGTGAGCAGCTTGTGGAGTAGTGATCATCCATTTATCATTATCAAGGTGAACTGATCAATATATCATGATATTGATTTCAGACAATATCGCCCAGCCCTAACTGAAACAGACCAAAACTTCAGGATTAAGTGACGCCTTTTCTAATCTGCTATAGTTAACCTCCTAACCTGACACTGGTGGATCTTAACAATGATGTTCATACAATTTTGAGAAATGTTTCTAACTTCTAGTTAATGGGAGAAAATTTAAAACAATAGAAAGCAGTCAAGAGAGTCAGGCGTGATGTAGAGTGGGAGCTAAAGTGTGTTCTGTTACAAAAAAGAGGCCACTCATAAATGCAAGTGCAAGGCTGTAGTAGGTGGTAAAAATGACACCCACTATATTCGCTGCATAACCGCGTGTGTGTGCGATGTGTAAACCAGCTGCTTCAGAGGCATAATACAAAGAACATGTAGGTGTGGGGAGGAGGGGTAAAGCTATAGATCTGCATTTATAGACCGAGGCAGTCAAAGGGAGGGAGGGAAGCCTGCAATCAGACACTCTTTCAGTCTGTGCGCTCGTAAGGACAAATTTAAGGAAGTAAGCTTGGCAATTTGATTTGAAATGGTTGTAAGGGATTCTGGCTTTTGTAGCAAAACTGGCTTATTAATGCGTATTTGTTATGAAAGGAGTGTGAAACTGCTTATTTGCGACATACAGTTCATCCACAGGGTTTTTAATGAGTAAGCTAACAGATATTTAAAACGGGGCCATTACTTGATGACACACTGAAGCATCTATGTTTAAATGCGTCCTTCTCACTGTAGAGCTGTGTGCTTATTCATACATCACTGTGCTTGTATCCATATATATATAAATATAAAATATATTTACAAGTCATTATGACACTCATCAAGCATGGAAAAACTAAAAGTGACAAAATTACTCTCAGGCATGATTGATCCGGTAATCACAGGGTGGCTTCAGCAGTAATTGCCACAATGAGACCTGCCTTGTGACCGGGTTTGCATCACCTAAAATAGTGTTTGTCTTCAATTTGTGCATTAGCACTGCTGGGGCTCTATATTCATCTTAGATTGCTTATATTTCATGGTTGATTGACCATGACAGATCCTCTCGCTTTTAGATTATTTCGCTTTGAGATGAAACTGACATTTTGTCACGCTGTCCAATAAGCTTCCACACGGATTTTCAGTCTTCGGATTCAACTTTGCATTACTGCTTCTGATAGATGAAAAAGAAATTTCCTCAATCTCAAAGTCACCTCCAAGCTCTAATGTGGTCAGTTTTGTAGATTGCATGCAGGGCTGTGCTTTCAGATCGAATGGCTTTATTTTTAGTACTTGTTTTGAGGTAGTGAGTGGCTGTAAGGCACAAACTGGTTGCAGACTTGACTGAGACTCAAATTGTCATTTTGAAAGTGACAAGGTGCTGATTTGCCCGCCTGGCACTGAGCGATTGGACATCACTGTTGACAAATGGGCAGTCGAACAAAACTGGCAGGATGCTAGGGAAGACAAAATGCCTTCAGCCAGAGTTTTTTTCCTATCTGTTATCACAGCTGGGCGACAGCTAGTTAAAATTCCTGAATTTACTGATAGTGTAATTGTTTGCTGGCACCGGCATCTGAGTGAAGCATACATCATGCACATATTAATCTACTGTACTGTTATTGTCCTCCCAATCTGTGGGCGTTGTTGCTATTTTTGATTTTGTTGAACTTTTCAAAGTTTTGATGTCACATTTTTTTTTTAAGTCTTTATGGCAACAACATCTTTGATTTAAATATATTATTTATCTTTTTAATTTACTAATTAGAAGAAAGACAGTTTAATTCTTCTGTTTTGACTAATCTTCTGTTAACTGTTGACACAGTCATTAAAATAGTGATCGTAGTTCATGTTTTTAGAGATGTTGAAGTTAGTTGTACTGTAGTGTGTTGTACAAAAAAGCTGTTGCTGTTATTGTACTACTCTGAAGAGTGAAGTGGTGGATGAAAAATTATATTCAAGATGGAAATGCAGTTTGACATTACTCAGAATCAATAGCTGTTGCAAATATTTTGCCAAATACCCTCAAAAGGACAGTGTGTAGAAATGTGTCGAGTATCTAGTGTTCAGATTCTAGGTTTAAACGCTCTCTTCATCACCTCTCCCATCAGTGAAGTAACAGAGGACAAAAAGCTCTTGTGATACATTATAGGGCTGGGTGATAAACCTAAATTTACAGATTACGAAATTTACAACAATAACCAACATTACTTTGCCCGTGTCAATATATTCAGTGTCAGAAAAATAAATAAAAGTTGGTTTTGGATGTGTGTAGGTAGGCTATGGTCTCATGTCCCTTTAAGACGCTGTCCTACATTGGAGGGAAAGACAGGTGAGAAGATGGAGGACGGTTCAAAAGTTGTAGCGGCTAAAGTAGGCGAAGTTAATGAGGGAGGGGATGAGCAGCTTGTGGAGTAGTTATCGTCCATTTATTGTTATCAAGGTGAACTGCTCAATATATTATCATATTGATTCGAGGCCATATCGACCAGCCCTAGTACATGAGTTGTAGTATTCTCCATTTTTAAGTTTTTACCCATAAAAACAGAGTTTTTTACATTGTGATCACTTCCTTTAAAATGTTGCATCTTGTGTGGCCGTGCCTTTACCAAAAAAATGCATATGTTACAGGTTTGTCCATTCTGTGCTGCTGTAGAAACATGAAGATGCAAGATTGTGGCCTCTGTGGAAAGGGACCTGCTCCTATGTAAGTATTAACTGCTTATTGCAAGATAATGAAAACACTTTGTACCACAACACCCTACACATTTAAACAGGATTACTTGTTGTGTGCTCTGAATTGCACAGGAAGCCTACCAGACGTGACTTTTGAATGTGTGTGTTTTTTTTTTTACCACATCATCCTGCGGAGAACCTCT